ATCACTGTAATACCCACCGTAAATCAAATGAAACTCTTCCACCTCAGGTAACCTCCTCAAAATAGGCCAAAAATTGATATGATCTATAGGATATTCTTCGGGAATATCTTCTTTTTCCATGGTCAATGGTGGTTTCCATGCCTGCATCTGTTCGATATACAAACAAGTGACATACGGAGAACACAAATCGAGGATTTCGTCAAAAGTTTCTTCGTCATTGTATTGGGGCTGGGCTTCTTCGATTAGTTGCTGGACGTGTCTCTCTATGTAAACGCTTTTGTAAGTCCAGTTTTCAGGCAGATGGCGTTTAATGAGACCGTAGGTTTCGTGGTATCGACGTTTCCAATAATATTCATCCTTTAGAAATTACATAAAATCAAGATACCTAACACCTGATCAAATAATGATTAAAACTGTTTTATTAGTTTTAATTATCTGCTTTAACGACATTGAAATCTGCAAATTAGAGGGTCTTATTTTATTAGAAAACTAAAATTCATACTGACGGGCATAAGAAACTGGTCAACAGGTCACTATATTTTGTGCTACTTTTTGTGACATAGTTTGGCTAATTTTGTCACGTTTGGTCAGTACCAACCGAGCGTCTATACAGGGTTCTGCAATAGTGCGCCGGGTATCTGTAGCTCCTAGAATAAACAACTTGGGAATGTTGTTTAAGTGAAAACCTAAAGTAAGGCTCAAAAAAGTGTGAGTGGATCGGGATGATTTTTTTTAAATGGAACACCCTGTATATTATTGCATTTTTGGCTTCCTTTCTGATCACTTTACATAATCCTAAGATATGACTAAATATACTTCGATAGTTTCAGAGATATTAATAAATAGAAAATATATATATATATATATATATATATTTCAGCCGTTCTTAAATAAATTATTAAAAATTCAAGAACTGTCCTGAAATCAAAACTATAACAGGTATTTACTTTAGATGGTCTATACTCACTTTGTTATAAATATGGTAATCGTAAATCAAACAGGATGTTCAAAATTCTACGCCAAACTTTTTAAAATATAAAATTATTTTTCTTCGTTTTTTTTTAACGAAGAAACACCCTGTATATTTTTTTTTCAATAGATGAAGAATTAAAAAATTAACATTTTTTGTGTTTAGAGTATTTCAAAAATTTTAACGGTTTCGCAGATAATCGCGGTGTTATATTTCATATAGCATTTTCGACAGTAAATTTTTATCAAAGCCACGCAATGATTTTTCTCTCGTATTTTACCGTTGAAAGCCATATGAAAAAATACTGCGTGTATCTGCAAAGCCATTAAAAATTTTGAAATACTTTGAATACAAAAAATGTTCATATTTTAACTCTCCATCTAATAAAAATATAATACAGGGTGTTCCATTTAAAAAAAACAAGAAAAATTATTTTATATTTTACAAAGTTCGCCGTAGAATTTTGAACACCCTGTATAATTTAAGATTACGATATTTACAGCAAAGTATGTATAGACCATCTAGTGTAAGTAGCTAATATAGTTTTGATTTCAGGTAACCCTGTACATATCACAAAAAATACTTACATCGATTAACGGAATCATTAGTTCCAAAGGAAGCTTAATCGGTAATATATCAAGAAGATACACTCTATCAGAACAAGGCAATTCATCCAAAATTGGTTTGTTCTCAAAATTCTTCCCAATAGCATTGATACAGTACTCCTTCAACGATGGGCAATGGTCTTTATCCCATTCAAAATTTTCGGCAACTAGCTTTCTTATATTTTCACCGACCAACTGTAAACTATTCTTGGAAGGTGTGTAAACAACAACTGTATTTTTGTTGATGATGTATGGAATCTTCATTTTTGTTTTTACTTATTGCAAAATTTGAAATTAATTAAAAAAATATACAAAAAATAATAATAGACAAAGTTCGTTGTGACATAATGATAATATGTCAAATTAGACATAAATATCAGTCAAAAATACATAGATGAAACAGGTCATAGACACAGGTCATAGACGATATAATTTGTTGTACAACAAAAAGTGCAAAAAATACACCGCCCCCTCTCTACAAAAAAGGTCCTTATGATTTTTTACTTAGAATTAGTTGTTTTCGAGGTATCCCTGATCTTCTTTCGAAGATCCCTGAATTTTCTCTCCAAGTCTTATTGAAAAAAAGCAATATTGGTCTCTTTTAAATATCGATATTATTGCCCAGCCCTAGTTTTAAGTTATTTATAACAGCTAAAGTACGTCCCGTGAGAGAAGAGACAATATTGACGAGAGAGATGGATATCCATCCAATACTTTATACAGGAAGATAATGTACTTTAGTAAAATGAGTCAGTGTTATACATTCTTTTGTTGGACAGGCTACTCATCTGTCTCAAATTCTGTGTAAAAATAAAGAATATTTAAACAAGTTTTATTTAATTAAAATACAGATAAAAATCTTGTCCCTAATTCGTGGTACGAAAATTGTTTTTATGACGATGTGCAAACGAGTCAAATTTCCTGTGCGCAAATAAACTCGCGTAAAATAACAATAAACAGCGTAATAGAGAGATATCGCTAAACCGAATAGCGTGCATGGACGTTAATAAGGCCAGGTGTTATTTCCTTTACGTGAAGTGGTATTAACTCTCTTCATTTATAGTTAACTCATCGGAAAGAATTCTGATCGCGTCGCGTCCGCTATTTAAACTTAACCTAACTTTGAATTTAAAACTTCGAAATTGTTTTGTTTACTAGGTATTTTAAAACTAAAGGGCTAAAGTGCTTATTTCCAGTGCTTTATTGTTTAACGTCTGCCAGTGGGTTTAGAGCAACAAACAACAAATTCTCTTAGAAGGGCTAAGTCGTCATCTGCTGTAAACCTAAGACTCTTTATAGGTTCTTTAGTATTGGAAGAGGTGGAATCCACATATTTTGGGCCATATTTATTTAATTAAAACTAATCCCAGCTACTTAAATATCAAATTACCTAATAAAAGTAAAGCAATAATTCAAAACAATTCAAACATAACCTAAAATAAAAGACCTCGCCTGCCGGCTCCGGTTGTCAAATACCCGCACATGCCCATTTAAGCAATGTTTAAACGTTATCAGAGGTTATTTAGAAAGAGCGCTTGGTGTAACTGATCCACAAATTACGTCAGGCGGTAACGTTATTAGCGGGTGTTGCGTTGACCTCGCGCATATGAAAGCTACCAAAACAATTTCTGGGTCATAATATCTCTAACCTAAACAAATTAAATATATTAATAAATAAAATTATTACAAATAATAGCTATATACATTGTGTTTTATATTTCTTTGCGCCTGAATATGGCGAGTGTCTCAGAATCCTTGTTCCACTCCGAAAATTTTTAGTATTATACATAGTTTATTTTATTATTGGTTTTATGTAAAGTATTTAAATCTGGAAAGATATTATGTCAGGACATGAATTATAAAGAGGTTTGTTTAAAAATAGTTACTTGTACAGGATGTGATCCTTCCTGTATAAGTAACTGAGTAAACCATTATGAAACAATTTTCCACTAGAAAGTATTATACAGGGTGCTACAAATTCGAAGTACGAGCAGTGGTATCTCGGAAACCGTAAGATACGAAGATGGTTAAATCGGGGGCAAAGTTGCCTCCCTTGGCATGTTCACTAAGATGCCATCAAAAGTTGCTCCTTAAAATGTTCAAGGACTGATGAGTTTTTTGGAAAAAACGGATTTTTTTGAAAACCAATTTTACTTTTTCCTGTCGTTACTTTTTAGAAAATCATAAAATTAATTGCACCTTCTCATAACCACTTTATTAGGATTATTTGATGGTATTTTTAGATTTTCAAATTAGCTGATAATTTGTGAGATACAGAGGCCAACTTAATTTCTTTAAATACGGTCCTGCATTTTTTATTTCAAGTTTTGAAAGAACTCGGTATCCTGAGTACAATGATATGCCATTGATCTGCACTATTGATCAGCGCTAATTAACATTGAATAAGGAAAATCACGCCACTTGAAAGATTCAAATAATTAATATCCAGGTCAGAAATTTAAAGATATCTATTATTTTTAACTTTTTTTATTGTGAATTTGTAATTTGTAATTTGTAATAATATGCATAATATTAATCGTAGTTTATTATAAATAAATCAACTTCTACAAACTAGTTTACTCTAAGTAATACTCTGCATGTTCGAACGGTTTACCACCCTCCATAATGCACACATTTGTTTTTCGTTCAATCTTACTTATAGCTCTTTGAACAGATCTTCTTCTTATACTTCCGAATGCATTTTGTACTTTTTAATTGTTTTTTATTACACGTTAATTGTTTTTGTACTCTTAATGTTGAAATGTATTGATTTCAAATGCCCAAAACATTTTTTATTGATTTTCCTTATTCAATGTTAATTAGCGCTGATCAATATTGTTGTGATGAATATAATCAGATTATATAAATTAAAAAATCAGAGCCGGATTTGAAATTATTTTAAATAACAATTAAATAGTTTTGTTATTGTTAAGGAACCCAAAACAAAAAAAGTATCAAGTGTGGCATATCATTGTACTCAGGAGGCCGAGATCTTTCAAAACCTGAAATAAAAAAGGAGGTCCATATTTAAAAAAATTAAGTTGGCCTCTGTATCTCACAAATTATGAGCTAATTTGAAAATCTAAAAGCACCATCAGATAGCTCTCTAATAAAGTGGCTATGAGAATGTGCAATTAGTTTTTTAATTTTCTAAAAAGTAACGACAGGAAAAAATAAAACTGATTTTCAAACAAATCCGTTTTTTCTAAAAAACTCAGCAATCCTTGAAATTTTTAAAACTTTTTTGATGACATCTTGGTGAACATCCTAAAGCGCAACTTTGCCCCAATTTAACCATGTTCGTAGGTAAAGCACCCTGTATATGATAGGGTAATAAATTAAGAAATTTTCGTTAGAGTTTACCTATTATGACTGTTAAATGATAAAGTATTCCATTGAAATAGGGATAATAGGACACTCGGTACAATATAAAGAATAAGAGTACAGTAACACAATTGAAAGATTGTAATACTGAATTTTTTCAAATATAATACATTTATAAATAGAAAATAACTTTTTTAGAAAAACAATTGTTATACGCTCCAAAAATAATAATTTTTTATTTTATATTTAAATAGATCATAACATTTATTTTATTTTTAAGTCTTTCATAAATGTAGTAATATACAAAATAGTATGTCATATAAGATTAAATTTAAGATGCTTGTACAGGGTGAGTCAACGATAGAGTAAAGTCCATTATCTCATTTGTTTCGACGTTTACAACAAAAATTCTGCGTAAAATTCCATAACTTAATTTCTTAAATTCTTAAAATATATAAATATAAATAATATTTCAATTTGTTTAAACAAATGTTAAATGGCAGTGTGGTAAAATATTGTTAGTGGTACCATCGTTTCTGAAGTTGAAGTACCAAAATTTGGTAGGAGGGTTTTATAGAGGTGAAAAATAAGATATATGTAAATATATTTTAGTTAAATGATACAGGGTGTTCAAAATATATTTATGAATTTCAACTACTTAAAATTACAAAATTTCAATTTTTTTAAATGGGACACCCTATATATTTTCATTTTTTTCTGATAGACTTTACAAAACTCTTCAACTTTTATTAAGTATATCATTACTTAAGTATGTATATTGCATATACCTGTTTTTAATAGTTTGCGATTTATTCCATTTTTTTTTATTTTTACCCATATTTTTAATACAATTACCAATAAACAAACAAAACTATTTATTACCTATCTTTAACAAGTAGGTTAATTGCAGTCGTGAATTTCTTGGTGTATTTCTATATTATGCAAAATAAAATTACACTAAATCACCACAATACACCAAAACACTTTTACTTTTACACTGGACGCGCGTTTCGCTAACCATGTTAGCATCATCAGCAGATGATTATAATTATTTTTAATTTAGTTTATAATCATCTGCTGATGATGCTAACATGGTTAGCGAAACGCGCGTCCAGTGTAAAAGTAAAAGTGTTTTGGTGTATTGTGGTGATTTAGTGTAATTTTATTTTGCTGTGTAACACCAAAGGTTCCAACCCTCAACTGTAATTTTCTATATTATGAAAGATGACACTTGGATTTTCCGTCGGGGTGAATAGCCACAGATTAGGGTAATACTAGATTACTTAATTGTTGAAGACTACTGATATAGGAATTTTCTTCGACATACAGTAAAGTTTATTTCTCGTAGTAATTCTGGTTTATAATTCATTTGGTAAAGCCAGTATTACTACTGCCACAAAACCGTCCCGTTACACACTGAAGATGTTTTCTAGATAATCTACATCTATTCTTATAGTACTCAGTAAAGTACCTACTATATAATATATTGTACTGAACCAAAAAATATGTTTTTCTTGACTTGTTGGTGTATATCAGTCACATGGACTAATTCATATCAGGAAAATCTGCAACTATTATTATAATTACTCTACCATTTATGCTTATTACAACAAATTAAACTAAAATTCAATTTTTTTTCATAACTTGCTTAACAAACATGAAATTTTGATAATTATCACTTTTTGTCATGGCAACTATGATGTTATAGCGTAATTGTATTAAAAATATGGGTAAAAATAGAAAAAATTGGAATAAATCGCAAACTATTAAAAATAGGTATATGACATACTTAATAAAAGTTAAAGAGTTTTGTAAAGTCTATCAGAAAAAATGAAAATATATAGGGTGTCCCATTTAAAAAAATTGAGATTTTTAATTTTAAGTAGTTGAAATTCATAAATATATTTTGAACACCCTGTAGCATCTAACTAAAATATCTTTACATAGGACTTTTTCTATATTTCTATAAAATTCTCCTACCAAATTTTAGTTGCCCAACTTCAGAAACAATGCCATCACTGACAATTTTTTATCACACTGCAATCTAACATTTGTTTAAACAAATTTAAATATTACAGAAACTATTAATTTTAGGTATATAACATTATATACAAAAAAGTTATGGAATTTTACGCAGAATCTAAAAATAAAATAAAAAATAGGGTGTTGCATTTAAAAAAGCACATGTTATATTCGCCACAGTTTTTTGAAGCACCTTGTATACTCTATAATAATTTTAAAATGTGTATCTTAACCGTCCCTATAACTTTTATATTTAATATTTTTTTGTAAACCTGGAAACAAACGAGATAATGAACTTTACTCTATCGTTGACTCACCCTGTACAATGAAGTTAAAAGAATTTAAAAAAATAATTTACTGCTAGGAAGAAAATAATAATTATTGACTTATTATTTTTTATATCTAACAATTTATTATCCAAAACTATAATTATATCATTATTCATAAAGAACAATGTATAAATTAATGCACGTGATCAAGGAAGGATCTGTAGGAAATTAGGAATTTATTACATATTTTTTTACTCAAGAATATTTGTTACACATTTATTATACATAGTTATTAATATTTTGAATTTGTTACATAGTACTAATAAAAAATATTAAATGAAATATCATTTATTATAATTGTTACGCATCAAATGTAACACAAAACCCAAATTCGAAATTTACTACACTAATCCATCCCTGCGTGATGCTTTTTTGTGACTTTCTATACTTTTTTGTATATTTAATCTGAAAAAATGGTTAATGATTCCACATTACAAAAAACATAGAAAAAAATAACCTATACAATATGTATTTCTAGACTTAATTATGTATGTTATATATTAATAGTCTTAAATTAGATATATGTATATATATTTTATCTTCCAATAAGTTAAAATCACAGCAAAATACAAATAAATATATTATTTCGTTGTATAATATTATATATTTTTTTAATTCAGTCAAACTGTGTCACAAAAAAACCATGTAACAGATACAGTCATGTTTTTTAAAAAAATGTTAAAAAATATGTATATGTTTAATTTAAATAATTATTCTATGTTGTTTACGTATGGAATATATTTAAAATATCACAGATATTGTAAAATATATGAGTTAATATTGTTAAATGAATAGAAATAAAAACTTTTTTTAACTCATTTTTAAAATCGAGTGTAAACCTTAAAAAAAGATTATGGAATAATTGACTTAATGACATAATAGAAATTAAATTATTAAAACTACTATTTTTTATATTTAAGACCTGACTGGACGGATCAATTGTTTTTATTAATTTAGAAAATATATAAAGAATTTTTTAAATATTCAAACTAAAAGCAAAACGCTACAGGCAATATTAATCGGTATTCAATAAACTGTTACTTAGTTTTATTGTGACTTGGTCATAAAATCCACAGCATCATTGTAAGTTTCAAACCATTTTAAATATTTTCATATATTATTATACAAATGTGTAGTAATAACAAATTTCAAGACTAAATATACCGTTCCTAAACCTAAATATAACGAGGTTAAATATATATGTTTTGGTTCAAGAGTACCTATCTATTAAAATAATTTAGAAAAAAATATTAATTATTAATTAATTCTGTAAAAATTAATAAATATAATTTCTAAAAGCTTGTGCATTGTTTGGGCGCACTTGTTAAAATGGCTAAAAAATTATTATTAATATGGTCCAAAAAGTCACAAAATCAGTAGATTTAACTGATGAGGATGTTAGAAAAAGTAATGTGGATCACCTCTATACTCGTACATATATTAAAAAATTCTTAGTAAATGAAAGTTTTAAAATGGTTCAAAATTTAGACAGTTGTATAGGTAATAGAAAAATAAAAATTAATCATTGTCGATTCTGTAACTTAAAACAGTTTGGTTTAAGACTCGTTAAAGCTAAAATAATTCAACAATAATTATGATAGTTGAAATTTTTTAAAATGGTTCAGAACTTCAGACAATTGCTATGGACATACCGTCGTAATCCACACACAAATGCCACCTGTATTATATATATTATATATAAAGAGACCCGTTTTGGACATTATTAAAATGGCTCAGTATCTCAAACCTAAACAATTGTATAGTTATTAGTAGAAAGATAAACAAAAATTAATCACTGTCGTTTCTGTGAGCTAAAAATAGTTTGGTTCAAGGCGCGATAAAAAATTCAAAAATTATTATGATGGTTCAAAAATTTTAAAATGGTTCAAAACTTCAGACAATCGTTATGGATCCATCGCCGTAATCCACACCTGTATTTGTACATAAACAGACCAGTTACCGACTGTTTTTGACATTATTAAAATGGTTCAAAACCTCAAGCCTAGACCTTTCAAACCTGTACGACGGCGTCTTCTTCGTGCAAATACGACGTCCCTAGCTCACCGTCGGCCACCTCGTTCTGCAGCGCAGGTATTTCGTTCCCCGAACTGCCTTGACTGTTGTCCTTGGACCTACCCACCTTCTCGTACCCCCCGCAAGCTTCGCAGTCGCTGTTATCGTTATTCAGTCTCTCGTAGGGCGGTTCGCTATCGTCCTCTGTCGTCGTCTTGCTCGCACTGTTGTTCGAACTCTCCGACGAAGCTGTGGCTTTGATTTTTTGGTAACCGGGTATATCTTCATCGTCGTCTTCGAGTTTGGCAGGTTCTTTAACCGTTTCGTAGTTGGGATCGGTCGAGGGTGGTCTGTGGTTCATTACGGATTCGTAATTGGGGTCTATGTCGCTATCCGTTGATCTGATAGCTGACTGGTAGGGAGGTTCGGGAAGGACATCGGACATGCTCTCGTATTTGGGTTCGTCTATTAAATCACTCACCTAGAAAGAAAAAAATATCAAATATAATACTATACTTTTGAATGAATATGAATTCTGTAGGCTAGAAATTACATCCAATCTAACTAAAAGGGTTCAAAAAATATTAGAAGAGCTAAAAAATAAAATAAGTCAAAAGTTTTATCAAAAGAAGATATTAATTACATTAAACTGAAGAGTCCCCTCTTTATATATTCTAGTGATTGAACGTCTTAAAAAGGTTCACAATTTAGATAGCTGCACAATAACTACTAAAGAAACGAATTAAAATGAATGAATTCAGCTTCTAAAATAATGTGGACCAAAGATAGTTAAAATAGTTCAAATTTTTTTAAATAGTTTAACAAATTATTAAAACGGTACAAAAGGAAAATAAGTTATAAGTTTTAGCATAGGATAATGTCGAGAAAATAATAAAGCAGAGTCTTCATAAAAATATTAACAATTTCGTAGGAAATAAGCATCTTAAAAGTGATCAAAATTTAGACAGTAGCATAGCAAACTGGTAGAGAAATGAATAAGAATGAATAAATTCCGTTGATGCCAGTTAAAACTAATTAGAATGGTTCAAAACTATTTATTAAAATGGTTCAAACAAAAATAAGTAATAATAAAGGATCAAACGTTAAGAAAATTAAAGAGTCCCCTTTCACTCTCAAAAATTTCTAGTAAATTTTTAATAAGAGTTAAAATTTTAAACAGTAAAGTTATTAGTAGGTAAATGAACATAAATAAAGAAAAATTAACAAATGCAAGAAATACAGTGCCTGGGAAATAGAAATAAGTTCAAGGATCTTTATAAAGGTTGAAATTTTATTTAACTCATTCAAAAATTAAAAATTGTGCAAAAGAAAAGAAAATTAAAACGCAAATTTAAAAAAATATAGCAAAGGAGTATGTTGAGAAAATTAAGTTAAAGGGTTTATTCTATAGATAAATAAATTCTTAAAATGAATAATGAATTTTAAACTGGTTCAAAATTTAGTATACAATACTAATTAAAAATAAATAAAATTAAGAAATGCCTTTTCCTCAAGAAAAATTGGCGCCGGGAGGCACGTATAGCCGCCCATACTAAAATATGTTAATAAAAAGTTGGTAGGCAGTTCTTTTAGTTTCAAAGTAAAGAAATTTTTCCAATTTTGATCCGCGGTTATTTCCCCTTATCCGCCACCTGGGGTCGCGTCCGATGGGAGTTTGGAGTTTCTCACACGGATTTTCTCAAAAACGGACTACGGAAACACAGAATATCTCAAAAACTGCGACTTTGACTGATTTTGATGTTATTACAAATTTTGTTGCAAATATTATTCCTAATCTTAAATTGAAAACCGCGTTTCGCTAGCTACTGTAATTTTGGAGTTACGATTTTTTAAATTTTAACCCCTTACTAACCCCCACCCCCAGCAAAAACTAATGGTCAGATTCTCGGGTACCACAGTATTTTTGTGCCAAATTTGGTTAAAATCGGTTCAGCGGTTTTTGAGTTATCGTGTTACAGACGGACAGACAGACAGACACCATGAAAATATTTTGTATTTAGGTCATTTATGACCCAAATAACTCATTTTAAGTGAAATTAAAAAAAAATGCCGATCTTAATAGCCTACCATACCTGTTGGTATGGTTGGCTAAAACTGTGGTTCAAAGTGTGTTAAAATGGTTCAAGAATTATTAAAATGAAACTTTTTGATAAAGAAGAATGTAGAGAACTAAACTAATGACAACATTGCTCACCTCAAAGGGTTCAAGCTTTTTCTTCTTATTGATAACGGAATAACCATCGTTTCTATCCCGCACTTTGGAATATCCAGAATCGCTGGCGTTTGACGATCTGTGCCTCAGCTGCTCGTAGTTGGGGTCGATTTCTGAGGGCACCTGCCCCCCTCTCAGCACTTCGTAACCCGGATCAGAAGAGCTGGCAAGACTGTCGGGACCGTTAATGCTGGCATAGCCAGGTTCACAGTCTCCACCGCCTGAAAAAAAAATGTAGAGAGAAATACCTTAGAAATATCATTCAATAAAAACACCACTAAATCTACTGTTGTAGAACTTACCTTTAATCTTCTCATATCCAGGATCATTTGAAACCCTAGTTTTCTTCAGTGTTTCATAATTATGTTCCTTCTTACTGGTCTCAGAACTCTTGCTGCTCTTTGATGAAGACACCAGGGAATTTCTAAACGATTCGTTCAAGCTGCCCCTATCAGATAACCTAATCATAAAAATATAAAAAAGTAAGAAATGGGGTCCAAAGCAATGTTAGTTTTTTAATTACTTGTCTTCACTGAAATCATCTTTTCGGGATTTGCATACTTTGGCATACAAATCATCCACATTGTGAAGCGCTTGGAGTTTGTCATGTGAGGAGGTAGGCGGAGGAGGTAGAGGTGAATTGGCCTGTCTTTTTTCAGGTTTTGGAGATCCAATATTCGCTATAGAACTAGATGACGAAGCTAGAACATTTACATATAGATTTTACAATCATTATACCAACAAGACCAACCATTGTTCAAAGTTAAGTAATATCCTTGTTTATATATTCTTAAAGTTACTCAACCGGCAGGACAAAATGTGCCGCCGGAGTCAAAAATATCGATTATTTTCGTTATTTTCCTCAGAGTAATGTAATAATATAGCCCGGATTTCTGCGAACTTTAATAGAGATCTGCTGATTAAGAAATTTAAACAAAACTTTTATTTTATTGTTGATTGTGTGTTGTTATTTTAAGAATTCATTTTAAGAATTCTAAACCGTATTAACAAAGAAACTATTATATCAATATGTCGGTACATTATTTATAATTTATGAATGAATTACTGTTAATTAATATTTTTTAAAAAAATTACATACCTACTTTAATTTGATTTGATGCAGGTCTATAAAAGAATCATTTCATTCTTAGATTATTTTATTCTAATTGAGCGATTTACGAATTTTACGATATTTTTTTAAAACAAAACTTTTACATTCTTGATTAAATTTTCAAAAATTATATTTTCAATTTTTATTTTTTTTTTGTTTAAACCTGGCATTTGCTTCAATAATGTTATTTGACATTTAAATAAATATATTGTACTTAATACACCATCTAAAACTTTATTCCACTAATTAAATCGCTATAGAACTAGATGACGAAGCTAGAACATTTACATGTAGATTATACAATCATTATACCAACTAGACCAACCATTGTTCAAAGTTACCTAATATCCTTGTTTATATATTCTCAACATTTTATATTATCTCAACAAGTTACTCTACCGGCAGGACAAAATGTGCCGCCGGAGTCAAAAATATCGATTATTTTCGTTATTTTCCTCAGAGTAATGTAATAATATAGCCCGGATTTCTGCGAACTTTAATAGAGATCTGCTGATTAAGAAATTTAAACAAAACTTTTATTTTATTGTTGATTGTGTGTTGTTATTTTAAGAATTCTAAACCGTATTAACAAAGAAATTATTATATCAATATGTTGGTACATTATTTATAATTTATGATAATGCTAATTACTGTTAATTAATATTTTTTAAAAAAATTACATACCTACTTTAATTTGATTTGATGCAGGTCTATAAAAGAATCATTTCATTCTTAGATTATTTTATTCTAAATTGAGCGTTTTACGAATTTTACGATATTTTTTTTTAAAACAAAACTTTTTACATTCTTGATTAAATTTTCAAAAAATTATATTTTCAATTTTTATTTTTTTTTGTTTAAACTTGGCATTTGCTTCAATAATGTTATTTGACATTTAAATAAATATATTGTACTTAATACACCATCTAAAACTTTATTCCACTAATTAAATCGCTATAGAACTAGATGACGAAGCTAGAACATTTACATGTAGATTATACAATCATTATACCAACTAGACCAACCATTGTTCAAAGTTACCTAATATCCTTGTCTATATATTCTTAACATTTTATATTATCTCAACAAGTTACTCTACCGGCAGGACAAAATGTGCCGCCGGAGTCAAAAATATCGATTATTTTCGTTATTTTCCTCAGAGTAATGTAATAATATAGCCCCGGATTTCTGCGAACTTTAATAGAGATCAGCTGATTAAGAAATTTAAACAAAACTTTTATTTTATTGTTGATTGTGGATTATTTTTGCCTGTTATTTTAAGAATTCTAAACCGTATTAACAAAGAAATTATTATATCAATATGTCGGTACATTATTTATAATTTATGATAATGCTAATTACTGTTAATTAATATTTTTTAAAAAAATTACATACCTACTTTAATTTGATTTGATGCAGGTCTATAAAAGAATCATTTCATTCTTAGATTATTTTATTCTAAATTGAGCGTTTTACGAATTTTACGATATTTTTTTTTGAAAACATAAAACTTTTTACATTCTTGATTAAATTTTCAAAAAATTATATTTTCAATTTTTAATTTTTTTTGTTTAAACTTGGCACTTGCTTCAATAATTGACATTTAAATAAATATATTGTACTTAATACACCATCTAAAATTTTATTCCACTAATTAAATCTTTATTAATGTAAAATATGGTCAGAGTTTTAAAATCGATCAAGTTTGCTTTAACTTTATAAGTGAAGAATTAGAGAAACTGAAAATATCATTATTTTAACTAACAAAGAAAGCCCGTTAAACCATAAAGACCAAGTATAAAAACACTACTAAACTATTTCTGGTATTCTACATTAAACATATAATTAGACTTAATAAATTAATCTAATTTTACACTACAACTACAAAGAAATAAGATTTTTTTTAAAAGTAGATACGTGCGACCAGGATAATAGATCAAGCGGACAAAGAATATAAAATACTTTAAAATGTGCATTCAGAAAGAAAAAATATATCGAAAATTATCTAATCAAACATTTTTATTTCTGATCAGTGAGAAAAATCGGCTTCGTCGGCCTTGCAGAATTTGTCGGATATTTAGAATGATCGAATTGTATAATTACCAGCTTTTATAGCATATCTAATAGATAAAAAGTATCTGGTAGATTAGTAACCAACTGGCACAGTCCGAAAATTATCGATCTTTATTTTCTGTTTTATTGTTCGCTTCAAAATTCAGAGTAGCAAAAAATATTTTTCTGTAGTAAAATACAGAGAAAACGATCCTGCCATCTAGTAGTCTTAGTCCATAAAATTGATTTACTTTAAAAATATATATACAAGGGTAATACACCGTATGATCGAATAAAAACGGGGTCAGCGATGGCTATGAAATAAAGATCGCTGTCATTTTATATGTAAAATTATATTGGAAATCATCGATCGTCATTTCCAAGCCAACTGGACCCCATTTTTTTCTTTGATCAAACGGTATATTACTGTATTCATTCTCATCACGTGAATAAGGGATAAAATACAATATGATGAAAAAAAAACAGCGTCAGCGATGGCTATGAAATGAAGATGGCTGTCATTTTACATATATGTAAAATTATATGGGAAATACGCCGTTTTTTTCGATCATACGGTAGAAAATAGATTATAAAATAAATTAACTTATTCAATAAATATTGTAAAATAAATTATATTTGAACATATTTTATTTTCTATATACCTTGTCTGGAATGAGTATGCATTGTGACGTGTTTCAAGCTCCCTACGCTAGGAGGCGCTGGCTGTGGTGGTAGTTCATACAATTCTTCAATTTCCCTCCTATTTATGACAATATAAACACAATATAATATAAAAAAATATCTAAATTTAAAAGTAAAAATTTCATCACCATATTGTCAAATATGAAATGGTCTCAGATATTTTACCAATAATCTGTTTTGTTAAAAAATATGTTTATAATAAAATTAATGTAGTTATTTCATTCTTTCAAATTGACGTGTCTTTATTATTATTACTCTCAATTATATTTTTTATTCTATCACCTTTCACTGATGCGTCTTTCTGTAGGTACATGATTGATTTCAGCCTCGACAATTACTGGCTGTATTTTAGAGTATGTCTCGCTCTCGCTCGTGTATATCTGGTTGTTTGGATCGGGTATAGTGGTATATACATCATCTAGAATACATTATTTCATGTATTAAACAACTTAAAATTGGTTTAAATTCATTTTAATACCCGAATCGTCAGATACCGTAGAATAATTGACATCCAATCCACGTTTCTCCTTGTTTATTTCTTTCGTTTGTGCTAGAATATTGGCCAGCGGTTCTCTTACAGTAATACTGGTATAACCCTCTGTAAAAATAGAATAAATCGTCAGTGAAACAGTTTTACGTTAATAATTTTTTATACCATTAGAAAGAGAAAAAAATACTCTATAAGTAGGGAAAGCAAACACATTTTTTCGCATTAAAGAAAATTTGTTATTTTAACTCAATAATATCTGCTAACTCATAGTGATCTGAAATAGCCACCGAAATGCTGCTATCTCCGTAATTTCCGTTACGATCACGCTAAAGCAAACACACGGATTCTTACTCGTATGTTTTTTTAGAACAGTACGTCGATCCAGGGTCGCACTAGGCCAAAGGGGCCCGGGTGGCAATGTAAAGAGGGGCCCGTGTGGTTTTTTTTGCGTATTTTTTCGCCTTATGTTTTGGTCAATTTTTCCCTATTATATACAGGGTGAGTCTTAAATAAGTGCAAATATTTTTAGGGTAGTATATTTCGACCCAAGAAACACTATTATAGGGATTTTTGTGCGAATTTTTTTTTCAAAATTTTAAATTTTAAAAAAAAAAATTTGGAATTTTTTTAATTTTTAGTTTAAAAACATACTTTGTTTGTAATATGGTAACATAGGTAGTAGATTAAATTTACAAGAAAGAAAATGCAATGATTCTTAAAATTATAGCAAAAAATTGGAAATTTTAAAAGTGAAATAACTCGGTGGTTTGGATTTATTTGAAAAAAACGGTAAAGAGAAAATATTATGTTTCTTTTATCGGGATTTACCAGCCCTGAAAATATTTGCACTTATTTAAGACTCACCCTGTATAGAAATCAGGGAACTACCCTAATGCAAGGTAAACCAATGCAATGCAAATGCCATAATGCAATGCAAAAGCAAATATTGTTAAGAATAAATAATGAACTATAAAGGGGGCCCGCGACGGCTGGGCCCCCCCTAATAGTTATCTATATAATTTAGCCAGTCCGACCTTGCGTCGTCGATCCGTTCTGTAAATACGGGGTATCCGTAAAGGGTAAGGGGAAAACGAAATTCTCTATGTACAAGCAATTCATCAGCGTGCTATAAAAGTTTAAATAACATTACTTAATTGTAAAAGAATTTCCATAATACCTAATCAGTTTTATTTTTTTCAACGTTTTTCCATGTAAATGAAACATAATTTTTATAAAAATTAAAAAAACAAGGAGAAAAGTAATAAATTTTTTTACCGTTGTATAAAAATTAGGATAAGCATGGAAGGATCCTATCATATCTACTAAGAATTATAAGTTTAATTTTTAAATTATTTTCATATTCATTAAGTCCAAAATTCTGCTACTTCAGTTCTTCAAAAATGCATTAAAAATTTATTTGTTTTTGGACTTATATCGTATGTTTTGCTTCTAGACCAACGATATTATAAATATATGATTATAAGTATCATATTTTTTAAATTTAATTGATTATTTCTAAATCTGTTTGGTTAATGTTCAATTCCATTTTCAAAATTTCAAACAATAAAGGTTGCTATCTCTAGAAGTATATTTTTATTTATTATTTCTGCAAGACGAATATCTGCTATCTCCCTACTGTGTCCGAAAAAAATGAAGTAACACGAAATATTGAGTTTTATTGTTCCCCAGCAAATAAATGGCTGGTGTAACCATGGCAATTTTCTAGTGACAGTTAGTAGCTATTTTAAAGTTTATTTCTCTGACTTATTAATTCTGAAAAGTAATATACAAGGTGCCGACAAAGTATTTTGTTATAGCATTCATATTTAAATATCTTAAAATATCTCAAAAACCAAAACTTTTAAACATATTACCTAAACCCTTATAATAAATGCATTATTTAATGCCCAAAAACCCAAAAATGAAATAAAATACCGGGTGTTCCATAAGAAAAAATATAACTTTGGTATGCATCTTAGTTCTGACACACCCTGTATATTTGAAAATAATTTTAAATTATGCACATTGCCTCTCCACCTATACCCATAAAAAATTTTGTTTCTACATCTTTCCGTTTTCATATAATCAACTGAGGCGAATGAGGTGCGCCACCCTGTATATAACATCCTGGACACTTCATCTGCGTGGTCTGTATTTTAATGCATGCGACAGAGATAAACATAAACGACCGGTTGACAGACAGAGAGACAAAATAAAAAGCGGCATACAGTGCTGCCGGTTTGTGTATGTGTGTGTAGAAAAAATAACTATTTTAAAAACTTTCATGTATACTACTGAAATAAAGATAATATATTTCAGCAAAATTTAATCTATTAGGTACAGCTGTAATAAAATGATTAACTAATTGTGAAAAATAAAGTTCCAACACTAGATGTGAAGTAAACGCCTACTTGTGCGGTTTAAAATTTTGATGCAAAATCCGGCAATACCGCATAAAAGAAATGTATCAGCCCAACTATTATCTCTTTTTAATACATTTGATTTTCCATTAAGCTGTGTACATCCCTCTCATACACGTTTAAATCCAGACCACGCTTTTACCGGAGTAAGTAAACCGACGAGTAGCGACCGTTTTCAATTCTCTTTGCGGCTGCGCGAAATAAGTAGGTTATCTGTCATATGAAGAAGCGAAGTTGCCACTGTTGCCATTTATCAAATATCTCTATATACTTTATTTCAAGTATACCTCAGGCAACGAATCGTTTTTTTAATTATTTATTAGCTGTAAGATATTTTATACATTCAAATTTAGAAATATGGATAAAACAAAACAGAAAAAATATGTATAAAACTTTGTAATTAATTCCACTTCAAATTATGAGCAGTGTATACCATGTTTATAGGACCACTTCATAAGTTGAGCAGTTAAATACGTAGTCTATCTGTCAAACACGTCAAAAGAGAGAGAAAGCAAATTTGGTCCCACCACATCAAAAGAGCCGACGGTTTCTGTCGCTACTCGGCGATCTACTTACTCTGCTTTTACGATGATCAGATTGGTATAGACTTAACTACTGTTCTGAATACCAATTTGTTCTCAATTTTTTTGTTCTATAATGTTCTTAAAATTCTCATTTTTCTCTAGAATAATAAGAAGAAATGAGAAAATCAAACCAATATTTAAAAAAGTAACTGATTGGTTTTCTAATCTCTTTTCTTCGTGCCAATTATAAGTTCTGGACTTCAAAAAAGTCTTATAGACATAGGACTTTTTTGAAGAGATAAATCCACCACAAAGGTATCATTTTTTATTCATATTTTAAGTTCTGGACATTTGCTCGTTTATGTTTATTATCGTTCGTTCTTGGAGAATGTTTCCCAAAAATAGATTCTCAAACAGTTTGCAACACTATGCAATGTATAAAAACTAATGTACTTACTAGATGAATCTTGTGAATCCCCACTGAAATTTGTCTGGTTCACTGGAGGAGTCATATAAGGTAAATCATAATTAGCTGCTATTCCACCTGCCACAGCTGTAGCTGCAGGTATGTCCATTCCTGTATTGCTATGCGTCGAGGACCTTCTCGATCTCACATGAATATTTGATTCTATATTTTTATTAGTTCCATCAGCCCTAAAAATATATTTATTATAAGCAATGATTCCATCTACTTGGATTAATTAACTATACAAATGTGACACGAGAGATAATTTTTTTTTTGTGAACCAAATTTTAAGTGAGTTTGTAAAGTTTTTAAAATTAAAAATTGTGAGTTTGTAAATATTTACTTTTTAATTGTAATATTTTAAATATTTACCTCAGTAAATTTACTCGCTCTTCAGACGTACTCTGTCCAGGCTCGTTTACTTCATGAACAAACGGCCTAGACGTAGTAGGTTGCAACTGTGCATAAGGATGTTCCTTAGAATTAATTTTGTCATATTTCACGCGTTCATAAGTTGAAAAATTCTCATCTGCCTGGCTTATAGAACTGTGTTGCGATACACTAAGTCTTGGATCCAAACCGTTTCTTAAAGCTGGTTTGCTACTAGTATTTTGATACTGGCCTAGAGTAGCATAATGTTCAGAAGAATTATCCCCGGTTGGTTCCCAATTTACAGGGGTGTTTACTTCTGCTGGTATATCTGGAAGACTTCTCCTTGTGCTCGTTACAGCGCTTCTAAAACAGTAGAACCATACAGTGATGCAATAGAGATAAAAAAACACACTATTGCAAAAATAAGGAAACAATAGATATAAACACGAAACAGTAGAAATTCTCTGTAAAGCTTATTTATATGTGTAAAACTACTTCATGTTAAAGAAATGAAGTGCAGGCAAAAAAAAATAAATATAAACCTTTTGCTACTATCAATAGAATCTTCAGTCGAGATTCTATCCACACAAGATGCAGTGGAAGGTAGATGGTTAACATTCTCATCGGGATTTTTTTGAGTGACCATACCATCAATGCCTAACCATTCATCTCTACAATCACAAGACAAATAACATAATGCAAAAATTAAAGAAAACAAAGCAAAGTGGGACAGAGTTTTCGTTCAAACTTACTTTGTATTTTTCTTCTTCCAACACAGGCAAAAAACTAAAGACATCACTAGGGAAATAGCAACACATAAAGACATAAATATCGTCCACATTATACACTAGCTGATTTTCCTAGTCCAATTTGGGGCTTTCATGTTAAAAAGGGACAAATGTAGCGCCCCTTTTATTAGATGTGAACTTTAATAAATGGGTCACACCTTAATAGTAGTTTTAATTTATGTACTGGTTATTTAGAACATCCTATATAATTTATACACCATTACACCCATAATGGCTAGAACTGAATATAAATAAATTAAATCTTATTATTCAAAACGGATAAAGAGAAAAATTACATTACTCATTTTGCCTTTTTAGCATTAAAAACTATTAAAAACACATATGACAACTGATGACAACAGACAAATTGGACATTTGACTTTGACATAAGTCTTGTCATTTCACCACAGAAATAAATTCACAAAATGTCAAAAGACAACGGCACAGACTACAAACATGTAAACGTTTACGTACGCACGCGTATAACTTTATATTTTACATGTAACGTCTACGTTATGTCTACGTATACGTGTCAGCAGCGGCTGACTCGGCCGTAGGCCGTTGTTCTCTATAGTAGCCACCAGCTCAAGAATAGGTACCCTCCCCGCTATGTTAGCGCCAATAGCGCGTTTCTGACTTCTAAAATCGATGTCAATAAAATCGAACATAGGCTACATAGGTAACAAAACATCGATGTTTAAAAAACGTCGATGAACATCGCCCAGCATGCCCAGCACTAATTATAACATCTGTCAAACTTCAAACTTGCTTCTTGGCTTCTCTTCTTGCTTGACAAATTCTGAATTCTGAACAAATGCAGTTTTGGCGGGTTCTTTACAGAGATTACACAAAATTTGTAAACAATAAACAAATCAGATAAAAAGAAAATACAATAAATTGAGTAACTCCTTTTAATCTTTTATCATTTATGGGCGTTACACGATTAGTATTAAAGAAGAGATAGTTTAATTCATTGCATATAATTCTAAAAATCAAACCCATACAATGGAAATATATGACCAAGAAAATATTGTAAGGAAAAGGTCTGTTCTAGAAAGAAAATTGTACTATAGGGATCTATTAAACAAAGCAGAGACAATTAGTAAGTTCACAATAGTTTCTAGTGGTTTTTATTTAGCTGGTTTTAATTTTTTTAGAGGAAAGTGATACCCTGGGTATCCAAACAGTATCTGATATCGGAGATATTCTCAGCCAAGCTAATATATTAAATTCTGAGGTCGATATAGAGGAACGCGTAGGCAATGCAGATGAAACGTTATTAGATTGTTTAGTTGTGTCTTCAGCAAGTGGGATTTTGATGAAATGGATTGAAGCAGTTGATGTGTTTGCTGCAACCTATGATTCTACAGAGTTTGTTGGAAAAATTGTGAGAAAAACAGTCTAATTTTATTTCACTTTAATTTTATAGATTTTCCTTAGATTTCTCATGTAAAACAAGATGATAATGATGGGATGAAAGCAGAGGATATCCTGAAACTTTTAGACCATGCAAGAGAAATTATACCAAACGTACCCAAATACAATTCAATATATGGTTCATACAATTTAGATAATCTACCAGAACGAAAGGAAAAGGTTAAAAAACAGAGAGCCCCTAAAGAGAGATTAGAGAAAAAGGAACCTGAAAAAATAGTGAATTTAGATAAAGAAGAAGAAGGGATAGAAGAAATTGTTAAATTTTTGTTTGAAGTTTTAGTGGAGGCTTATTCAAAGAATAATGAAAGCCCTGTTAATTATTACGACTATATTATTGATACGGATAGTTACAGCAAAACTATAGAAAACATGTTTTATTTCGCTTTCTTAGTTCGTGATGGGAAAGCTCATTTTGACTTGGGTAAATATTAACTAAAATGACTTTATTTGTAAACTAGATTTTTATTTATATTTTCTAGATAATTCTGGCACACCTTTGATAAGACCTATGAGTAAAAAAGAGTTAAAATTATTTAGGGACAAAGGTGGAAAAAATACTCAAATAATTTCGTGTATAAATATGGACTTGTATAATGTAAGTAGAAATATAACATTATAGCCTACTATGACAATATTTTTTATCACTATATTTAGTAATATACAATTTACCAATTTATTGATTTCTCTTTGCCATATACACAATAGTTTTTGCATTTTATATTTTGTAAGTTTTAATTTGATTTGTTATAGAAATACAATAAGGAAGGCTTATTACAGAAGCATAGAAAAAAACATAAATTGTCACAGAAATAATTGATTTTGAAGTAAAGTGAAAGTTATCCCACTGTGGTAAATCTGAGCCAACCATTATTTAAGCATAGTTAGATAACAAAGAAAATATATTTCACAAAGTGTTTCTTATAAATTGAACCCTATCCAAAATTTCTCAAAAAAAAATGTTTTAACTTACCTAGTTATTATTTTTTATAGTTATACTCTTGAAATATAGTTTTTCTGTTATAACTATTTAATGGTATACTTGGTTATACTGTTTTTCTTTGTATTTAGCATGTAAGTTATGTAATGTTAATGTTGTCGACCTGTTGAAAATGTTTTGTATATTTTATAAATAATACTATTTTTATATGTACCTATATCACAAATAAAATAATAAAAAAAGACAAACGTAAAGGCAAATAATTTATTTTTTAACTCTGTGTAACAGTGTTGATATTTTAAAAAAACTGGAATGTTACAATGCAAAGCAATAAATAATAAAGGTATAATGGTAATAAACCTATTATGTAGAATCGATAATGTTTGCCTTGATTTTCTTAAAAGATCTTACACAATTTATTTCTCTTTTGTTAGTATATATACAGGGTGATCCAGTTTTTTTAACAAAACATCAAAACAAAGTTGGATAAAAGAAATGGAGTTTATGTTATAAAATACATTTTAACCTCTATGTAAAATACTATGTGTTCCATTAGAAATTAAAGTAGAGAAAAATACATCTAATTTAATTTTGACTTTGATGACATGAAATGGCTATTTAATAGGTATTTTACAACAAATTCAATGGATAAAAATACAGTATTCCAATTTAATAATCTACAACTTTAATGTAAAAGTTTATTTTAATTGTCCTGTTTTTAGTTTTTGACTGCATATTTAAAAAATAATTGGAGTGACACTGAGATTTTTTAGATCAAAAAGTCACCCTGTAGGTCCATTTCACTGATAATAATTATTTAGTTGTGCATAATTGTGGTGATCTGGACAACCCGATGTACAAACACAAAAATAAATATAACTTTGATATAAATTACCTAATATCACATACAACACTATTAAGAATCATCAAATGTCATTCTGCCCACACCATGATTCTTGATATACCTTCGATACTGTTTGTAACGATTATTTTCAGCCAACTGTTTTTTTGTCTCTTCTTCCTGCTCTTTAAACCACTCGTCAAAGTTTTCTTTTATCCACAGCTCCCTGTCGAGGAATTTCTGTATTGTTTCATCTTCTTGACTGTCAAATTGGTGCTGTCCCATTTTCAGATATTTTCTTATAATGTAGAGTTTTTCTTCTTCATTGTAAGGTTTCTTCATGATATTATGATTCAAAATCCATGAAATATACCAGTAAATATAGTTAGCTGTTGTGTAAGGAAGAATAACCAGCTGAATCCACAGAATATCTGTTATTTTTGGTTTTGCATAAGCACCTTTAATATCCATTTTTTCTTCAATAACTTTTTTAATTACTTGCTCCATTTCTTCTTTAGAAACCTTCTGTTTTTTACTGCCTTTTTTACTATTATCAGGCAAGAGTCCCTCTTGTTTAGCAATATCCTGAGCCCTATTTCTGTATTTTGGTATCGTACTGAAGTATGATATAGCACTGTCATACCTTTGCCAGCCTGAATAGTATTGTATGATCGATATCACAGATATTGTAACTAGAATAACTATTTTAACGTCTACCTTTGGAGCTACACGTCGCTTATAGTATCTGTAGTAGTGAGCGTAATATTGGTCAGGATTGTCCAGCATATAGTCATAATCCATACGGCTCTCGTCATCTTTCAATATTTCATATGCATTGGCAACAATTTTGAATTGTTCCTCAGCTTTTTCTTTTGCTTCTTTCCCTCGGTGCAGGTCAGGATGGTACTGTCGAGCCAATCTTCTATAACTTTTGGATAATTCGCTTTTTGTAGCTTCTCTGGTAATTTCCAACACATCATAACAGTTTTGTTTTCCACAGTAGATGCCTTCTAGAAGTTGAGCGTTGGAGAAGCTTAAAAAACTGAAGTGACACAACAGAATGGTAACATATTTGAACATTTTGGCACGTTGTTTAATTTCTATTTAATAAGTTCAAGCGAAAAGCCACGTTTAAATATACGAATTTATTACATTTCAAGACATTTTAAAGCTAATCCGACGTTGCCATTCGGTACAAGAAGTTTTTATGCAGCCTCACCACAGATTTCTCTCTCGACCCCACCGATTATCTCGAAAAAGCAAAATGATAAAGCCTAATTTTAGATTAACAGGCTTCTTAGTTATATTATGTTCAGTTAGTATATCTGTAGTTGGCATTTTTAAGTTAGCAGTAAACTGTTAACTAAAATAAATGAAAATTAATGGATCGGAAATTATACTACAAATAACTGGAACTGACAACGTTTCACTATACCTATTTTCCTATTTCTCTGGTAAAATTAGTTTTCAGCTGGTTTTCAGATTTATTTTACTTCTATAAATCGCTGTAAATTGATATTACCGACCAGTCTATTTAATAAAATAAAAATTTCACAATTAGATGCACATTTTTGTAATTTTTCAAAGTCAGAAAGGGTTCGAATCACAAATTTAATAAATATTGGAGAATTTTACTGGTTGCATAAATAAGAAAAATATTTTTGACATAATTGTTTTTGTTTTGATCAGGATCAGTTTTGACAGCAAATTGATTTTATTCTTTGATTATTGTGATTTTATTCATATTTTATTCTGTTTATTGATAAGTTATTTGTGTGAACTATGAATTTACTTGTTCCTAGCTATTTATTTTATGGTTATTTCTATATATGATGATTTGCTTCAAAGCTAAGTACTTGTTCTAAAAACTAAATAACATCTAGTTTAAAAGCAGTACTAGTTAAAAAATGCAGTAATTAACCCATCAACATGAGTCTGAGAAGCCAGATGAGATATCTGAATCCCTATGAAATCCATAAAGTAATTGTAAATGACTATATTTTAAAGAAACCCGGTGATACTAGATCATTAAAAAGGGACTGTTCAAAGGACAGAACCGACTATCATGTTATTAAGGATAATCATAAGTTTTTATGGACTGATAATGACAAGCCAGAGAGCTGGGAAGAAGAATTTGCTAAAAAATATTATGAGAAACTCTTTAAGGAATATTGTATAGCGGATTTAAGTTTTTATAAGGCAAACAAGGTAGATTCTGTTAGAGGATTGATTGATGTTTTTGATTAAAATAAATTTTCTTTTAAAGATTGCATTACGTTGGAGAGTAGAACAAGAAGTTGTAGTAGGCAAAGGACAATTTATTTGTGGGAATAAGCACTGTTCTGAGAAAGAAAACTTAAGAACATGGGAAGTAAATTTTGCTTATAAAGAAAATGACGAGAAGAAAAATGCTCTAATTAAATTACGTAAGATATATTTAAATTTCTACATATTATTTGATGACACGTTATTTATATCTAATTATGCTTGAATTTAAAAGTGTATTATTGTTTTTTTATAGGCCTTTGTCCATCTTGTTCAACTAAATTGAACTACCACAGTAAAAAGAGAGAAATTAAGAGAATTAAACATAAGTTGAAACATAAAAAAGATGAACTACTCAAAAGTACACTTAACAAGAAGAAATCTGCCAATGATGAGGAAAAATCAACAGTAGAGTTAGGTGTTTTACCAAGTGCTTCAACTAGTACTGAAAATACTCGTATGGATTTAAAGGATGATGATACTTGGGCACAAAAGAAAGTTATCGAAGTGAAGTCTCGTGAAGACGAAATGCAAGAATATTTAGATGATTTATTGTTATAATTTTTAACGTTTTGTTACAAATTAAACTTTTGTACATAGGAATTCTTTATTTTTATAGCAGATAATAGGATTAATTAAAAGAAATTAACGATTTTTTAAAATTACCCTCTATTTCACAGTGTAACCAATAATAAAAAATAAAAATAGAGTCTGGCAGGAGTCTGGAACCTCAGAGATTTGTGTCGGCTATGTTGGTATTACTGAATTAATTTTGACCAGAGATATAGATATTATATCTCTGGTTTTGAACCTTCCAGATTAGTAATGGAGCATCAAAGCGAAACATCGATATTTATCATTGATGTTAACATCGAATTAGAAAGCAAACATCGTATATTTGCTGTATACGGGTTTTATGGGTTTTATCTTTGGATCCAACTACCACTAATGATATTTTACATAGATATAAATGTAACGGACTGTTTGGTATCGATGTTAAAACATCGAAAATCTATGGCATAACATCGATGTTTTTAAAACGCAACCCGACACTATTAGGCATTCCAAACCACGTGATTTTAAAATGGCGGCTGGGGGCAAGGTCAATGAAGCCGATCAGCTGTTCTGTCATAATTCTATCCATTGAGGTTTTAGTTTTGTATTCAGTTTATATTTTTTTAATAATACATACCTATTGGGCCATCAGTATGTGTAAAAAATGATAGAAATAAATAAATATTCATAATATCAATACATAGTTTATTAACGTAGTTTTCATGTAGTTAATGAACGGGAAAAGACGTAGTTTTTGAAGAAAAACTACACGTAGTTAATCAGGTAAATTACGTCTTACGATATTACGATTCGGACAGATAATGATCAGCCGACATTTTTGATTTCGCTTAGTCGCACAATTGATTTTGGAAATCGCCCAATTTGCGACTTGCGATTTTTGCTAAAAAATGGTCGCCAAATTTTGAAAAAAGTAGCCCAAATTGCGACAAATCGCCCAATCTGGCCACACTGTGCCTAATTCCAGTTTCCAGGTTATGTTTAGTTTTGTGTTCTGTGGTTATGTTATTGTTTATCTATCTGTCAATTTGTCTTAAAAGAATTGCAATGTGAATTTTATCACTTTTATTTTATTTAATTCTTAATATTCTCTTATATTTTTTCATAATTAACACTAACATTAAGCGAGACATTGAATTAATATATTAGTTTTGTATTTTTAAGTTTAATATCTATCTAATTTTAATGGAGCCAGCAGAACAAAGACTTTTTCCCTTGGTTAAGTCGTTTTTGTAGTTTTTGTGCTTTTTTTTTCATTAAACCAGGTAAAATGGAAGAATGCTCAATTTCTCGATTAAGGCTATACTCTAAAGAAATTAATTTAGACGATTTCATTGATTTTGCCATACAAACAGGTGTCCTGAACAAAGACAGTTATTGTGAAATTTGGTCTAAGGTAAATTTATCATTTCACAGTTCTTTTATTTGTACAACTGATATTTTTAGCCTGAAAAGCATAGACTAGATAAACTTTTCTACAAAGTTGTAGAAAAAGGTTGTAGTTACGTAAAATTAGCTCTAGACTATTTAAATGAAAAAGTGCCAAATATAAATGAAATTATCAACGATGAAGAAAATTTTAGGAAGTCTACTATTAGAGGAAATTTTCCTAAGTTACCTCCCCATTATGTTAAAAGGGAATCGCTAGTAAGCTTTATCATCTATTATTATTATTTTTCTTTGTACTTTAATTTCAGTTTTAGGCGTCGGTCGTTAAACAACATTTACAAGAATTAACATGGGATCAACCATTGGTCATTCATGGTATGATGGGATATGGAAAATCCTGCCTTGTAAATGAAGTTCTGCATGATAAAATATTAAGAAAATGTTTTGATAATTATATTTTTTGGATCAATTTGGGGGAACATCAAAATTCGGATAATATATTGCAAACTATGTTAAAGTATGTGTTCTTTTTTGTTTAATTTTCTATATTACTAAACATAATTTTTTAGTCTTTACACAAGAGCATGTGATAGCCCTAACAAAGTTTATTGTCCGGAAGATATACTTGATCTAAAAGAAAGATTAAAGCAATTATTTTTGGAGTCACGTCTAAAAAATGCTTTGTTAATACTAGATGATGTGTGCAATACTGAGGTGCTCAAATTATTTGATATAGGCTGTAGAACGGTTATTACGACCCAAGACAAAAATATTTTAAGAAATGAAGCTGTACATCTTGTAGAGGTAAGTTTTATATAAATTTAGAATATTTTTTTGTAATTATGTCTTAAATTCAGCGTTCTTAAATCTCCTTAATAATACTGTTTAGAAAATTGGTTCTCACTAAATAATTTGGCTTATTAAAAATGGTTTAATTTTAGGTTAAAAGTGGATTCTTGCTTGAGGAAGCTATGGAACTGTTTAAATTATCTTTAGATACAAAGAAAGACTTGCCTGTCGTTGCTGAAGAAGTTTACCGAACTTGCAAAGGCCATCCCATGCTCATAGCTTTAATTGGTTCTTATTTGTCAGAAAATAAGACAGTTTTTAGCATGAACGATGACCAAATATGGGAGTATATTAGATTTATGTTTTCAAAGGGAGATTACAGGTTAGTTGGTACAAGTTTTTAATTATTTACTTATATAATTATAGAATAGTCTCACAAACTTATCTAAATAAACTCCCTAGATTTATCTAATTATACAGAAGAGACATGGGTAATTTTGGACCAATGACCAAATTTTAATTGGGTTTATTTGTATTTTTTTACTCTAACTTTGGTGACCGCCGTTTGTTAATTTTTTATTAGTTACTGTTTAATATCAATTATGAATGTATGAAACAAGCCCTAATGTAAAAAAATAATTTTTACATATAATAAACATTTTATTAAAGAAAAAAATAACTACTCTTTCAAAATAGTAGATGTTTTAAAAAGACGTTGAAGTTGAGATGGAAGAGAAATGCCAGTTCTTTTTATTTTTTACATATTTTATTTTTATCTTAGTACTTCATACATAAAAAAATGTTAGGGGCAGATGCTTAAATTCCCATCTCTGGTTAATATTTTCTGTGTTATTTGTTATAGGACATTCAGGATAAACAACTCGTAACCGTATACACCAGTGTACACGATTTCGAGTTGTTGAGGGCTAGGCTGATTATTTTTTTTTCCTTCTTTTTTATATATTTCCTTCATTATTTATTATAAGTATGTTTATAATTGTATTTTAAATTATATTTTTTTCAATTTGTAACCACTAAATGTATTAAGCGTTATAACGTCACAACAAAATTAAAATTATGTAAAGAAATATTTTTTCTCCGTGTATTTAACAAAAAATCAGTAAAATATATAATAAAATCGTACATATTTTTTTCAATATAAAAATGAGTTTAAAGGTCCCCATACACTTCCTTTTATTTGACAACGTTTTATCCGAGCGGGTACGACTGTTTAGTTAAAACCGTCAGTGTATGTGAATGTTCTATCACATGTATAAATCGTTATAATTTATTATTTTAATAGATAGATGTGTGAAAAAATACTTAACAATACAACTATTATATTTAGCGCCCAACGTGAGGCGCCATATATAATAGGTACTCTACTATATAAAAACATTCCACAGTCGCTTGTCCAGACACTCATCCTTACATAGAAATTAGTCGACTGCGTGGCGTATTGCCTGTTAGTTGATTCTGAAATTTTTTATCGCGTGTATAGCCCGTTATAATTTTATTAGTTTAATATATAAATTAATAGATATTTTAACTGTACGATTCGACCCATTTGTTCCTACCTGATAGTGTATGGACATAAACTGGCAAAACCGCACAATTTTATTCAAGTCAGTGTCGCGAACAGGTCTTTATCTATTTTTTCGGCGCATTGTATCATTTTCTTCTATTCTTTTGCATTTTCTGGTGTTTTCTAGCCGTTCGGTTAAAACGGAGCAAAATATCCGAAGCTTTGTCCGAAGTGTATGGGGGTCTTAAGACCTCGTTTATACTGAGAGACTTTCAGTCGACGCGGCGTCGATTTGAGGGTCGAGCATTCCTTACTGTCGCTTCTGTAAAGATAAGATATTCGTGAATGAAGCATTTAAAATAATATACAGGGTGGTCCGAAATGTATTCCGGAAAGTTCGGTAGCATATTCTGCACATTAAAATAAGTAACAAAGTTCGTATGAATGTATGTCGTAAAATGGTTAGTTTCGGAGATACAGGGTGTAGAAGTTTCATTTTTATTTCGATTTTTTTTCAAATAATTTCTGAACTAACGTCAATATTTGGATGAAAATTGGTATTTGAGAGTTTTTTGACAGGAGAAATTTGATTTTGATGTCAATATGACTCCTACTTGTAGAGGGCGCCACCTACATATTTTTTAACTGGTTTAAAGAGTAGTAACTTTTTCTCCGTACCTGTATAAAACAACTAAGTAAAAGAATATACATTTACGACGTTTTTTACGTAGAAAAGGTCCCTTGGTAAAAATCGTTCCGAGTAATGGTTCTCGAGATATTTGGAATCGAAATTATCAATCCCTGTCAGCATTCACATAAATTAATCATGTTGACTAAATAGTTATTAGACTGAAATCATAAATTTGAAAAGTTTTTGAGTCAAAAGTTCAATAGAAACTGTTTTATCATAATTTTTTCGCAGAAAAGCTTACAATTAATTTAAAAAAATTAAAATTTTTCAAATTTATTTTTTCGCTCAACTAACTACTCAAAGTGTTTATTTTTTGTCAATAATGGCATGTATTGACTATTTCCATTCTAAATATCTTAAGAACGGTTGCTCGTAGCGATTTTTACCAAAAGACATTTCTTACGTAAAAAGTCACGGAGATGTATATTTTTTCACTCAGTAGTTTTATACAGGTATGGATGTAACAGTTTATTTTACAGCGAAGAAAATAAGCCTAGCTTGTTTGGGGGTCTACACGTGTTTCCGCCCTTAACACGATAATTTTCTGGGAAAGTCGTAAAATCTGTTTAGTCTGAGGGACCCTTCTTTTTCTCTGGGAAAAACTAAATATTTTTCTGTTCGACTTAAATCTCACGATCATAAAATTAATGAATTGCCTTATAGAATGGCTGGGAACCAAGAAATCTTTAATAGAAATCAACAAAGTCGTGAGAACTAAGCTCTAGCCAGACTAAATAAACAGACCCTTATAGAGAAGCCTCTATGCAACGCGACACCAGCTATTTTTAATATCCATGTCCCATGCCACATGTTCGATAAACCGACGACTAGCCCACCCTGGTCGAATCAAACGTTTTGATATAAATAAGTTAAATAACTAAATTAACAAGGTTCACGTAACGTTATCCTGAAGGATTGCTGTCCTTTTTTTATCCTATGCAGCTCCGAAATTATGAGAAATAAATAAATATGTAAGATTACACTGAAATATAATGAATATAAATTAGAATTGTGATTTGGTAGTTTTTTTTTTAAGAGTAATCCTCAATTTGTGTTAGGTAAGAATATAGTTAAACAATGATAGGGTAAATTCAGGAAATAATGAGATTTACGTAGATATTTATGATAATTGAATTTAATAGCCGAAGCTAACATTACTACTGCCATCTAGGTTATATGGTGTGAGTTAAGCCTAAAACACTAGGGGGTTGGAACCTCCTCGGCCAATCAGAGGGTACCGGTAAAAGGGTGCCTGATGATGATACGAGGAACCAAAACCATAAGTGGAGCCTACAAACTTACCCCACTTACCCTGGATGAAGTGTGTTGAAAAATCGTTTTCTAAATCAGTTCACTTCTGTCTTTTTAAGTAGTTTGACGTGTTTGGCTTCGTGTGCGAATCTCAGTATTTCTTGGTATATATTTTTTTATTTTAATAGTCTTTGATTTTCTGAAGTTCTTAAATTTAAAATACTAAGTTTTCCAAAAGATTAACATATTTTTTGATTATCAGTTTAGTAAATTTTATTTCTTTCTTTAAATTAAATACTAATTTAAATTTGATTTCTTATTTTTTTCTCTTTCTTAAATTTTAATTATATTAATTTTCTTTCTCTAAGTCAGTTTCTGATAGAATTAGATATTATCTTATTTTACTCTTAGGATCATTGTTTTAAACGCTTAATTTTCTTTTTAATTTTAAATTGTTGTTATATATATTTTTTTGTCTTTCTTTTATTTTTGCTATTTAATTTCTTAGTATTGTTGCGAGCCGGTGTGGACTCGACCTAACCTCACAATATGGCCCGCCCTCGGATGACCTTAACATCGCATAGACACCGCAATGATTCATTCGTTCGAGAAGAATAGAGACCCACTAGAATGGACTAGTACATACGAGAACATTCGAAAACCTCTCTATGCGCCTAACGATCTTTGGACTATTCTAGATTTCTTTTACCTGTCGGTATAAAAGCCGGCGGCAGTGGCCTAGAGAGGGCAGTTATAAATATACAGTTGACGCGCTAAAATTCAAAATAAATTCTTAGTTATAAATCGTTTGTAAATAGTTCTATAAGTCTTTTATCGTTATTATTTTTGTTCATTAGTGTTAAATAAATAGTGTTTAAATAAATTGTGACTTTCTATCCACACGGAACCGACGAAAAACGTAACAATTGGTGTCAGGTGTGGCGTGTGTGATAGACTAGAAAAATAAAAAGACTAACAATGGCTGCGAAGAAATTGTTGAAAGACTTGAAAGTGTCCGAACTGAAATCCATATTGGAAGAGAGAGAGTGCGAGACAGATGGAAAGAAAAGCATTTTGCAAACCAGACTGAGAGACGTTTTAAGGGAGGAAGGCGAGGATCCGGACACATTTTGCTTTGAGTTCGAAGGTGACCTTGACTCGTGCCTACAAAAATTAGAAGCTAAAATGACGGAAAACTCTCAAAAATTAGAAGACAGTTTGAATGACAAAATTACAGAAAATTCCCGGGAATTGCAAGACAATTTAAACGACAATTTGAATAGTAAAATAATTGACTTGGAAGTTAATTTAGAAGATAAAATCACAGAGAATTCTCAAAAATTAGAAGACAGTTTGAAAGATAAAATTATGGAAAATTCCCAGGATTTAATTAATATTTTAGAGGATAAAATCATAGAAAATTCTAAAGATCTACAAGCCAGTTTCAATGACAAAATACTTAATTTAGAAGAAAGTTTAAACAATAAGATTATAGAGAATTCTACGGAACTACAAGACAAAATAACGGAGATTGAGGAAGATGTAAATAGAAAAATCGAAATTTTAAAACAAGAAATAGAAAAGGCCAATTCACCAAAATGTCAAGAAACATCGGAGGCACCGAAACTAGTCGAAAATAAGTATATCTCAAAGTCAGTTATTAAGCCTCCACAGTTTGACGGAAAAACCGCTTGGGCCAATTATTTTTGCCAGTTTGAGGCCGCTGCGAGAGCGAACGATGGACAATCGCTGAAAAGGCTACCGCTTTGACTGTCGCACTGCGAGATGCGACTGATATCCTGCAGACATTGTCACCATCGGAACAGGGAGATTATCAGCAATTGGTACGACATTTAGAAATGAGGTACGGCCAAGCTCATTTGGAACATGTCTATCATTCCCAGCTAAAAAATCGCATTCAAAAGTCAAATGAGTCTCTGCAGGAGTTTGAAGCCGACGTAGCGCGCCTCGTTCGCCTTGCGTACCCTGCTATGCCCGAAAATGTTATGGAGCGCTTAAAAATACAGGCTTTTATTGATGGTTTATGTGACAACGAGACAAGGCAAACACTTCTTTTAGCTCATCCAACGCATTTGGGAGATGCCCTAGCACGTGCCCTGGAATTTGAGGCCGCGAAAGAATGCTCTAGGTCTCTAGGATTTGTACGGGCTGTTGAGGAGAGTACCGACGATTCCAAAGTGGAAAGGATTGTGCGGAAAGTACTGGATCAGTATATGAGTAAGAAGGGGGGACCGATTCGCTGTTGGAATTGCGGACAGATGGGAAATCGTTGCAAAGAAGAGAAAGAAGTGAAAGTCTTAAGGACGACTGTGGTTGGTGATAGTTGGCAAACCGAAGATCTTGCAAATGACCAAATCAGTGATCCAGAGTTGGGCTTGGTGATTAACTGGAAAAACGCGGACCAGAGACCAACGTGGGAGGAAGTTTGCAGATATTCGCCGAACGTGAAGTCGTACTGGGCCCAGTGGAATTCCTTGGTAATAGATAACGGACTACTTCGCCGTGTGATCGAGAGACCGGAGGGACAAGAAGAGAGAAGGCAGATCGTCATTCCAAAGAAGAGGGTCCCAGAAGTCTTGGAGGAAGTTCACAATGGAACCAGCGGAGGACATCTTGGTGTTACCAGGACACTTGGCAAGCTGCGTGAACGGTTCTACTGGGTGAACTGCAAAGAAGATGTGAGGGGCCTGGTGTAAGAAATGTGACATTTGCGCAGCCATTAATGGGCCACAAAAGCGTGGTAAAGCCCCTATGCGCCAGTACAATGTTGGTAGTCCCTTCGAACGAATAGCGATCGACGTGGCTGGTCCTTTCCCGGAGACGAACGATGGCAACAAATACATTGTGGTAGTAATGGATTACTTCAGCAAATGGGTAGAGGCCTACGCGTTGCCAAATCAAGAAGCGTCCACGATTGCTGATGCTCTTGTTAAGGAATGGATCTGCAGGTTTGGTGTTCCAATGGAGCTGCATTCAGATCAGGGAAGAAACTTCGAGTCCAATCTGTTCCAAAGCGTCTGTGAAGTCCTTAACATCCGCAAGACCAGGACGACGGCTCTACATCCACAATCCGATGGGATGGTTGAACGCATGAACAGAACCATCAACCGTTATTTGGCCAAAGTAGTCTCTGACCACCAAAGAGACTGGGACAAATTCCTTCACCTGTTCCTGTTGGCCTACCGCTCATCCGTCCAAGAATCCACAGGGCAAACTCCAGCCAGCATCGTTATGGGACGGGAAGTGCGCCTACCCTGTGATCTGAAATTTGGTTGCCGACCGGGAGAAGAAGTCGCCGGAGAAGATTATGTCCACACACTACGTCAAAGGATGGACGACATTCATCAGAGAGTCCGCCTAAATATTCAAAGTGCTAGTGACCGAATGAAGGAACACTACGACATTCAAGCTGAGCATGGAGGATACCAACCAGGGAAGTTGGTGTGGCTATATAACCCGCAGAGACGTCGTGGGTTATCTCCGAAGCTACAATCCTCGTGGGAAGGGCCATACGAAGTCATGGATAGAATTAATGACGTCGTATACCGTATCAGAAAATTGCCAAAAGGAAAACCGAGGGTAGTCCATTTCAACCGTTTGAGCCCCTACCAAGGCGAAATAGAAGATCGTGCTGGGACCGTGAGAACCTGCAGCTTTGATCCCCCTGATTCGGAGATGTCCTTTGACGACTTCATGGCCCGATACAACAGCAGTGAGAAGGCTCGCTATGGTGTAACCAAAGAAGATCAACGAGACCTCTTCTCCGTGCCTCCTGATTATTCGCTCGCTCATTGTGTGGCTCGAGATTTGCGGATGTCCAGAGGAATCGCTGCGACGTTCAATGAGAAGTTTGGGCGTGTCGGAGAACTACGCCGACAGGATCCAGAGGTTGGAAGCGTCTTGAGGCTAACCGGCAATGCACATGGTCAAGCAAGGCACATCTTCTACCTGGTCACCAAGGAATGGTCCCCGAGTAAGCCGACTTATCTCAATCTATGGAAGACCCTGATTGAACTGAGAGAAGCCCTGCTAAATAACAACATTGCACGATTAGCCATTCCGAAGCTGGCGTTTGGACTCGATGGTTTGAGTTGGCGTACAATCCGGAACATGATTGAAGTCTTGTTCAGATTTACGGGAATCGAGATCCTCGTTTGCTGCTACAACCCAAAGCTGAGATCGGGAGAGAAAACTGTAGACTGCTATTTCCACCAGACTTCGCAATGTACCAGGGGCCGGCTTTACAAATACCGTCATTCACCGTATACATCTCGGGACGAGCATGTGCCTAAGAAGGGGGCAGTGTTGCGAGCCGGTGTGGACTCGACCTAACCTCACAATATGGCCCGCCCTCGGATGACCTTAACATCGCATAGACACCGCAATGATTCATTCGTTCGAGAAGAATAGAGACCCACTAGAATGGACTAGTACATACGAGAACATTCGAAAACCTTCTCTATGCGCCTAACGATCTTTGGACTATTCTAGATTTCTTTTACCTGTCGGTATAAAAGCCGGCGGCAGTGGCCTAGAGAGGGCAGTTATAAATATACAGTTGACGCGCTAAAATTAAAAATAAATTCTTAGTTATAAATCGTTGTAAATAGTTCTATAAGTCTTTTATCGTTATTGTTTTTGTTAATTAGTGTTAAATAAATAGTGTTTAAATAAATTGTGACTTTCTATCCACACGGAACCGACGAAAAACGTAACAGTATTGTAATAAAGTAGGTGTTGTGTAAAATCAGCATTTTATTTCTACTTCAACACCTTAAACCTAAAATTATAAAAGAATACTGAGAACGGTCCGTCGATCGTTTCTTCAAGAGAGAAGTACTGAAGCATCGACAGCACAGAGCCGCAAGTCCACAAGTTCTTGCTGACCAGATTAAGACATTGTTGGTAAGTCCTAGTAGAAGTTGATTACTAACTTTACAGGAGGATCCACGATGAGAGGCACACGTATTATTGATTAAGTTTTATTTTGGTAATTTAATGTGATAATTTACAAGAACGCCACGAAGATTCGTTGCTCTCAATATCCAAGTGCCCCGCTCATTAATATTTAAATAAATATTAAGCTACCATTTTTTTAGTCAAGGTCACGCTACCATTAGAGAAAAATTCATCACACGGACGAAAAGTTATTACTCTTCAAAACACTTAAAACACATGTAGGTGGCGCCCCCTACAAATGGGAGTCATATTGACATTAAAATCAAATTTCGCATGTCAAAAAAACTCCCAGACACCAATTGTCATCCAAATATTGAGTTCACTTCAGAAATTATTTGGAAAAAGTCGAAATAAAAATGCAACTTCTATACCCTGGATCTCCGAAACTAAGCATTTTAGGATATACATTTATACGAACTTTTTTATTTATTTTTATTTGCAGAATATGCTGCCGAAGTTTCCGGAATACAGTTCGGACCACTCTGTATATTTTTGATTATATTGTAGCTTATATTATTTTTTTACGCATCTCTAAAATTTAGGTTAAACGATTTTGATGACGACGTCAGAATTCCCAGCGAAAAGATCAGGACATGCGTAGACCAACTCCTCAGTAGGAAAGAGCTAAAATCCAGATATATGGACCTGGCTATATTCATGCAGGACGTGAACATACCTCCAGAAGTCCTAAAAATTCTTTGGAACACCACCATAACCGACGTGATGCACACCATGAACAAATTCGCACAAAAATCTTTAGTTGTGCCATTTTATCATAGCAACCAACAAAGGTTTATTTATGGAGTGCACGATATCCATTTGAAATACCTCAAAGAAGAAACGAAGGATCATATCCAGGAAATTCACAAGAGGCTGATTGATAATTATGATTTGCTGATTAATGGGAATTATGCCAAATTGCCTGATGATAACTACAGTTTTCATTTTATCGGTTATCATATGTCCGAAGCTCGGGAATTTGCGAAATTCGAAATGTATTTTAATTTGGAGTTTTTGGAAGCAAAAATCAGGGCTGTGGGTAAAGATGACGTCTTGACAGATATGGAGACATACAGAGACTTGATTACGGGAAAGGTAAGTAAATTTTGAGCTGCTTATATAAAACGATGAGTAATCCAAAATTATATTTGGCCGTTACTAGTGTTGGTAACTACTTGAAATTATATTTTTGGACAATTTCTCCTTTTTTCTTCTGAAAATCCGTTTTTTTATCTGAAAAATTAAAAAAGTTATAGGCGTGAGCCACTAAAAGTAATAGGCGTGAGCCACTTTTGAGAAACACCGGGTATACCGAGTGCGTCTCAAAAGTGGCTCACTCCTATAACTTTTTTATTTTTTGAAATTAAAAAAATACAGATTTGGCATGTTAGTATATGAGATAAATTAGGATTGATTGACGTATTAAATTGTTTTCGGTTACTCTCTGTTTCACCGGAAATGACTACAACTTTTGATTTTTAAATGGCACCCTTGGTATTTTTTACTTTATTTAATAGAAAATGACACTCTAAATAGAATGACATATCATATGCCAACTTTTGACATTCTCGCTTAAAAAAATTGTATTTTAAATTTCGGTGCCCGGTGGCGTAGAGGTACAGGCTCTCGTCTACCAATCTCAAGGTGTGGGTTCGATTCCCACACCCGGCATTTCATCAGCCGACTATTTTTATTAAAATAAAAATAGTTTGGGTACCTAGGTCGACTCAGCCTTTAATGAGTACTTGGGATTCACAATCCTGAGGTAATAATAGGCGGTTGAAGCGTAGTGCTAGCCACATTACCTTCCTTGTATACCGAACGGCTCTCTAGTATAGCAAGCTGTACCTTGCTACTCCCAAGGCGTTGAACGCTATATACGGGAGCTATTATTATATTTTAAATTTCAATCTAGAATGCCATGGCTGTGTTAAAACACCTAATTTTTAATCAAGGAGCCTTGGAAAAATAGATTTGATCGTCTAATGTTTTTAGTGTCTTATCCTGGCCGCTTAAAAGATGCCCAAATCGTATTTTTAAACATATTTCAATTTTTTTGAATGAGGGTGCATTAGCATATTTGGAAAAGGCATTTTTTTACTAATAATTTGGTACCACACACTTGGTATTTGAGTCAAATTTTTGTTATAAACCGCATGTTACAATTTCCCATACAATAAACCATATGCGAAAATGTCAAAAGTTGACATTTGATATGTCATTATATTCAGAGTTTCATTTTCTATGGAATAAAGTAAAAAATACCGAGGGTGCCATTTAAAAATCAAAAGTTGTAATAATTTCAAGTGACCAAAAACAATTCAAGTGACCGAAAACAATTTAATACGTCAATCAATCCTAATTTATGTCATATACTAACATACCAAATCTCGTTTTTTTATCTGAAAAAAATAAAAATGTTATAGGTGTGAACTAGTAGTGGGAACTATCGAATGAATACTATCGAAACATTCGATAGTTGCAACTCATTCGAATAATTCGATAGTTAGTAAGAAAACATTCGTTGAAAACTATTCGAATAAAAAATATCGAATGGATCCGTCATCTGCCTTGAAATATTGTATTCTAGTAATTCGGCAGCAAAAACCATTCATTTATAAGATTCATTCATTTATGAAATTCATTTATTCGTCAGGATGGATTATAATAAAATATTAACTGAATTTTAGTTGTCGCCCGGCGACGTAGGTTTTTTTCCGAGAAACCCGACAGCGAGCGGTCGGTGGCAATGCTATGAAAGAAGCCGGCATCTTTGATTTTTGCGGAGTCAGATATAGATAAGGACACATTATTTTTTTATTGAGGTGCTAGTATTTACACAAAAATACATTATGAAGGGCGCTGTTGCCATATTTTGGTATTAGTTGATATTAGCAAAGAATATTATTGTTTGGCTTTAGTTAGTTAGGGATAGTATGTCTATATATTCTGCATTTTTTTTTTAATATTCTATTGTTACACTGCAATAATACTTGTTATTTTGGATGTAGGAAAATAAGTTTTAATGTTTTTAAGCAAAGACTGGTTTAATAAATAATAATAACAGTAATAATAACTATTAACAATAAAATTTAAAATCATTTAATATAAATATTTTTTTTAGTCTCTAAATTTTTTGTGTGTAGCAACGTTGGTTTATTAAATAATAATAATTACAGAACTAATTTGTTATATTAACAACAAATTTTAAAATCATGAAATATAAACATTTATTAATTTTCTAAGCATGCAGTGTAATGGAAGAAAAATATAAATAAAAAATTAGAAATCAAAATTATTTATATTAGGTGCTTTATATTACTATTTAAAAATTATATTTACTTTTACTGGCATTTACTTTAAAAAATAAATGAAATATTTCTTCGCAAAAACTACATGTAAGAGAATTAGCATAAACAAAATACAAACATCGTTAACTTTTTTTTTAAATTGGCACGTGTAAAACTTTCATTTTAATTTTCTCACCCCATAGTTTGAGTTCGATAACCATTTACTTAACCACATTACTTTAATATGATTATTAAGTTCAACTAATTCATATTATTAAAACATCTAAAATACAAATATGTACTTTTAAAATTAATTTAAGTTCATCTCATCTCTCTTAAAAATTGCTACTTCTCAAAATTTCCCATTAAAAAATAGACCATATACCATATAAAATTAAATAATTGAAAGATCGGACTACGGAAAACCACACAACTTTTCGGAAAAATTTTGACCACCTGCACATGCACACAATCGTCAATAAATAAAATTAAAAAATAACTACTATTTTAGTATTTTAACTATTTTAGTAAACGCAAAAATAGCACAGTATTTATACGGTGAAGTTATAAAAATTTGGAAGAACTAATAATGCACTGACGCATACAAAAATCAAACGAATACTAAATTTCATTTGTCAAAAGCATTCGATAGTCGTGGCTCAACGATAACCATTTAGTCGCACAGCGAGGTTGTCACATATGCTTTAGTATACAAATGAATGAATGATTTTATTCGAATAAAACCATTCGATAGTTGAAATCATTCATTCATTAACCATTCGATAGTCTAATTCATTCGATAGTTCCCATCACTAGTGTGAACCACTTTTGAGGAACACCCGGTATATACAAATAAAAAAAATCTTGAACTACAATTTTTAAAATTAAACAGAAAAATATGGGTGCAAAAACTATCAATATAAATACAAAAAATAAGAAAACGATACAACAAAAATATAAAAATAATACATACCTACATATTAATAAAATTTAACATTTTTTACAAAAAACTCACTAATATTATAATAGGTCTTTGCTAAAAGAATATAAATGGGAACGTTATCTATTACAACACTAGCTGTTGCCATACTATACGAGGGTTTTCTGAAAAGTGTCTGACTTCACAATAATGCAAAACTTTTTTTGAAACTTTATAACCTAAATCTGTTTATTGATAACACGTCTCATTAGCAATATGTAAATTATATTTATTTCAGGATGCTGCCTTAGATACCAAACTAAACCATTACAAAGAATTTATAAGGAAACACGGTGCCAATCTGTATAACTTTCCTAAAACCAGTATTATACAATACGCTTTGCAAGAGAAAAAAGATTCCTGTATTTACGACACTGCCGTAGCTTATGCCAAGACTTCTCCCAGACTTTTCTTCAAGTTTATGTAAATATTGAATTTTGTAATTTTATTAGTTTAACATCGTTATTTTTACTGCAAAATGTTTCTTGCAAAATATATTTTACTTTTTTAGTCGGTCGGTGAGTGAGGATTTAGACGAGTTCCAGAATATCAACATACGAGATGACATAACCTGTGCCTGTTTTGTCAATTCTGTTAAGCATATCCTTCTTGGATTCTCCAGTGGAAAAATTAAGGTATTGAATGGAGGACTTATTTTAATGGATAAGTAATGTATCCTCCTTGGATAGACTATTTTTTATTATTTGTCTGAGGCTCAGACATAGCTTTAAAAATAAAATTTACTTTATTTTAGTTATTTTATGAGAGATATGAGAAAGAAATATCAAGTTTTGCTGGTCATTCATCACCCATTAAAAATTTGATTATTAGTCCGGATAAAAGTCATTTTTGTCAATTGGTTCGGAAGGTTTGGTGAAATTTTGGAAATTTTCTGATGACAGAAGAAACAGCATAGAATCCATAGGTAAATATAATTTTTTTATTATTAACTTTCAACTAAACTATGCAAAAAGCCTGATTTTTATGCGTCCATTATCCGTTGATACGATATGGTCCGACGGCGCTCTGATTGGTCATAGCGTTTTCGCGCCACTTTTATCCGTAAATTTTTTACTCCAGCCCGTCAACGGAGAAAGATCTACGATAACGGGCGTTTTGACACTTTTTTGACATATTTAATCTAACCTTTATAAAAATATAATAGTACAAGAGCTAGCAACGTCGGAAAAACGAGAATTTTAAGAAAGCTGGTTCTTTAATATATCTTTTGCTACGCTCTCCTGACCATAGTGTGAGCCGTCTGGTTGCCGGTAGACTACTGCGCATTACATTTGTACAGGGTATCTCATTTTCGTATGTTTTATGGGATTTCTCGTTTATGAGCAGAGATATAATGATGCGAATTTCACATTATTTTGCTACTTTTTTATAAAACTAAATATGCTACACATAGGTTTGTCCTAGCCTCTTTAGTTTCAGAAATACAGGGCGAATTTGCGATGCATAGTAGTGGGCAGATGTTGAATACAGATATGGGGATGCGCAGTAGTGAATGCAACGTCTACTGGCAGCCAGACAGTCCGCACTCTGTTCAGGAGAGCATAGCAAAATATATATTAAAGAACAAGCTTTCTTAAATTTCTCTCTCGAAAACGTTGCTAGCTCTTAGACAATAAATAAAACAGCGACATCGTTATGGAAATGAAAATATAAAATGACACCAATCACAAGCAAATCGTATATCCGATGAATATTAGGTAATTACGCCGGCTGCGGCTGTGGTAATAGGCAAGGCTGAATCCATTGTCCTCGCCTTGTATTATATCTCGGATCTGCCGACTGAATAGATTCCCGTGAACTAGTCGTTTAATTAGTTCCTCTAGGTCCGGATCCGATAACAAACGGTTGGTACTCCCCACGCCTGCCTAGCATCAAACGCGCTGGCCGATCCGTACGTAAACTAGTCTTTTATTTAATTCCTTTAGGTCCGGATCCGATAACATACGGCAATACGGCTGGCATCGGGCTCCTGCCTAGCATCGGGCTACGCGCGCTGGCCGATCCGTCACCGTCGCATATTTTGTTATATATCGGTCACAATCTCGATCCCGGAATAGGTCCCGAGGAACTAGTTCTTTGAGAAACCAGGAACTAGTTCCTTTCATTCCGGGGTCGGAATAGTTCATTGGAACTAGTTCGTTCACGAACTACACACCTCACATACACTCTCCCCCCTTATACTGTTTATTCAATAGTTCTATATTATTTTTTAATATCCAAAAATAATGGTTAGGATCTCCAAAAACGACTCAAAGCAACTGGCAAGACCTCTTCAGCCCGGATAATGGAGAAATTCAACCCAAGAAAGAGATAACTCAAAAAAACGACCGTTTGGTCTCCGCGGCTTTCGCCACCTCCTTTCCCGTACCTCCTTACGCAGTCACAGGCTCCAAAAATGGGTGCTGTGTCGTCTGGGATTTGGATACTGGCAAAGAAGTGTGTTCAATCGGACCCAGAGGTTATGAAATTTCTTGCGTACATCTGTCATCGCGTGCGTCATTTTCAGTTATGATGATCTGATCAATATATACAAATTCACAACCAAGAACAACAAGATTGAAGCTGAGTACTCATCAGCTTTATACAACAAGTACAAGGTAAGTAATCATTACGGTTCTACTCACAGGGGAACTATTCTAACTAACATCTCGTTTTCATCATCAAGATTTTTTATATCTATAATTTAGGGAAATATTAAAAAACATTTTACTTATTAAGATTACAAGTTAAAAAACGTGAAATAGTTATGAGCTTTATTAATTAGCTTTTGTACCGAATTTTTAGTTTGACAAATTAGCTCAACTCCCATAGTAATCGTAGTAATTGTTGATTAACGTTTCACGCAGGAAAGGCAATCTTTTTCTTGATAATTGTAAGGTGCGTGAAAAGATTATCCACTTACAAGACATATTTACCGTTTTTTATTTGAGTCTATGGATTTCAACTGTTTGGTATTTTATATATTTTTTCTGCTTTATGCGATATATCCAGATTTTGCAATATTTTTAGTATTATGTATATTTTTTCAGATTTACTTATTTATTGTTTCTTTTTGTTACAAGGTTAAGGCATTTTTCCCTTGCAAACAGGAGATAATAGCGGTGAGTCACAACAATATCAGGCTGTGGAACGTCAATACGAAGAAACCACAGGATCATAACCTCAATTTGGAACCAGAAGAGCAGTGCTTGTGTCTGGCGCTTACTTCAGATTTGAATTATCTGATTTTTAGCACCGAGAAGGGTAAAATATATTTTTGGAATGTTCCAAAGAAGGAAACTTTTAAGGAGATTAAAAGTAAAGGGTAAGTGCTACTTTTTACATATACTTTTGTTTGTCTATAGATGTTAAAGAGATATTTATTTATTAAATGTTAGTAATTTATTTATACTATTATTCTTAGTCTATTTTAAAATACTGTATGATCGAAAAAAAAACGGCGTCAGCGAAGGCTATAAAATGAAAATCGCTGTCTTTTTATATGTAAATTTATATGGGAAATGTCATTGATCGTCATTTCCCAGCCAACTGGACTCCGTCTTTTTTTCGCTCATACGGTATATGACATATATTTACATTCTTATTGCTTCTATTTCTGATCTACAAGTTGATGTTATTAAGGTTTTCAATCTAAGGTCTCATCTCTGAGATACCATATCATCATCTTAACTTTTTTAACACGGACCTAGATTTTTTATTCTTTAGTGTGGGTTTACATGCTTCCGTCGTGCGCCGCCCGTTGTTTTTATGCAATATCATTGTTTTTTTTTAAATTACATTCTTCTCATCAATTCCGGATTTTGGAAATAAGCAAAACGATTCAAACTTTACTAACTGCTGCTCTAAATAACACTTGTGTGGACAAAGAAAAACAAGTCCCAAGGTTTTTTAAACAGTGGATTCTGCGCCTCCAGGTCCTCTTCAAGGCCTTTCCCTGGAGTATCAACTGAAGTAGACCATATTTGGTTCCTCATTAGATATTATAATTTTCGTTGTTTAATAATATTCACTATTTCGTTCTCCTTTTGAAGCATTTCCAAAATGGTCTTGTTGGATATGTGGTCTACCCAGGAGATTCTGAAAATTCTTCGGTATAGCCACATCTGGAAGGCTTTTCTTTTATTTCTGGACGCTTCTGTTAATGTCCAGGACTCGTCACCATACAGTAGCACAGATCAGATAGCATTTAAGCCGTCTTAGTTTGGTTTGTAAATTAAAATCTCTATTCCTGAACAGATTTTCCATTCTTAGGAAAGTAGCTCTTGTTTTCTCTATGCGGCATTTTATATCTACAGAGTGGTTCCATTGTTCATTAATAATAGTACCCAAGTATGTGTAATTAGTTACTCTTTAGATTGGTCGAGTATTGGTTACCAGTTGACCGGGTTGTATGTTATATTTACTAATTACCATGAACTTGTTTGTTTGTCGATTTATCAGTTTCGGAGACCTTCGAGGGAAACAGCGTACACAATGGTATCGTCCGCGTAACGTATATTGTTAAGTCTCTCCGTTAACTAATAATGAGAATTACATACCATACTGCAACCTGATTTGAGTGACGGAACGACGGATGCGTATAAAGCCGCCTTAACTCTTATTCAATGCTCTCGTTGGACATACTTTACTTTTTATACTAATTTTTTCAGTCTAGCCAAATCCTTGGACACATTCTACGACGAAAACAAAACTTTTCACATTCTGCTGATAGGATCGGACAAGAGAACTTTACAACAGTGCTACATACACCCCAATAAGGATAGTACCGAACTGTGTTACACCAGTACGCCGCTGTTTGTGGCTCACTGGAAAAACAATCAGCCATTTTTTCCGTTGGTTTCCAGTCCAGAGAATAAGATTCAGGTTTACAGAGGATACTCCCTTATTTCTGAGACAGATAAAATAAACGTTACGGTAAGAGAAATAAATGTTTATTTTTATTTGTTAGTGACAATATTATGTTTTTCCTCAGAACACTTTAGCCATAGAATTGCATATATAGAAATTTTAAAACATTTTCCGATGCACGTCATCAACTTTGAGTGACAAGCGATGGCGACAGCGCTGCCAGATTGTGATGTATTTATGAGATGAATCTTAATTTAAAAGTGACAAACAATATATTTAATATATAATTTTTTAAGGCAGCAGCTACTCGCTACAAATTGAAATAAGTAGAAATAACTTGAAAGTGGTATAATGTGCTTACCAATCAATCTTACTTCTTTGACTGCAGTCAAGGGTAATAAAGGACCCTTATTGTCACTTTCTCGTTTAAAATAGTTTATCAGGGATGCTACAAGCTCTTTGCTTCGACTGTTTAAATACTTCGGCATATTTTCAATCCACAATTTCAAAAAATGCAGTAAAAAATCTCGAAAATTTAGTTCTTAAAAGAACTGTTTGTGCTTAGAAGTACAATTTAAGAAAAAAAAACTGTGAAAAACGGCAAAAACGAGAATTATTCCCAAAAATTCAACAACACGATATTATACAAAATAATGACTGTGACACTAGGATAATTGTCAAATAATACACGACAAGATTGCTGAACATGGCGCAATGTGACCAACAAGGCGATAATAAAAATCGGTTTAAACTAATTTTTGCAGCTTAAATCTAAATAAAATATCTGTTATAGATCAATGCCGTCTCTAATAGAACAGCCTCGGAGCGAGATTTATGACGTCACGCTAGTTAGATAATACGGATTAATAAATATGTTGTAGAATACACGGAAAACATAATTATTCCTCGTATTTTTGGTTTGTATTTTAAAAATGATATAGTTTACATAAAATATACATAATATACAGTTAATAAATACAATATACACCTATTTATAGTAATAAATACTTTGGCAAATAAAATATGAACTATACAAATGCAGCAAATGTTTTACAATATACAAATAATGAATAGGTACATAAGATAATGGGTGAAATATAAAATATATTTTAAATTTTTGGGTTTGAAAATCGATCTAATTTAAGAAAAAACATTCAATATCTACTAATAGTGATGTATTATTATTTGCATTGACAAAATTTATATGTATATTTTGCAAGTAGGTATTTATGTTCGAAAAATTATATTTGCAAATAATACCATAGAAAAAAAGGCGTCAGCGATGGCTATGAAATAAAGATCGCTGTCATTTTATATGTAAAATTATTCTAAAATTTTTGATTTTCTTGGGATTTAGGTTCGGGAAAAACGCTGATTAAGTTTTCATTTGGTTTTTCATTATTTTTTTTGGTTTAAAAAAACGTTTCGGCTAACATTATAGCCTTCATCAGTGTTGTGTCATATGAAAAAAATAGTGTCGAATATAATCCAAAAATTACATATAAAATATTCACAACCTAACCTAACACCACATAATGTTTACTGCAATTAATAAACTAATATAAACTTGTCAAAAGATGACCATATATTTTTTAAAATTATTATTTTTAACACTAAAATTAATTATATAATAATATTTAATGTAAACTATATCATTTTTAAAATACAAACCAAAAATACGAGGAATAATTATGTTTTCCATGTATTCTACAACATATTTATTAATCCGTAGTATCTAACTAGCGTGACGTCATAAATCTCGCCCCGAGGCAGTTCTATTAGAGACGGCATTGCGTCAGCATGGCCGCAAGTTGCTAACCTAATAAAATTAACTCTAGAAAAGCCCGCGGGAACTGTCAAATTCAAAGTTATTCATTTTACAGATTATACAATCATTTGCTCTATAAAGTATAATGAAGAGCTGCTTGGTATTTTAATTTAGTCAACAAATTTAAACATTTTTGCTAAAATTTCATTTACTCAGGTTTATAGGCTTTAGTGTCAATTTCGATGTGATTGATGACGTGCATCGGAAAATGTTTTAAACTTTCTATAATTAGTTAAGTTTTTGTCGCCATGACAGTTGAAGCATGGCTTATGTGAGTTTTTTTTCTTATTGGACATTCTGAATTGATTGCACATAAATTTTGTTGCGATTTTTTTTGAATTACTGTGTAATATTCACTCTATCTTATGAAAATATTGTTTCAGATAACTCGTCTGTGTTTATCAGCTTGCGGAGACTACGTAATATATGGCCTCTCGACCGGAGAGATCAGAATATTCAACATAAAAAACAAAACCAACACCAAACTCCCGCCAATCGAAAACAGGGGCTCAATCAAGTTTCTCAGCTGTTACGACATGGACAACTACTCAACATTGAACTTGATAGATAATCTGAACAGCGCCTTAGACTTAAACGTCAACAGACAGTATTTCTCGGGGGTGGTAGTGGCAGTTTGTGACAACAACTACCTGTCAGTCCATAAAAACCACCATCCACTGCTGTTGTCTTCTGTAGACAATCCAGTTGTATTCTCAAAAGGTGATCATTTTATTTTGGTGGATTCTTCATGTAAAATCAGTAAATTGGACATCAGAACGAACTCTTTTACGACGTTTGACAGTCATTTGGAGATAGGGAATTTTTCGGTGGCCTTGTTGGCAGCTGCATTTTGTGGTCAAAAGAATTACCTAACCTTGGGCTGTAAGAAAGGCGATTTTTGCTATTTGGACTTGGTGGAACTGAAAGAAAATCATGGAGGGAACCATGTGGCACAATTGAAGGAAACGTTTGAGTTGGAAGAAACTATCAAATCTTGCTGTATTTCGCCTGATGGATGTTTAGTAGTGGCAGGTTTTGTCAGTGGAAATATAAGGGTAAGTTTAGGAAAAAATATATAGAGGGTGTATCGGTACATTTTGAAAATATTTTCCCAGTTATACCGGATGTGTCTCAAAAGTAGCTCACCCCTATAACTTATTAAACTATTATTATTTTTTTAGATAAAAAAATCAGATAAAAATTCGACATTTGTTATGTTAGTATATGACATAAATTAGGATTGATTGGCGTATTCAATTTTTTCATCATTTCCTGTTTTACCGGAAATGACTACAACTTTTGATTTTTAAATGGCACCCTCGGTATGTTCTTTACTTTATTCGATAGAAAATGGCACTCTGAATAGAATGACATATCATATCAACTTTTGACATTTTCGCTTAAAAAATTGTATTTTAAATGTCAATCCAGGGTGCCACAGCTGTGTTAAAAACACTAATTTTTAATCAAGGAGCCCTGGAAAAATAGATTTGATCGTCTAATGGTTTTTAATGTTTGGTCCTGGCCGGTTAGAAGATGCCCAAATTGTATTTTAATCATATCTCATTTTTTTCTAATTTAACGGTGGTGGCTCATTAGCATATTTAGAAAAAGCATTTTTTTACGAATAATTTGATAAAACACACTTGGTATTTCGAGTCAGACTGTTGTTATGAATCGCAAGTTGCAATTTCAAATAAACCATATTGGAAAATGTCAAAAGTTGACATATTATATGTCATTCTATTCAGAGTGTCATTTTCTATCGAATAAAGTAACAAAATATCGATGCGATGGTGCCATTTAAAAATCAAAAGTTGTAGCCATTTCCGGTGAAACAGGAAGTGACCGAAAACAATTGAATACGTCAATCAATCCTAATTTATGTCATATACTACCATACCAAATCTCGTTCTGTCATCTGACAAAATAAAAAAGTTATAGGGGTGAGCCAGTGTAGAGACGCACCCGGTATACTATTACCACAGATTAGGTATCCTATAAGTATACAGATAAAAATCTTGTCCCTAACTCGTGGTACGAAAATTGTTTTTTATGACGATGTGCAAACGAGTCAAATTTCCTGTGCGCAAAAATAAACTCGCGTAAAATAACAATAAACAGCGTAATAGAGAGATATTGCTAAACCGAATAGCGTGCATGGACGTTAATAAGGCCAGGTATTATTTCCTTTACGTGAGGTGGTATTAACTCTCTTCATTTATAGTTATGGGATCGGAAAGAATTCTGATCGCGTGGCGTCCGCTATTTAAACTTAACCTAACTTTGAATTTAAAACTTTGATATTGTTTTGTTTACTAGGTATTTTAAAACTAAAGGACTAAAGTGCTTATTTCCAGTGCTTTATTGTTCAACGTTTGCCAGTGGGTTTAGGGCAACAAGCAACAAATTCTGTTAGAAGGGCTAAGTCGTCATCTGCTCTAAACCTAAGACTCTTTATAGGTTCTTTAGTATTGGAAGAGGTGGAATCCATATTTTGGGCCATATTTATTTAATTAAAACTAATCCCAGCTACTTAAATATCAAATTACCTAATAAAACTAAAGCAATAATTCAAAACAATTCAAACATTTAAGCAATTTTTAAACGTTATCAGAGGTTAGAAAGAGCGTTTGGTGTAATTGATCCGCAAATTACGTCAGGCGGTAACGTTATTAGCGGGTGTTGCGTTAAAAATTGACTCGCGCATATCGTAACCATGATAAGGTACGTGTAAATACTGGATGACGCTATTCGGTTTTCCGATATCTCTCTAATAACTGTGCCGGTCAGGCGCTATGCACAATTTTAGACGTCATAAGTGGGCGTGCTATGTGCGCAAACTAGTCACCTAACTAGTGCCCGATTCCGAAAATTGGAACCACGAAAAACAATAAAGAAAAAACAAAGATTATAATCTGTATAATCTGTGCTATTACTATTCCCTCCCGAGGATATTTCATAACATTAATAACCATGATTTCATATTTTACTGTTTGCGAGCATGATTTTATGTAGTCGTCAGATGTCGTTATCATCATGCTCTCTGCAAATACTCTTATATTGCTTTAGCTCAGTGCTCAATGTACTTTTCAGGATTTCTTTAAGAGACATTCAATTCTATTTTAGGTGTGGAACATGCAAACTGGTAAAAAGGATAACTTTTATGGTTGCCACAGCGATTCGGTAGAACAACTGATGTTTTGTCCTAGTCTAGATCCAATTTTGATTAGCTTAAGTGAAGAGGTGTCGTGGTGGAATTTTCAGTCTTTCAAGCAAAATTCTAAGCCTGTCGGAACTGGTGCTTTTAAACCAAAACGGTAAGCCTTTGAATTATAACCTAGATTTTAATATAACATCCTTATTATCCTACTTATTATATTATTTTTTTTCTGAACGCAGGGGATACTTATTCAGTGGTAACAAATCGAAATTTAGACATAAATCTTTTTAATGGCTTATGTCTGTTCTAAAAAGACTGAAATCTTTTAAAAGATTTAACCTTTTATTAATGACATTTCTTTCTTTATTTTGGAGTAACGATTTAAATCACAAATCATTTTGAAATTAACTTAAATTTTAAGTCTTAACCTTTGATTAAAAAGATTAAGGAAGGAGCATATCAAAAATCTTAGATCGAAAGCGACGGGGAAATGGCCTACTTAAATTCCGGTTTATCAGTATGGTTCTAATTTTATTCAAAACTTGTAAAAATATGATGTAGGGTAGACTCAATAATTTGTTGTTTTATTTTACGTTGTTAATAAATAATGTTGGTAATTATTAAAATTGTTATAAAAATATATAATTCTGATAAAAATAGATAAGTTATAATAATTATTTATTAACACAAACATTCGATACTCCACTGAAGCAGATAAGTCAATTTGACGTATCTAAATTCTTTGACACCTAATGTTTGACAAGTAGTAAATAAAAGTAAAGCAAGAAAAAAATATAATTAGTTAATTTTAAGTGAATTTCATAAATAATCGGTTTACTGCATATATGTATATTATATAGTCACTTACTAGTAAAAAGTTATTCCATTATTCCCCTCGATTTTTGACCGAGATCTACCGCACGCTACAAAACCAACTATTTTACAGTTCTTTTCGATAAATCGCATTAGTGTCACTGTTAATTTAAGTTCTCCCACAGTTTCCTTCTAGATTTATTACCTTTAAACAACTATCAATTGTAGAATAAATAATATATAACAAGCTCAGTAAAGACTGACAAATCCACAAAATTTCAAATCAAATTCAAATGTGTCAAATGAATCGTTAGAACTGTCAAGGATCTCCACTCTAGCGCCCTATCTCCGTCTACCATGCATGAATACATGGATTAGTACGAGAGCTAGCAACGTCGGAAAAACAAGTATTTTAAGACGTCTGGCTCTTTGATATATCTTTTACTATGCTCTCTAGAACAGCATGCTGCCCGTCTGGCTGCTGGTAAATGTTGCGTTCCCTACTTCGCATTGAAAGAAGATCCTATATTTTTATTAGTCCTTTAAATTCTAGTATTGAATATAAATCGAATATGTCTCCATAGCGCAGTGCGTAGAGTTTCCGACCACGAACCGAGGATTCAGAGTTCGAATCCGGGTCAGGGCAAAGACTTTTTTATTTTATTTTCGTTTATATTCTGATAGTAAAGTATTAAATAATTCTGGTAATTAAGAAAAAACAAATATTTAATACTTTACTATCAGAATATAAACAAAAATAAAATAAAAAAGTCTTTGCCCTGACCCGGATTCGAACTCTGAATCCTCGGTTCGTAGTCGTAAACTCTACGCACTGCGCTATGGAGACATGTTCGATTTATATTCAATAGGTACTAGAATTTATGGGACTAAATTAAAAAAAATATATAGGATCTTCTTCCGATGCGCAGTAGTGAACGCAACGGGTATCGGCAGCCAGACGGGTTGCATGCTGTTCCAGAGAGCATAGTAAAAGATACGTCTGGTTCTTTGATATATCTTATAATATAAGATATATCAAAGCAGACGTCTTAAAATACTTTCTCGAAAACGTTGCTAGCTTTTAGACTAGATAGCATTATACTCCTTCCTTAATCTTTTTATACAGAGTTTCTCAGCTTTCGAAAAATATCTTAAAATCAAATCAGTCATTAAATGATTTAAATCAAAAAAAGACTTAAGTTTTCTGTGAGCTTGCAGCTCTGGCTGTCACCAACAAGTCCTAGCACAATGTTTTTCCACATTGATGTACTTTGCATAAAACCAATTATACTTTCTTATTATTGCTCCAAACACGCAAAAAATCATATTTGTCAAGAATTTTTTTGTTGTTTTTATTGTATATTGTTACGGATTCCGTGGGTCCACTATTTAAACTCACGATAAAATACTTAACGAATTTATTTGTTTCACTCTGTACACAACTTATACTATTTACAACACAACTTATGCAACTACTATTACTCTAACGGTATTTCGCGGTATTTTCAAACTTCAGACTTAGACTTCAAACTTCAAACTTTAAACTTTCAAAGCGCGGGCCTTATATACCCCCTGGCGGTTGTTTCTAGATTTTTCTAAAGAATTCTATAATTTTTTTTACTTTCTGGCGAATGCGCCAGGTTCCTCAATGCACTTTGCGATTTTAGCAGTATGCAGTTATGCAACCAGTAATACACCTTGACAATATGTTGGAGGCAGATGCCGAATTTCGGCCAATGTCCAAAATAATTAGATATATGGCGATTTGTCCATACTAAACTTGCCAGGGGGTTAATCTTTTTTTGGTATAATATAACAACAAAAGATTAACACCCTCCGCATAGAAGTTGAAACCAATGCAATCAAAACTCTTCCGCGTAACTTTGTGGATATAGGTAGGTATATTTAATTATAATCGCCATATGTCTAATTTTCGGCATCTGCCTCCAATATATACAGTGTGTCAATTTTAAAACTTCCCACCCTTAATATCTTTCTTGTAGGTAAAAATATGAAAAATTGGAAAGACACCTCAATTTTATTTGTAAGGGGGACGCTTTAAATGAATATTTTTAGCCTTTTTCTTTCAACCCCCTAGGAGGGGTAGATGTCACATTTATAATCTTAAATGGGAATGGGGGTCAAGTGGCACATCGTTTTAAAGGGCGTTTAATTCTCTTTTCAGTGGTATCCTACTTTATTGCTTTTTATCCAGAGGTTTCCGAATGATCGCGTTTCAAAATTGCAGAAACAATTAAACGTGCCTGCATTGAGATTTTGGTTTTCACGTTAGTGTTTACACAAAAGTTATTGCAATGGATCTCCTTGTAGAACAAATGTTTAGAAGATTAGGTTACACCACTTACGCCCTATCTTATAAGTTGTTCAAAATGTTGTCCATTTTGCTGTAAACAGTAATAAAGTATGTTTTCAAACATCTCCCTAACATTTCGGAAAACTTCACCGGGATTTGACTGGCATTCTGCTGTAATTTAAGATCATCAATATCAGTAGATTTTGTTTTATAAACAATGGAGTTAAGATGTCCCCCCAAAAAACAAAAGTCTAAGTGATCTTGAAAGCCATTCAATTGGTCTCCTTCTGCCAATCCATGTACCCGGAAATCTCTCGTTTAACCACTGTCGAACCGCAAAAAAATAATGAGCTATAGCACCGTCCTACTGGAATGTTAACAAATCCTCCTGTGAAACTGATTAGAGGTTGCAACTCATTCGAATTTGAGAAAGGAAACATTAATGTTTATGATGATTTTTTGTTTATTAGTATTTCGAATTTCGACCCCCTAGAAAAATGTAATGGCTACATCCTTGTTACCCCTAATCTTCTAGTCGTTTGTACTACATGGAGATTTACTGCAATAATTTTTGTGTAAACACTAGCCTGAAAACCAAAATCTCAATGCAGGTATGTTTTATTGTTTCTGCAACTTTGAAACGCGATATTCGGAAATATCTGGACAAAAAGCAACAAAGTAGGATACCACTGAAAAGAGAATTAAATGCCCTTTAAAACGATGTGCCACTTGACCCCCATTCCCATTTAAGATTGCAAGGGTGACATCTACCCCTCCTAAGGGTTTGAAAGAAAAAGGCCAAAAATAGTAATTTAAAGTGTCCCCCTTACTAATAAAATTGACGTGTTTTTTCGATTTTTCATATTTTTAACTGCAAAGATATTAAGGGTGGGAAGTTTTAAAATTGACACACTGTACATATAAAAGTAGTATTTTTTACTTCTTATTTGGTCTTTTATTTGATGTATTATAACTGATGATATCAATTTTTAGCATTGAAATCTTGAATGTGTCGGAAAATGAGTGCAATATGGATATCGGTTTCTGGAGCAACAGGACTCCATCAGATGGCAGTTGCTTGCTCTCCTGTCTCAGACTGAACGCCAGACCTATCTACTTATCAGCTTCCAGCGATTTCAACACTTTCCTTATATTGGATGAAAAGGGAAAAATTTACATCATTGAGAGACTGGAACAGAGCTGAAGAATCTCATCTTATTTGAGTTGAAAAAAACGTTTATGTTGAGTGCTGTGAATTTCAATAATCAAATATAATTAGTTTTGATTGAACTTTTTAAGACATAAAAGTACTAATTAATTATCAAAAATTACGTTTCTAAATAATCAAAAAAGAAATAAAAAATATGTATTATTATTTTATTATTTATAATATTTCTGATAATGATAATATTACTGATTCCTATTATATCACCGAAGTTACGTTATTATGAGGTGAGCATTATGTTCACCTCATCATCATATTAATTAATGATAACAAAAAGGAGATGTTAATTTAAAATATTTTATATTTTCTTATTCCATGGTATAAATTATGACAGAGGATTCAAATCTAATGTTATTTGATTATATGATGTTTATTAATTATTATATTTTTAGTATAAGGTCTAAAATTTACTAATTTAATTTACTATATTGTTATACACTTTTTTATAAATATATTTTTATAACCTAAATGTTGTTATATTTGTAGCAAAGACTTTAAATACAGCCTGTCCAGCGAAAAAACACGATAGTGACAGTTGGTATCTGCCATTTTAATTCAGGATAGGCAGATATATACATAGACATTTTTATTATCTAGTTATTTATCATTTTTCTTAAGGTCATAACGTGCAAACCAGAAAGTCTAACTTTCTTTAAACTTATATTACATCAAATTAGGAAGCTTAAAAATTGTGTTATATATTAATTATTGGCCTGATATACTAATTTGTTTCTATTTTTATGTATAAAATTAAATAATTCTTAAATATCGATATACTATTTCCTCGATATCACTCGCCCATCTCTAGTATATTTTGAAAATTCGCGGTTTTTTTTCAATCTAACAATCTAACTGTGAATCTAACCTCACAATTTAAATGAGAAATCTTTGTTTTGTGTAACTTTTGTTATTTAATTATTAAGGTGTTTGTTAGTTTTTAAATAAATCCGTAATGGGTGAACCAGAAACTGTAACAGCTGCTTTAAACTTAGGTAAGACTGCCATGTTTATCTTTTTTTAACTTGTGTTTTTATATTAATTTTTGTGTTAAAGATTTGGCTCAACAGCAGGGTTTTGTCAGATATTTCAACAGTCTTCCAGAGGTAGGATTTTTATTTATTTATTTGTAAAACAATCGAGAATTAGATATGTTTTCTAGAAGTTGTAGTAAATTAAAAAAAAAGGTAAAAAGGTAAAGCTTGTTATTTGTTAAGTAAAAAAGATTCATTTTGTATCTATAGTCTGTCCGACGATTCGTGAAAGATTTCGACAGACACATCTGTCAATGTCATGTATCCTCTCGTTGGACAGATTATATCTATACAGAATGTTTAAAAGAAATAAGAATATATCTACATGTGGCCTTGTGGTTGAATTGACTGCTCTGCTCTCTAGTAGACGCAAGGTTGCTGGTTCGATTCCAGTCTTGGGCATGGGTGTTTAATGTGTGTGTGAGTCTGTGTTTCTCTTAATTTAAATACAAGAAAACGGTATACCAAGAAAATTTATTAGATAACTGGTTGGAAGCTGTAAGTGATTCGTGGCCATTGAAAATGGAAAAAAAATATATCTACATATAGCATAAACTATTCATATTGGTTAGAAGGTAGGTATCCATTTAATTAGTAAGTATATTTTTATTTTTGTCATACCTAACATTTAGGTAAAATATGGCAAGACAGATAAAAATATTGCAAGATTCTTGTATATTGTATAAAGATCAGTAAGTAATTTAAGATTAAATAAAATTAAAAGGCAAATAGTTTCTGTGTTTGTTAAAATCATTCCACGGGGTAATTTTACAACTGCTCCTTCGTCATTGTTATTCAATATGCTTGTGTTTTTTGAGACCCTGTATTTAGATTTATGGACAAAGACATTACTCAACAGAAATACACTAAAATTTGTTAAAGTTGATTGAATCTATGAGGCAGTAATGTAATGCCATGAGGATATTCATAATTTTTGTTCTTTCTATCACTATAAATGAGGACAATTTCAATAAAACACATAATATATTTCTAGGATTTTATAATAACTTAAAACTAAACTATATTACAAATTCATTCATATATTTTCCACTTGAAATCATCCCACTATCTTTTGCTTGAGTGATTTAACTTTATTTCCAAACTTTGACCACCAGCCTTTACTTTCTGTTGAAGATTCAACAGGTTCTTCACTAGTAGGCGATATTACTTCAATATCCCCACTTTTACCCGCCACTGATTGATGTTCTGATGCCAATCCAGGCGACTGCACCACAGTCGCGTGTTGATAAGACAGTGGTTCAATATCTTCTGTCTGTTCAGGATTCACTTGCTGTACCTGACCGAAATTAGTAATATGTTGGCTTGAATGGTGGAATCTATACTCAGACCTACCCGAGTTCACGTTGAATTTCTGAGTTAGTTGCTCTCTGATTCTTTTAATCAGTCTGATTTCGAGGTATTTTTGAACGTCAGGTATTTTACTCTTTTCAAAGTTTCTGTCTATCAGTTCTGAGTATTTGCTCAAGCCTGGTTCAGCAGTTCCAGCAATGAACTCCGTGAGATTCTTCTGGATTTCTTGTTCGAGTTTAGTAGTGAGTTGTTGGTACTTGTCATAAGAGCTCAGGTCACCATAACCTGACCAATCTTGATTGGCAATAGCATCAGTAACTTGTTGAGCGAATTCGGCTTCTATTTGCTGAATAATTTTGTACTGGGTAGTTGTAATATTCTCTAATCTCACTCTGATTACTTTATATTGTGGCTTGTATGTTTTTTCTACACTATAAAATTCATCACTGAGATTGTATATATTTTTTAGCTGTCTTTTAGTTGTGTAAGTTAGAGACAGGATCAGATAATCTTTTAGTTCTTGAACTTGAGGAGCACTAAACTGGTTTTGAACTAAACTGTAGTATCTTTGTTGCTCAGGTCTATTTCCTTGAAGAGTACCTTGAACTAGAGTTTGTATTTCGACTTCCAACGTATGAAATACCGAATTCGCAGCTTCCTCGGGAGATAAATGTTGCAGTTTGGCTAAAGATACTTGTCTTTCGATGATCCTGTCAATGTCTTTTTGTAATTCAACATCTAAGTCTCTGACAGTTTGATATTGGTTTGAATTCAAATTGGTTATTTGGTTTTGTAAAGATTCATAGGAAGGTGGTTGGTATACAGGAAGCGCAGATGTTGGACGTACACTGGTGTATATTGTGCTCAGTTGACGAGTTACAGTATAATCCAAAGATATAACAAGGTACTGTTGTAGTTCTTGGTACTGTTTTGTGTTAAAAGTGTTTCTGATAGAACTAAGATATCTCTGAAGTTCAGGCCTGTTTCCATTGACGGTTCCTTGGACCAAACTTTCAATTTCAGCCTCTAAAGTGTGAAGTACCGTAGTGTAAGCTTCTTCAGGGGACAAATTCTGTGATTGAACAATCTTTACTTGATTTGCAATCAAATCGTTAACGTATTTTTTCAGTTCTAAATCCACATCTTTAACTGTCTGATACTGGTTAGGAGTTAGACCAGAAATTTGAGCTTGGACGGAATCGGGCGATGGTGTTGAAGAGACTGTTAGTACCGAGGGAGTACTTTGTACAGTTGAGAAAGTAGTTTGGGTTTCAGAGTCAGCGCCGTATATTTTAGTGAGTTGTTTAGAAACAGATTCTTGTAAGTTTGTGCTCAAGAACTCCCTCAGTTGTAATTGTTGTTCTTTGGTCAGTTTGTTTTTGAGTGGAGTGGAGTATGTTTCCAGATCCGGTCTACTTCCTCTTAAAGTACTCTGAACCAATGTCACTATTTGTTCTTCCAAAGTGTGTAAAACTGTAGCATAAGCTTCAATATTGTCTAAACCCTGTTGTTGAGCTAGTTTGACTTGGTTCTCTAGTATCTTATTGATATACTTTTGAAGTTCCACATCCAACTGTTTGATATTTTCGTATTCATCAGGTGTCAAATCAGTAATCTGACCTCTCAAGGTTTCATAAGACGGGATTTTGTAGGAAGATTGTGAAGAGTCGGGTTGAGATACATAAATGCTATTCAGCTGTCTTCTAACAGATTCATTCAAGCGAACTATCAAGTACTCTTGGAGTTGTTGACTCTGTTCTTTTCTCAACTTTCCCTTGATTATACTGTAAAATCTCTGTACTTCTGGCTTGCTTCCTACCAAAGTATCTCTTACTAGACTTTGAATTTCTTCCTCCAAAGTTAGAAGAACTGTTTGGTAAGCTTCTTCAACTGTTAAACGATTATCCCTAGCAATCTGAACTTGTTTATTGATGAATGTATCTATATATTCGTGCAATTCTTCATCTAATTGTACTACGTTTTTATATTCTGGGTAGCTTATGTCAGGTATTTGAGCTGAAACATCTTGGAAACTAGGAGCTAAGTATGGAATTTTTTCGTAAAGAGTTTGTGCTGTAGTGGTGCTGGTTCTCTGTGTTGTAACTGGTTGTTTATTCTGTCTGTTTTTTAGAAAGTTGATAAGCTGATCTGCTTCAGCTTCAGCTAGTGCTAGATAAGGATTAGAAGGTTGTCTTTCTCTATTTGATGTTTGTGAAAAAGAAGGAATGTTTGAAACTGGTCTGTCTTGTAAGGAAGGTAGTTGAGTCGAAGAGTAACCAAAAGGCTGATTGTTGTTTCCTAATCCTGAGTTAATTTCTCGTTGTATGAAAGTATTAGATTGTTGTGGACGTACAAAAGTATTTTGGGGATATCTATTTCCAGTGGAATAGTAATTATACGTCGAAGGTGTTGTTGGTTGAACGTTAACTTCTACTCCAAGAGTTTCTTTCGGAAACCCCGCTTTCAAAAGTTCGCCGACGAGTTTTTGATACAAATTATATTGTAAGAATTCTTCAATTTCTCTATATTGCTCGGGGTTAATACTACTCAATCTCTTTTGACATTGACTAGTGATGTTACTATTCAACGATTGGTACAGTTCTTCGTAAGTCTGTCTCGAGATCTCTTTCTGAGGCACTTCAATCTGAATTGTCGCAGTCAACTCTCTTGAACAGGTCAGTAAGATGTCTCTAGTAATACTTTCGTATTGTGGTTGGAGATATAAGGAAGATAATCGTTTGTATTCCCCAGTGTACTGAGGATATTTCGGAGCATTTTCAGGAACTACTGGCTGGAAGCTTCCAAAATCCGTATCTTCAACTTGTTGACCTAAGTCGTCTGTTGGGATAACTTGCTGTCCCTCTACAGGTTTAGGAGAAGTTTGAGGAGTAACCGAATTCACTCCATTTACAGGGGTCTGATCTCCTCGCTGGGTTTGACCGACAGTATGGGAGCCTGGTTGTAAGTTAAATGAAGGGCCAACATCTCTATCTAAGGCACCAGGAATGTAATAGGAATAGTTAGGACCCTGGCTAGGTGTTGGCGATGGCTGACTGTTTGTACTTAGAGGATTTGGCTGGATGGGGTTTTGAAATCCTATTGGTTCAATATTCAGCCCCGTACCCTGACTCGTTTCTATAGGTCTTTGAGCATCAAGATTATTTTGGTTTGGAAAAGTTTGTGGTTGCACAACGTTTGTTGGTTGGGATTGAACAGGTACATTATCAAAACTTCCTAAATTCGTGTTGAACGTTGAAGATCCATATGAAGGTCTTACTGGCTGTGGTTGGTTGAAGGAAGTTTGTCCAGTTCCTGGCTGAGATCCAATAGGAGCGTTATTAAAACTACCTTGGTTTGGATTAAAGGATATACCATAGTTTGGTTTTTGAAAAGGTCTTTGTGTCGGTTGTGGTTGATTGAAGGAATTTGTTTGCCCAGTTGTGGGCTGAGATACCACAGGAACATTATCAAAACCACCCAGATTTGAAATTGGCCTTTGCAAAGGTGTCTGAGATTGTGGCTGATTAAAAGTTGGTTGTCTAGCGCCACTCTGAGATCCAATTTGGAGATCGGTAAACCCACCAAGGTTGTTTTGCTGGTTGGGCTTATTTGCTGCACTACCAAAAGTATTGTCTGAGTCTTCTACTTGTCCCACATCAATTTCTTGCTGACCAACATCGACTTCTTGTCCGACAGGTTTTTGTTGGTTGGCACTATTGAGTTGGCCGGTAAATCCCGAGGTAAATCCGTCATCGACTTCCACTTGTTGAGTATCTGAATCGTCGACTTGCTGGCCTGTTTGAAAGGAATTTTCGTTATTAAATGCTTCTACAGGCTCTACTTGCTGGGTTAAGTCAGAATCGTCTTCTTCTTGGCCTACTTCGACTGGTCTTTGTTGGTTGGAGTTGTAGTTGCTTCCTAGACCGGCACCTATTGTTTCGAAAGTTTTATAAAAATCTATTTTTTTTACTGAAATATAAGATTTACCTCCGTAGTTGCCGCCGTAACCGCCTGCAGGGCTACTGTAACCTCCGTTGTATCCGTTGTAACCTCCATATCCTCCAGTGCCTCCGTATGTTGACAGTCCTACTGGTCTGCTACGGTATCCGTAACTTCTTTTTCTTCTGTAACTTTGTGTGCAACATACGCTGCTTTGATCATATCCTACAAAAATATGAGTAATTAAACATGAAGTATACCGGGTGCGTCTCAAAAGTGGCTCGCTCCTAAAACTTTTTTATTTTTTCAGATAAAAAAAACGAGATTTGATATGTTAGTATATGACATAAATTAGGACTGATTGACGTATTCAATTCATCTCGGCCACATCCTGTTTCACCGGAAATGACTACAACTTTTGATTTTTAAATGGCATCATCGGTATTTTTTTTATTTTATTCGATAGAAAATGACACTCTGAATAGAATGACATATCATATGTCATCTTTTGACATTTTCGCTTAAAACAAAATTGAATTTTAAATTTCAATCTAGAGTGCCATGGCAGTGTTAAAAACACTAATTTTTAATCTTTTTAATCCTTGGAAAAATATATGAGATCGTCTAGTGTTTCTAGTGTCTTTTCTTGCCCGGTTAAAAGATGCCCAAATCGTATTTTTAATCATATCTGAATTTTTTCAAATGGAACGAGGTTGGCTCATTAGCATATTTGGAATTTGCATTTTTACGAATAATTTGGTACCACACACTTGGTATTTCGAGTCAAATTGTCGTTATGAACCGCATGTTGCAATTTTAAATAAATGTATATTCGAATGTCACTCTATTCAGAATGTTATTTTCTATGAAATAAAGTCAATCAATCCTAATTTATATCATATATTAACACACCAAATCTCGATTTTTTATCTGAAAAAATAAAAAAGTTATAGGGGTGTGAGCCACTTTTGAGATGCACCAGGTATTGATAGTGATGTAACTGTCCCAAAACGTCGTAATTGTATAATTTGGTAAAATATAGATAATAAAAGTTGGATATAAAAGTTTTCTGTGAAACTCAAGTTACCTCTAGCTGCTCTATATGACTCTCCTCCTGAGCTGCTATAAGCAGCTCCTCCTGCAGAAGCACTGCTTCCCGAACTAGCGCTGTACGAAGCTGAAGCACTGTAACTCTGTTGCAATCCTTGCTGAAGTTGACTGGCCAAGCTGTTTTGCAGCTGCGACTTCAAACTGGCCAATTGTGAATCACCGTATACAGAAGAATATCCGCTTTCAGATAGGAAGTCTTGCAATTGTCTGGTGAGGTTACTTTGAAGTTCTTCGTAGAGTCTTTGGTAGGCTTCGTCATATGTACTTCCGTACCCACCACGTGATGTATAGACATTCGTGTATTGCTTATTTTGGGTTATGGCAGCTTGGAGTTGTCTACTGAGTTCGTTCTGTAAGCTTTGAAGACTGGCAAGGTTAGAGCTGCTCAAACCTGAAGTCTCGTAGCCTGATTGGTGGGAGCCTGCAACGTATCCATACCCACTTCCGGTTTTGATGCCGGAATTTTGGATTCTGCTGCCGTAGAGGTCTGATCCATAGTTGGCGTTTGAGTATCTCTGGTTGCTGCTCTGGCTGTATTGGGATTGAGATTGTTGGTGACTCACCCATCTATAATAAAAATCATATAGGAATTTTACAAAAAGAAATGACAATATTATGAAGTATTTCTTTAGTGTACTTAAATGAGACGTTTTGTGTAGGTCATAGCTTTCTAATAAATGTCTATTAGACCTTATTAAATAATTAGAGATTGTGGTAATAAATGCGTATTAGAAGAATAAAGTTACCTTTGTCTGGCTGATTCGAAATCCCTGTTCAACTTAGTCACCAAATTATTTTCAACCTGTCTTCTAAGACTCTCCAAATCAGCCTCATTGTAGTTGTATTGGTCACTGATTTGGCCTAACGAGCCCACGCTGTACAAATACCCATCTTTAGTCGTTTGAGTGCCATATTGTTGACGGATCTCGTCATTGAGGATATTGGTGATGTTATTCTTCAATTCCTCCCTAAGTCTGTTGAGGAGAACATCGAAGTTGTAAGAGCTGTAGCCAGAACTTTCAGAGAAGTATTGTGAGTCCTCCAAGATTCTGTTCAGTTGGGAGTCTAAGCGATGCTGGACGTTGGAAGCTATGGTGGTGATTGATTGTGGGTTGGATACAGGAGTGTATCTGATGTTTGAAACCCTATAATGAATAAAATAAAATATATCGTATTATATATAAAATGTAAAAAGATGTCAAGCCTTGTAACGCAGTTCTTTTAATACAATAAGTTAGAGATCTTATGTAAAGTAAATGTCTGTGGAATGTTCAACTTAACGGAAATTAGACGATTATCAACTGTATCACGTCATTTGTCAATTTCTCGTTTTTGGTCGTTTGTACTTGGTATTTATAGTTTTTTTTATTTATTAATGACAACAAAACATAACTAATTAAATAAAACTAAACATGTAACTGTGAGGTTGTTATGTTAAGCCATTGGCAATTTAAAAATAACTAGCAAAATAACCAAAAGTTGCACGTAAGTTGAAAAATTGTCATCTGCAAGTGCAAGAAAAGTTGCAGCAACTTATCAAACATGCCAGAATGCACACGCGTTGTAGGAAAGATTTGGTAAGAATTGAGAATTGTAAAACGGCCTTTAAAAAAATGTTGATAACAAAGCAATCAGTCAGTTACCAGCAATTAGGCGCTTGACTTTTAGTAATTATTTTTCATTTAGTGAATAATAAAATTTTTCATCTGTTTCTTTTTTTCATAGATTAAACGTTGGGACTGACATATTTAATGTTGAAGTATTTTACATTGTTCTAACATTTCCGGATAATTTTTTTTTAAAGATAACGCGATTCTTATATTATTAGGTTATTTTTAGTAGTTATTTACCTGTTGTAATCTCTCTCTGACTGTTGGTATCTCTCAGGTGCATATTTCACTCCCGGATAACTAGGATACGGTCTTTGAGTGGTAGTAATACTGTTCAGGCTAGGATAGATCGGTCTGTAGGATGTGGTGTCATACCTGTCATAGTTTTCATCATAGGAAGATTGAGATTGCTGTCCAGAATATCTACAGAAATAATTATTATATATTAAATGATTATACAGTGTTACATTTTGTATAACTCTACGAGCCCTAACAACTATATGTTGGGACAAGGTCTTTTTTGCAATAAAAAATAGTAATTTGTTAAAACGACTCAATTTATTTTGTTTATTATTCTAAATTCAAACATTACAATATGATCTAGACAATTTTACTACATTTTACAACAAGAAATTTGTTTAATACGGAGTTACATCACCTTTCGCCTTAACAACTTCCTGAACTCTTAATGGCATTGTATTTACCAAAGATTGGCACATTTGAGGAGAAAAATTATCCCAAATTTCCTGCAGTTTTGTGCACAAATCAAAAATTATTCGTTGAGGGTGGTTTCATAAATATTGCTTCATTTTATGGCCACACAGTTTCTATAACATTGAGGCCAGGACTACTTGCAGGATGGGATAGAACTTTTATATTATTATTACTGAACCAATTTTTAGTTGATTTTGCTGAATGGCACAATTGCTCCATCTTGTTGGAAAATATAGTTTTCGTTTGAAAACAATTCTTGAGCACTAGGCAAAAGTGAGGTCCCAAGTATATGGTGATATTTTTGGGCGTTAACAGTGCCATGTATAAAATTTAATTTGCCCAAACCTCTTGCTGACATGCAACCCCAAACCATAATTCCCTTAGGAAATTTAACAACCCTCTTTAAGCAATCTTTATGAAAGGCTTCTGCTTTATTTCGTATTATTCGTTTTCGATGATCTCCAACGCAAACATCAAATTTAGACTCATCGCTAAATATGACCTTATTCCAATCATTTTGTGTCCACGATAATTTAGATTTTGCCCAATTGTAGCGATTTTTCTTCTAAATTTCTGTCAGTAGCGGTTTTATTTGGCCTAAATAAGTCTTTGTATCAATAATCTTCAGGTAATTGATTATCCACACGAAATAAAGTTTACCTTATAAAACCCCAGACCGCATTTATGGATATATGATCGGCAACAATTCTCTTGACATTTTACAACAAGAAATTTGTTTAATACGGAGTGACATCACCTTTCGCGAAGAGTACTTCTTCTCGCAGACTTGCGAATTTTTACTAAATTTCGTAAATCTCTTTGAGATACAAACTTTTGGTCTTCCCGAACTGTTACCTCTAACGTCTACATTGGCAGATTCGCCGTATTTTTTTATTATATTAAAGACCGTGGTTTTTGGAATACTTAAATCATCAGAAATTTTTCGAATTTTTTTCCCGTACTGTATTGACGAATGATAATTTCGCGTAGTTTTTGATTTGTAGCTTTTCCACGGATCATTACTTTGAATTAAATAATTAACAAAATTGAAAATTAAAAAAATTAAAATTACTTACAGTTAATCTCACTACTCAAAGTATCGAGTCACTTACAAGCTGTCAGTGCTGAAGTAAACAGTTTGCGACATTTGTGACGTTTATAGCACAGCCGCCTATGATGATATTAATTATTTAAAAATACTTGTCCCAACATATAGTTGTCAGCAAATTTGTCCTTTTATGAACAAAATCCGCTACTGTAAATATGGATTGATTTACAAATTCATAAAAATATTGTCAAGTTGTTTAGGATATATGGCTATGTTTATATTTAAAAAATTAAACATATATTTTTCAGTCATTTTTAAAAACCAGGGCAATAATTCCAAAATATGACCTTGTCCCAACATATAGTTGTTAGGGCTCGTATATCAGCGTAAAACCACGTAATATTACCTGTAGGAGTATTCTCTTCTGAGTTGCTGCAGCAGACTATCCTCCAACCTATTTTGCAAATTCACCAATTCTTGTTGTTCGTAATTGGGCCTATTTTGAATTCTACCGCCCACCAAACTGTAAGATTGTCCCCCCCGAATGGTTTGAGTCCCGAATTGTTCCTGAAGGAGCTGATTTAATCTGTCTGTCAAATTTCTACGCAATTCTGATTCTAACTCGGAAACGTCAACTCTGTTTGAGTACTGGGACTGGCCTCGGACAGCTGATTCTAATTCGTGTTGTAAATCGGTTTGTAGACGAGAAGCTACGCTGTTCAATGCCGAAGAGCTGTATTGGCTGCTTGAACCTTGGGAACCTGAAAATGATGGAACTATAGTTTGGAGCTTTTACAGAGGTAATAAGGTAAACAACATTGCTGATCTATGCAGACACTGTCACCTGATGAACCTGTAATGCGGTTTGATATGAGTTTTTATTTGGTGCCGATTTATAAGAGTTTTTATTATATTAAGTTGAAGACAGTCTGTGTTGTAATTAGATACTTAGAAGGTGCAAATAAAAAATGAAATATGCTTCTAAAGACGTAGGCAGTCTGTGCTTTTAAAACGTCCATTAGTACGTGAATCAGTGAATGAGATGACAAAAATTAAATGCACTTCCAAATACGTAGACAGTATATAAGTACTTTTGAAATGTTTATCGGAAAGTGAATCAGTGAATGAGAAATCAATACACCACTTAGAATGTACAAATAATCATTTTTTAAATATAAAGTTGATCATTAGATATGTTAGAAGGCGCAAATAAAAAATGAAAAGTGCTTCCACAGGCATTTAAGATACATTTTTATCTGCAAGTCTATAAAAAAACAAATTGCTGTTTACCGTGATAACTGTTGAGCGCTCCTAAGTAATCACTGGATGAGACTGATTCCGATCCACGGTGAGATCCGTATTGAGATCCGTACTGTGATCCGTACTGAGACCCATACTGAGATGCGTACTGAGATCCAGCTTGATAAGCACTGGATGCAGATCCTCCGGCAGCTAGCCCATAGCCGTTAGACAAATGGGCACTTCTGGCGTTCAAATCTGCTGCATTTCCATCATAGTAGCCTGGAAAAACAAAGGAAAACTATATTATAGATATTTTGGTCGTTTCGGACTATCTTCAAAGTATTCGGATGTTTTTTATATTCAAAACGGCATTTTAATGTTCATAAAATTGAACACAACTTTGCTATAATTTATCTCCTCTGTATCTATTGTAGTTTCTGAGATCCCAGTGGTCATTCCCGAATTTGGAACACCATGTATAATAAACATAAAGAGAATAAATGTTTTTGACCTAAATACCCATTTAGAGCCATAATTGGATAAGATATCCAGTTATCAGTTTTTCGAGAAAAGGGTTCAAGGTTATCAACGATTTCTTGTAAATATTTTTTTTGTCTTTATACCACGATATACAGGGGCTGATCCCTGAGATATAAGTTAGGACAGATCTAGCTTTTCATTGTCCATTGTCATTGTTGTGATTAATTATTACGCCCCTCCAACACAACGTTTTACCTAAAATCTTAATTGTTCAGTTCAGTCAATAAGTAAAACATTATGTGTAGACGAAAAAAAACGTTTTACTAGAACTGAATTATTGTGTGAATGTAATTTTACAAAATTGTGTGTTTAGAGATATTCAATGATTATTACCAAATGATTCACAATTGTGTGTTTACAAATGAAATTTAAACCAAAAATACAATTTTCTGGTAAAATTCCATGTTTCTTCTTTTCAAGTAAACATAATGCTTTAATTCATAAAATAGTGCTTCCTGCATGGCCTTTACCAAAAACTGATCTTTTTTTCTTATGGGGTTTAGGCAATCTGCTGGCAGACAGTCCACTGGCAAACCTGCTGGTTTAGCTTGTAGCTACCGTCTAAAACACTTTCCCCCGTTTTCTCTCAAGTGCGGTAGGAACTGCCCTAAGCATTACTTCAACCTCACAAAGTATCATCTATTTTGTCTATGTCTATACTTGTAGATCTGGCTATGTACTATACTCTATCTTTTCGTTTATTATATTCGTCATTAGTCTGGTGACACTTTTCCACTCGTTCTCACCTCTTAGGAGGACTTCTGCTACGTTATCTTTCGTAATTTTATGTCTAATCTAGTTATACGTTTGTACGCTGTGTGCTTCAAACTTTGGACAAACAAACAATGTGTATTCTGGGGTATCCACCTCTTCTGCACAAAACCAACAACATGCATCTTGCTGTTATTTTTTTGGTATAAGCCAAAGACACCATGACCAGTCAAAGCGGGTGATTTATAAAAATTCATATCACTCCATTTTCTTTCGCACCATTTTCTAATGTCTTTGATGATAACATTAGACTTGGCCCACACATGGTATTCATGCCATCTTGTTTGCCACTATGTGTACATAATCTGCTTGGCCTCCGCAGCATACTCTTTCCCCCTTTGATAAATGAGGTTCTTCTTCTTCTTGTTTCTCGATAACCACGCGTCTTTCGAATAAATGAGATTCCGTTCTTCCACTTCTAGCACAGTCTTTAATCTGTCTTACCTGACCCTTTTAACTTATAGGTAGAACGTCATCAAGGAACGTCATATCTAGACCCCAAAACATCCCCCTTTGGAACATTTTCTGTAATGGCAATGACTGGAATTAAAAGCTATACTGTGCGAACAAACACTAGAACCGAAAGAATAGAGATTTGTTTTTTTAAATATGTCAATATTTTTATTTCGTTGTGTTTAGTGAATATTCGGTGTGTGATTTTTGCAATTTCCTCATTAATTACTGGTGTATTTGTACTTATTTTGCCAAGTACATTTTATTTTAATTATTCATATTTAATTGCAATGGCTTTTTTCGACCGAGAGCGCAAACCTGCGATGAAGAACTGTAGCGTTCCTAATTGCGACAACAAAAATGGTAGTTTTTTCGTTTCCAAATCACCGAAAAAATTCGAATTGTTTTGTACGTTTATTTTTCAGTTTATAGTTATGTAAAATACATAATTTATAACATCAATAATTGTTTTATTTTTATAAACGTTCGATCGGGTATTGATATAAACATTTTTTTATTGTTACAAAATAGGTATATTAAAATTAAATTATATGTTATATATAAATTACATCTATTTATTGTAATTTTTAATATATAATGTTATTATGAATATATGTACCTATTTTGTTACAATTAAAAAAATGTTTATGTAATATTAAAAAAACGTTAAATTAAATATCGGGATTGTTATTTCATGAATTTAGTGCGCAAACAAACTCAAGGGGGCGCTTGTTTTGCTTTCATTTCATAACGTATAAGTCAATATTCTAAAAGGGGATGTTTTGTAGTCAAGACGGAGCTAAGATGGAAGATTGTCTGGAGAACAGCCGTCAGTTCACTAGACGATATTCTCTTGTAACTGACAGAAAAATTAAAGTAAAACGTGTAAACGGGGCTTAAGAATGCCCGAACAGTATTTATTTGAACTGAAACAGTCTGATTATGTAGAATATCTGGAAAATATTGTCAAGCGTGGCGACATCTTTCGGGGAAACTAACAACTGCTAAAGCGAGTTACCGATGGAGATTTGAATGGTGCGCCATCTCTTAGACATTGGTGGAAAATCCTGTATGTTGTAAACGCAAGTTGTAAACGAACTTTCTGGATACAAAAAGAATTCTACCTAGTGTTCCGGAATGGAAATTATGCGAAACATCCGCTAAGTGCTAACCGCGCTCGACAAAATCAGTTTTGAATAGAGTTTTGAAATAAGCGAGTTGTAAATAAATTAAGTGTTTTATCATGTATTTAGAATTAAGGACCCACGAAATCTGTATCAATATTAAATAAATTATATTGCGATTTAGTTTTGTGTGGTTTTCCTTAAATATTTTTTATACCCTTCTAATGATTGTTAACTTAAATTTGAAATACCTTATTATTTGAATTTACCTTCTCTTAATCTAGGGTTAATATATTCGGAATGTTCACTGTCAGATTTGATTTTAGGTTTAACCCGTCCTTCCAAATCACCAGATTTGCTGTAGTAACCTCTGTCGTCTGTTTGGTGCTGTAGTTCGTTGTTCTTGTACGATGATGCAGATGTTTTGTAATTGTACTCTTGGTGATAGTATCCCTCAGGTGACGCAGTTGCCACCAATAGGGTCCCTGCTAAACAGAGCAGGACCTTCATGTTTCTGAAAAAATTAATTGAAAATTTAGAAGATGTAATTTTATTTTATGGAATTTATTCAACGACATCATAATAGAAGTGTCTATAACGTTAAAGTGTTGTTTTTCAGATGTTTGCTTTGAATAAGAAGATTAAGGAAGGAGTATAATACTATAGCATAATACTATGGAGTATATATACTATAGTACAGTACATCTGCTGGATCTGTGTCTATGAAAGGAATGCGGACAAAAAACATTTAAATAAACAGCAATATATTTTATACGTCGATTTGACGAGTGCGTCACCGCAAATCGCTCCGCCCACTCACTTTATTGGCTACTTGCAAATTTGTCGAATTTTTATTGATGGTAGGCGTCGTCTAATTTTTTACGAAAAACATCGAGAAAATATCGTTTCCCCTCTCGCGGATACCCCGGAGCTACAGAACGGACAGACGTACTGTATTATACTATGGAATTGACATCATAAACCATAGATAAATGAAACAAGTTTAGATTGGAAAGTGCCCATAAGGACAATGTAAACACTATTTGGCGCTATTCTTGCAACGGTCGCGACCCAAAACTTTTGAAAATTTCGGAACGGTTCGGCTTTTTCCGGAATTATATCGCCAAATATTGTTTATTCAAATTTATTATTATTTTCTTTTAATTTTATAAATAAAATACAGTGTGTTGCATACAAGAAACTTTATTTTATATAAGGACATGTATGAAATACCTATGAAACATTGGAAACCGACGTTATGCCACGATCCACGATGGTTTTTGCAGTTCACAGTTCACAGCACAGCTTTTTAAGTTTTTAATGCCACTTTTTCACCATTATCACCGGTTGGAGTAAATAAAACTTGAATTAAATTCACAAGATAGCAATAATTACTTTGAAAATGGACGCTATAAACACTTTTCGGAATTTCTTTAATGAGAGCGGTTTATATTTTGAAAGATTTTATCATTTTTGAAGACTCTGACTTTGACAAGGGAAAATTATTTCTGTTTTTGTTTGCCGTTGTTCTTAGCGACTTAGCGACCGCTATAGCAGCGCCAGATCGCATATAACGGTCGCGACCCAAAATAATTTCGCGACCTAAAATTTTTACGGGCTTTCCAATCTAAACTTGTTGCATTTATCTATGTCATAAACTTCCGTTTTTGACAGTCCTGTTTGACGTTTCAATTGACAGATTTGAATTTGATTTGAAATTCCGTGGGTTCGTTGGACTTTTGGAGATTATTTTATGTACTTCTTTATCTATTCTACGATTGGTTTTTGTTTAGAGATAGTAAATCTAGAAGGCAGGTGCCCGGTGGCGTAGAGGTACAGCTCTCGTCTACCAATTCAAAGGTTGAGGATTTGAATCCCACAGCCGGCATTTCATCAGCCGACTATTTTTAATAAAAATACATGAGCCTTACATGAGTACTTGGGATTCACAATCCTGAGGTAATAATAGGCGGTTGAAGCGTCCAACCTACCATCCTTGTATACCGAACGGCTCTAGTATGGCAAGCTGTACCTTGCTACTCCCAAGGCGTTAAAACGCTATATACGGGAGCTATTATTATTATTAAATCTAGAAGGATATTGTGCCAGAACTTAAATTAACAGCGACAGTATGCGAATTCCAGGAAAAGACTGTAAAATAGTTGTGCAGCGTGGAGTAGATATCGGTCAAAAATCATCAGTTATGAAATTCACTTAGAATTAACTAATTATATATCTTTTCGTGCATATTACAACTTTTATTTACAAAAATAATGAGGATACGTCAATTTGACTTAGATGTTTCAGTAGCGTATCTGATTGACACTAACCTGTTTTTATTACAAATATATTTTTTAAGAATTTAAATAACAAATACCAGTTATTGACAACGTAAAACAAAACAAACCAATTACTGAATCAACCCTATATTATATTTTTACACGTGTTAAATAAAATTAGAACGGCACTGATGAACCCCGGAATTTAAGTAAGTCATATTAATCCCCCATTGCGCTCCACCTGTTTGTTGATTTGCTCCTTCCTTAATCTTTTTATTCAAATATAACGATATATTCGTTAATTTCTTTGGTTAAATAGGGTTTATATCAATAAATTACCTGATAAATACGCAACTTTTGACCAACACGACTAATATTTTATTTATAAATTAATGAACAAGATAAAAAAGATCATTTTATTAGTGCATGCTTCTTTAATTAGTAATTTCATTTTTTTGCATTAAATATAATTTTATTTAATAAAAAATAATAATTAGTTATTAAAATGTTACCTCAGTAATTTTGCCGTGAAACTTCCATTATAAAAATACAATAGCTTTTTTCGGGTTCTTGTTGTTACCGATTCTGAACCGTCCTAGAGCTTTGCAGCGCATGCACAAATGAAATAATGTCTTCATATTTCTTTCTGCGCATACGCATCACAGTTCTAGGACGGTTCAGAATCGGTAATAACAAGAACCCGAACGAAGCTAATATGATCAAATATATGAATATAGTATGATCAAGAGTGTTTTGCATGATGACAGATGAAACAATTCAAATAATAAATAATAAATTACTACTGAATAAAAAGACTAATGTAGAAACGCCATTTTTGTCACTTTTGCTTTGGCGTTTTACTTTACACATTTAAATTTGATTTGAATTTTTAGGCATTTGTTGGGCTTCTCTGAGTTTATTTTATATTATTTCTTGTTTAGTTTAATGTAAGGTATACAAATTTTTTGAAAGACATTGTGTCAGGGTATAGTTTATTAATTAGTTAATATTCGGTGGTCTGGGTTTAAATTCCAGCGAGATTATTTGTCAATCTTGAATAGGGGCATCTTGGCTACCACCATAGCTACCACTTACTTTGGTAGATAGAGACTGGGCGTCAAATAAGATCTAAGGGCGCAAACCATGGCCAGGAAACTTATATTGTTATGGTAAAATTTAAAAAAAATAATTTAGTATTGACTAAGGACACGGTACGTCGCTAATGGTAGAAAAAATAATTTTCAGATGTTACTGGTTTATTTGGTTGCCTAAAAAATACATAATATAATGTCTTTTAAATGTATTTGAAATAACTGTCAACTTGTCAATGAGAAACACAAATGAGAAATAGCAAAAAAATAGTTTTATTAAATTTTGGACCTGCGTCGAAAAAATATCGGTTTGTTTTTGAATTTAAAACAGAATTGACATCTCTGGAGATACAAATGTCTTAAACATCAAAAGGTAAGCATTTTAAATTGTTTCATTACACTTTCATGAATATTTTTCATATTAGAAGTGTTTACTGTAACATTATTACGTTTATAAAATAAGTCAATGTAATTTTGCAGTTACTAGTAGAAACATTCCACATATAAAGAAATATAAGTTTTCAAATATTTCTGTTAACTAGGGAATGCAATCCCGCAAATGCGGGATCCCTCTGAGATTCCGCGGGATCGCAGTTGCGGGATTTATCCCGGGATCCGCGGGATTGACACATTACTACTGGGTAACAGAATCAATCTCGATCAAGGTCAAACCCCTTCATTCCGGGCCGATGAGTCGACGCTCGGAACCCAGGGGACCCGTTTAACTAGTACTTGTGGACAATTTCGTCAAATAAACTGCCGGACATAATTATCGGGACAAGCAAAATTTTAGGGTAAATTTAAAGTTGAATATCTCTTGAATTAAAAAAGATTTTGGGATGCGGTTTGGATCAGGTTTTAGATGCATCTATTGTAATTAAGATGCTATGTGGTTTTCGAAAATATATTTAGCGAATTCTCGTATACAGGGTGTTTTATAAGAGAGTGAAAATTTGGTCAAGAATCTTTTTTACCGCAAATTTATGAGTTTTAAAAAATTGAAATTTTTACCAAGTACGACTAATCTGTATTGAAACTAGAAAAATCAATTTGATCGGTTTTTAATTTTTTTTAAGGAAAATTGAGTTTTTTTTCGAAAAATATGCATTTTTAGTCATATGTATGGTCCTAAGTGGTACAAAAAGCTTTGTACATTCTGCATATGCCAAAAAATTATTGATATAGTGTATCTAAAAGCAGATAACTAACACAAGTTAAAAAAAACTTCAACATCAGAATAATATTTTTATTTATAAAATAAGTAGATAAATTATAATAAAATTTAAGTTTATTTAATATTAAATATATTTTTTGAACACCCTGTATAAATCGGTCCAAATTTCTGTACAGCTAGTTTAAGATACACGCTATATCAATATATTGTGGGCCTATGCAAAATGTACAATGCCTTTTGTACCATTTAGGACCAAATGTATGACTATTGTTTACAGTCCCGCAATTTTGCGGATCCGGTAGACGCGGGATTGATTGCTTTAATCCCGCGTCTTTGCGGGATTGAGATTATGGTGCGGGAGTGCATTCCCTACTGTTAACTATACTTATGCAAGTTTTATAAAAAATATTGTGGTTTAATTACTAGCTTGCAGACAAAATTTGTTTTTAATAAACTATAAAATTTATCTCTTTATTAAAGTTACTCTGATATACTAATATATCAGAGCAAAAAAAAAAATATTTTGAATACAAATATAACTATAAAAAAACATTTAGAGCAGAAAAGGCGAAGGCGTTAGGTTAAACAAGGGTTAAACTAAGGGTTAAACGTAGTCTTGACTAAGATCACGGAGGGGCACTTTGATCTAAAATTTTGCTATTAAGTTTCATGTCATCTTAATAGATGGTTATTTTATTTTATCTATGTATAAGGGTCGAATCAAGAACAAACATGAATAAATAACAACTAAATGACATTAAATTGAAACTAAACCTAACAACTCATAATTTTTAATTATGAGTTGCGGTTTTCGCTAACTTTTTGGAATTTTTTTGCTCTATTCAAGTAATCAAAAAGAAATATAGGCTACTATTTAATTTTTTTTATGCAAACGCGCAATATCTGTTATGATACTTTATGTTTATGATACTGTTATGGTTCTAGCTACCTCGGTGAAATCTATGTAGAGAAAGTTTATACTGTTAAGGGGAAAAATCCCTTTTAAACAAACCCTAGATTGTTTAATTCCGTTAGCCCAAACCAGAGTTATCCTTATTTTAATAAAAGCAAGTTTAACCTTATCCCACCACTTTATTCTATGAGATAGATCAAAATACGCTAATCTCCATTAATATTCTCTCCATAATTTTTCATTAATTATTGCTATAGAAATATTTAAAATACCTTTTCACTTGCATATTTTTGAGAAAACTCCCGTTTTCTGATTGGCCATTATAGATGTGCTCTGTAGCGGACCTTTTTTGAACTTTGCAAAATTAATTATACTAAATTACGTTGTATTGCTTGGTATATACAGGGTGACTCAAAACTTGATGTATTTATCTCATGTATTTAATATAAATCATTCTATACTGTCTTATCATGTATATGAAAATGTTTTATTCAATTTAATATGCAGTTAGGCACTTTCTATACCTAAGATCAATATTTATGTATGAAATAAACTAAGGAAAAACCTATTTTGACGTTGATTCAAAATAGAAAAAATCTATTGTGTATATTATTTTGCTTATGCCATTAGGTCAAAGTTCTCATTATTATGCTGACTTGTGAGTCTTATCGAATAATGAATATAAAAATAAAAACAGGGGGCAAACGAGATAAAATTGTTTTATAATAATTACCAAGAATTCACTAATAAATTACAATTGTGAGTATATTATCTGTTATTAGAATTAAGTAATTTTTTTTTCAGAGGACACTGATGCAAACTATATAAATATACATAAACTTATGTATAATTACTTCAGGAGAATAACTACAAAATTTTATCAAAAAATATTTTATAGCGTTTTTACACCAGAAAATATAATTGACTCTTTCAAATTAGCTCGATAAAACATCTTTGCCAATTTGATTTGACAAAAACAAGTTTTTTTAGAACGATTTAGATAACACGCTGTTAATCTTAGTTATTAATATTTTTGATTAATTTGTGCAATAATTCTACACACAGAAAATCTAGTGGTATAGCCAGAAACTAAAATTTGACGGTGAATAAATTGAATGTTTTGATAGAAACCGGCCGCCTATGTTAAAAAGTAAAATTTAAGTTAAAAAAAGAGTATACTATATTTTTAGAAAGCTCAATACAAGGCTTATAGATTAAAAAGATAATATATACAGGGCATCACAAAAAAACATAAGTTTGGGTCTCGGTTAGGTTCATATTTCAAGAATGGCAGTTCCCAGCGAAAATCTAGTTACGCCACTGAATTCTACGTGAAAAACTCTATGGGACCCAGTTTTCACCTTTTGGATAAGTTAAAACTGAGATACTAAGGGAGTCGAAAAATGCAACATTTCAATTCACCCCGTATTTTAGGAACTAAAAGGGCTAGGACAAATGTGTGTAACAGCTTTAGTTTCATAAAAAAGTAGCACAGTGATATGAAAACCGCAACTTCGTACCTCTATTCATAAGCAAAAAACCCTGTAAAACGCAATGGGACACCCTGTACATTATATTCTGTATAATTTGATTTAAAACAATCACAGAAAAGAAGTCCAGATGCGTTAAAATATAATTAATTAAATTAAAATATTTACCAATTAAAAGTTAATAAAAAAACAAAGCTTTAGATACACTTACCTCTAATTTTTAACTAAAACCACAAATCTTCAGTCTCTTCAAGCACAATATTTTTTTTTCTATCCTTCGGCGATCTCATTTACATACTAAATATATAGTTATATGAACTGAATATTTTACTGCCCCCTCTCTAGTGTACTTATCTTTTCCAGTTGCTATTTATTAAAATATATTTATAAATAATAATTCTTGTGAATGGTTTAAGCAATTTGTCTTGAGAATGTACTCGTTATAAGATATGTCTTCGATTTCGCAGAAATGCTGAACAGCATTAATTGACAATTTAGGTATGTTTTATTTTTTTGTGCGATAAGTTCTTATACAGGGTGGTCCGAATTATATTCGGGAAACTTTGGCAGTATATTCTTCAGACAGAAACAAGTTTTTTATCAAACTTTGTTTCAGAGATACAGGGTGTAGAAGTTTTATTTTTGCTTCTATTTTTTCCAAATAATTTCTGAACTAACGTTGGTATCTGGATGAAAATTGGCGCCTGTTTTTTTTTAGCAAGAGAAATTTTATTTCGGTGTCAATATGACTCCTGCTTGTAGGGGGCGGCATCTACATATTTTTAACTGGTTTAAAAAGTAATAACTTTTTGTCCGTACCTGTATATACAGGGTGTCCCAGAAATAAGTGCAAATATTTTAAGAGGTGGTAGATCTCGATAAAAGAAACATATTTTCCCTTTATCGTTCTTCAAATAAGTCCAAAATAACGGAGTTATTTTACTTTCAAAATTTCCAAAAAAAATTATTTTTTGCTAAAATTTTGAGAACCACTTGATCTTTTCTGGATTTTCTTTCTTGTAAATTTAATCTAATACCTATCTTGCCATATATAGGCCTAAAAAATTAAATTTATGAAATTGAATATTAATATACCACCTGATATTACGTTAAAATGAAGGTAAACTGTAGATAATAAACGTAATTCTATTACAATTAATAAATATTTTATTTTACGGCTTGCCTGTCAATGTTGGTCGGCCATATTGGCGCCGGACCGACCAGCTCAGCTGCTTAAAAAGCCGAAACAGCGAAATGTTAGCCTCCTTTTTAAATTTGCCGCTAGTTTTGGCGCCAATATGGCGGTAATTGCGGTACTTTATATATCTAGGGACTTTAGTAGGAGTCATATTAACATTGAAATCAAATTTATCATCGTCAAAAAACTCCCAGACATCAATTTCGAAAAAATCGAAATAAAAATGAAATTTCTCCACCCTGTATCTCCGAAACGAAGCAATTTAGGGCATAAATTGACTTGATTGATGAATGACTGATTGACTTATTTTTATCTATAGAATATGCTGCCGAAGTGTCCCGAATACAATTCGGACCACCCTGTATTCAGTGAACGTCAAGAAGTTTCTGACAAATATCCAAAATTTATTTTTTCGACAAAAATCACAGTTGCAGTAAACTATTAAACACTGCAGTGAGATAGACATTTACTAAGGCCTTTAAATATTTCCGAATCCTATAAAGCTAGGTATAGGACGTTGTATAGGGTGTCCCAAATTTCGATCCTTAACAACAGAACTAGAAGATGTACGAGGTCGGTTAAATAGAGTCAAAGTTTTAGTTCCCAATGAGATACCAATGATGAGGTTTGAATTTGAGACACCCTGTACACGAAACATATCTAGGATTTTCTGAAAAATCAAAATTTTTAATAATATACATGGTGTAGCTTTTAAAAGAAAGAGAAAGAGACCACTAATTTATTCTACTAATTGCGAGGTTCTGAATGAAGCTTAAAGTATAATTGAAACCACTAATGTATTCCACTAATTTCGAGGTTGTAAATGAAGCTTTACAGAAATAATCTATGAACTTGTAGAATTATTCAACAAATTTATCTTATTCATAATGCGTCGTAAAGAAACCATAAACTATTGTATTTCTTTTTCATTAACTATGACTAAAAATAACTTGTTTTGTTTAAATTCCGAAAAATCTCTTGCCTAGCCACATACAAACAATATAATGTCATTATTTTAAAATATTCCATGCATATTCTGATTTAAAGATGACCTAAAGTGTCCACAGGTTCCGGCAAATGTAACACGATGACATCATAATATGAACATAAAGTACTTGGTAAAACGACAAAAGTAGCAATTGGTATGTACAGGGTGTGTTTAAAAAATGCAATAGTTTAAATATTATATTCAAAGACCTCAATTCAAAAAAAAATATATGAAGAATTATCTGTAAAAAAATAGTTTCTCGTTGGATACCGTATCTGTTAACGGAAGTACAGAAAACTATTAGAGTCAATTGGTGTCAAAAAACTCTGCACCAGCTTAACGACGGAAGCTCAACAAATATACAGTATTTAAGGGGTTTAGGAAATCTGCAGGGAGACTGTCCCCGCCTGTTGGTCCAGCGGCGGAGGTTGTTTCAGTTCTTTCCCCTGTTTTCTCCTCTGGTTCTTCTCAAGTGCGGTTGGAACTGCCCTAAGCGTTATTGAAGTAATGCTTAGATGTAACCTAACCTCACAAAGTATTATTTTGTGAGGTTATTTTGACATTTGGGCAATGTCTATTCGTTTCGTCTTCTATCTTTTCCTTCATTATATTCGTCATTAGTCTGCTGACACTTTTCCACTCGTTCTCGCTTCTTAGGAGGATTTCTGCTACATTGTCTTTCTTAATTTTATGCCCAATTTCGTTGTACGTTTGCAAGAACGGTAAACTAATAGGATTGCTATGGGATTGCTCATCTTCATAAGACGTACGTTCTTCCCGCGCTTCAGCTGACAGTTATGACGTCATTGTAGTCCTTGTCAAAGTCTTGTCATGATAGTGTGTATTATTAGTTGCCTATAGTAAACTTATAAAAATAACAGCTGAGAAATTTGGAGTTAATTATTTTGTCGATTTTAAATGTGAAAAATTGTCTTTAAAGTTTTTACAGCTATAGAGTGTCTAAATACGTTCATTTTGTGTTGTGGATTGTGACAAAGTGCTTACTAAGTGCCCACGATATTGTTTATTAATTATTTTAAAGCAAAATATGGAAGTATTCTAAAAAGAATGCTTGCAAAAGATGATGCTGGGAACTGCTGTTCTTAAAAATGCATTATCCGAGTATTTAATACGATTTATACAGTTAATTTTCTATACTGCATACATATAAGGTGTTTAAATAATAAATATAACTAAATAATGAACGTTTTGCAGTCGGCAACTAGTAATGCACGTGTGTGTATTATTGGTTGCCGGATAAGGACTAAATAACCATGACAAGGACTACAATGACGTCACAAAGCGAGTAGTTTTTGCATGCATCTGGCGGACACTTTTGGCTCAATGAGAAGTCCTATTAGGTTAACTGTTCTTGGTACGTTTGTACCATGTAAGCTACAAACTTTAGGCAAATGTACAAATAATACAACATAAACAATGTGTGTTCTGGGGTATCCACCTCTTCTGATGGATACCCCAACAACCAAAAACATGCATCCTGCTGTTTTTTTATTCTTTGCAGGTACGAGCCAAGGGCTTCATGACCATGAGTGTCATAGCCTGTGATGCATAATATTTTCCCCTTGATATTGATAAATAAGCTCCCGTTCTTTCACCAGCAGTTCTATTGGAGCTATTCCTGCAAGAGCTGTAAATGCTTCTCTTGAAGCGGTTCTGTAGGCTGATATGATGCTTATTGCCATTCTACTGTTCGTACTACTACTAAGTCGTTCTAATAAATACCTATAGGATTTAAACTCCAACCCCGATATCCAAGTTGGTGCCGCGTACAGCATTAAAGAAAGTACAACTGTTGTTTGTACTTTTCGCTTTGTTGCTCTTGGACCTCCGATATTTGGCATGAGTCTACTTAACTTATTAATTGCCGTATTTGCCTTTTCATAGATTCTTTTAATATGTTTCATTCGTACGTCCTAGGTACTTCGTACGTACTAGGTCCTAGGTACGTCCGTTACCGAAGTTTTTCCAAAAAGATGGTGGCGACATTTGTCTTAAAAGCAGGTCATGTAGCAACAATTCCTCTGCAAGATCAGAGAACTGTTACTGCTGATTGGTACATATCTATTCGTTGGCCTGAACTAAGTTTCGAAAAACCAACTCTCAATGACGAATTATCGACTTTTTTACTTTTTCAAAAATTAAGAATGAACTGCGTTGTCAAAGTTTCCAGACCCCAGATGGTACAGTCAGCGCCTTCAAAAACGTTCAAAAACGCAATTTTGAAGATACCAACAAGTGAGTGGAACAACTTCTTTCAGAACTGGTTCCAACGAATGCAAAAATGCAATTCTCTTCGCACGAAAGAAGGTGTGACACACGAGCCGCGTGACGCGATACATTTGTGCACTATGAAAGCTATATTGCTCTAAAAGCCCCATCTTTTCATGATATTTTGACGACGTTTCGTACACTACGAAACCCCATCATCAATGAATCAAATCAAAAAATCGTCCGATTTAAATTTGCTATGTCTATAGATTGGACCAAGGCTAACTTGACCGTGTACGACACGTGTCACTGTGAGAGTTAATTTTTGACGTAAGAAACGTCCAAATTGATGTCGTCACTTGTGTCTAGCCCCAGCAGGCCACTATTAAGCCCGACCAATCACGTTAGAGTTTTTGACAAAAACCAATGAATTAACACACTCCAAATAACCACGCTAACCAACCTGATTGGTCAAGCTTAATAGTTGCCTGCTGGGGCTAGACACTTCTGATGTCGTCCAGTCGCGACCAAATTTTGTGGGTAGTTGGTTAGGTTAGGCTATGAGCGAAGGCACACGGTCCCACCCTGCAAAGTTGGATACGACGTTTCGTTTACATGTTCATCAGAATGGGGCTAACGATTTCATATTGAAGAAAAATGTAGGTCGATTTCGGCATAATTGTGTAAACTACAGGATGACGCCCTCGACGCCGACGCGACGGTTCGAACCGATGCCTCTAAATGGACGAAATCATCAGGATGTTCCTTAATTATGGGTCGATTGGAACCAAACTAGGTAGAAGTGTATGAAGTGCTCAGTTTCACTTCAAATATGCGCACATAGTGCACACACAATTTTTTTTATTCAAAGATATGACTGTAAACTCACTGATTCTGCTTGGAAAATTCTTGCATTAGAAAATATTTTTCTTTTCTTCGTTTTTCAAGTATCAATAAATACAAATTAATATCATATAGTATTTAGGACGGGATGCATTATATTATTAATTTGTTTATCGAAAAATATCATTATCAAGTTTGTTTATCATCGTAAAGTGTGACACGATCATGGTCTTGACTTTATTTCTGTTCCAGTAGTCTACTTGTGTTTTCTCTTTCAATTACATGTAATAAAAAAGCAAAGTATTGCTTTCTTCTTCTTTGTTCTTATTATCGTAATGCTAAAAGAAACAAATCATTACTAAAAATAAACGTTACAATAATTTTTTAAAAATATATTTTGCATTTCCATGTTGATCTGCATTGGAAATTGGACTCCTACTTTCATATTACCATAAACAAGTCTTTATATCTATCGTATGTGTCATTTTATAAACAAATCGCAAATCATTTTTGTGTGGTATATCTTATACCACACTGAAAAGGTACTGAAGACAGATGTGATGAGTGGTTCAATATTTTGCGGGTGCACATTTTTAGAAAAAAAAAACTGTCACACTCCCACTATGCTCAAAAAAGACTCTTCTCGGGTTATCAAATCGTCCGTCTAAGGGTCTTATTTCATTAAAAAATTATTAGAAAACTAATATTGTACGCTAATGTCATTTTTGTAGTTCCTGAAATCAGTTGTCAGTGAACCAAGTCACTGCCTGAAGGTAACATTTACAGAATGCTTTTTTAACAATTTACTAAAACGTTTATTTCAATATTTATGGATCTTTCAATATTTTTAGTATTTCAGTTATTGTTTTAGCGAAATACTATTTTACTTGATTTTGTTTTTTTTTACAGAAACCGACATCAACGGTACGTTTTTTTAACCGCTCAGACTACTACACGCTACACGGTGACGATGCTACCCTTGCAGCGAATTTTACCTCCACAATCATCAAATACATGGGTGAAGCGCCCACTCTCAGCTATGTCTGCCTCAACAAGAACAAGATGGAGGCCCTTGTTCGAGATTTGTTGTTGGTTCGTCAATACAGAGTCGAGGTTAGTCAGCATACCAATCTCATATCTATTTTCCCCATTTTATTTTAGAGATTTTATACAGCTGGTCTCAAATTTTTTAAGCTTGAGAAGTTAGTTTTAATATCAATTTTTGTCTTACCTTTTTGAAATAACCTTCAGAGGTTTTGTAGAAGTATAATTAAATAGAGTTATATAATTTTCATAGAACTTCTCTATTAGGTCTATACAAAGACCCCAGGCAAGAACAACTCATGGAGCTTAGAATTTAAAGGCTCTCCAGGAAATCTAGCCCAATTCGAGGAAATCCTTTTCGAAAACGCCAACATAGAATCCTCTAACCACGTTATGGCCGTCAAACTCTGCAAAAACAACACTATCGCTGTCAGCAGCGTCAACACTACCGATTTAACCATAGAAGTTTGCGAATTCACCGACAACGAATGCTACACAGACCTAGAAGCCTTGATAGCTCAAATCGGACCGAAAGAGTGTATAATCCCTGATGGTGAAACCAGTGAAACTAAGGTTCTCAAGACCGTGCTAGAAAGGAACGGTGTCTTGATGGCTAAAGTCAAAAAAACTGATTTTGTCGGAGAGGATTTTGTTCAGGACCTGAATAAGTTGCTGTTTTTTCAACAGGGTCAACAACGAAACGCTCAAGCTTTGAGTGAGTGTGCGTTAACTAATGCTATGGGTTGTTTGCAGGCTTTGGTGAAATTTTTGGATCTCACTGGTAGTGAGAGCAATTTTAATCAGTACAGATTAGGTAAGTGAGGTAGTTTGATTTGTTTTAAGGCGGCTTCTATTATTTTAAAATGAAAACTGGTATCTGGATATTGGAGAAATCGGGTTTTTGATATTAGTACACTACTAAGAGAGAAAATATACACTTCCGCTCTTTTTTTTACGCCAAATTATCTCTTTTGCTAAAAGTCGGTATGAGCAACCGTTCTCAAGATTTGGAATCGAAATAATCAATACATGTCATCATTGACAAAAATAAACATGTAGTACTATTAGATTGAAGTGGATTTTTTTGTGCCAAAGGTTCAACAGAAAACGGACATCAATTTTCATCCAAATATCGATGTTAATTATTTGAAAAAAAAATTCTTTCTTCAAAAAGTTTCATTTGCATTACATGACTTAAAATACTATTTATTTAAAAATTTTCTATGTAGAGAGTGTTCACAACCAAACTTATATGGAATCACTCTTTATATATATACATTCGGGTCAGAACGTTCTACGTTGTCCGATGCCTAACTTCCACCTTGTGCGATTTTCCCATTGATCTTCGGTCAGATTTTTCTCGCTCATTGATCTTCTGATTCCTTCCATTCATGTTTTCTTGGGACGTCCTCTCTTTCGTTTACCAGGTGGTATCCAATGACATATTTGTTTTGGAATTCTCTCGTTTTGCATTCTCTGAACGTGGCCGTACCATATTAATTGTTTTTGTTCTATATCACTCATTATTGTTCCTTCTATTCCCATCTGTAGTCTAATGTCTTCATATCTGATTCTATCCTTTCGTGAAATTCTCATTGTTCTTCTAATGGCGTCCGTTTCTGTTGTCTCTAATTTCCTTTTATTCCTTTCAGTGAGTCGCCATGTTTCACATCCATAGAGTAATATGCTTTTAACTAGTGTCTCGTATATATTAAATTTCCTGTCCTTTAAAATTTCAGTGCTCCATAGAATCCCATTTATGCATCTGATAACTCTTCGTGCCTGTATTACTCTGTTGTTTATTTCTCTATCGTCCGTTCCTTCACCTGTAAATATAGAACCCAGGTACCTGTATTCTCCACATACATTAATTTCCATATTATTGTCCAAAATAAGATTTTCTGTATTTGCTCCTATTGGAAGGTATTTCGTTTTTTCGGTATTTACTGTGAGACCCCATTTAGAATATTCTTCAATTATTTTTCGCACCATATATTCCATGTCATCTTTGTCATTTGCAATTATGGCCTGGTCGTCTGCAAATTGTAAGGTGTATAAGCATATGTCATTTAGTTCTATACCCATTCCGTGACATTTTTTTTCCATAAATGTAAGGCCTATATTCCATGTCATCTTTGTCATTTGCAATTATGGCCTGGTCGTCTGCAAATTGTAAGGTGTATAAGCATATGTCATTTAGTTCTATACCCATTCCGTGACATTTTTTTTCCATAAATGTAAGGCCTTAGCAATGTAGATTTTAAATAATGTTGGGGATCAGAATAATTGGGGTTTTATCAGAGCTGCGTTAATTCTAGATTCGTGCAATACTTCCCATAACTTTATTATTGGCACTGTATCATAGGCTTTTTGTAGGTCGATAAATGTTATGTGAACTTCCTGGTTCATTGCAGATTTCTTCTCGATTATCTGTTTCAATGCAAAGATATTATCTGTACATGATCTTCCGCCTCTGAAACCATTTTGCTCTTCTTCTTCGTAGCTGGAGTATTCCTCTTCAATTAGGTTCCTCAGTATCTTCCATAAAGCCGACTCAAGGTGCTGGTGACCGAAATTCCCCGATAGTTATTGGGATCCTTTCTTGAACCCTATCACTCTTTATTTCTGACTAAATTTCTTGCAAGGAAAAAAATTGGTATATAACTTTAAAGTAAGGTTTTTTGTTGTAAATAAACATGATAATAAAGAACAAACGACTGCTGCGATTTATTTTCTTTTGAGTTTTGTGTTCAGTAGTAAAATCACGATTGTCCGATAATTTTCATTCGTTCCAAAAAAAAAATACAAAAATACCTTATGTTGGATTAACAGATGTACACAGGGGAAGAATTATTGCTCTTATTGAAGAAGGAATGCCCCAAAGAGACGTAGCAGAGATAGCCAGGCGTTAGCCAGGGTGATGTATCGAAAACATAGGCAAGGTACTTGGAATTAGGAACACACAAGGACAGGCCCAGACAAAGTCGTCAAAGAGTCACAACTGAACAACATAACCGCCTTGTGTGCCAAATTGTTAGAAGACATCCCAATGTTTCTCATCTAGAGCTACAAAGATAACTTCTGGCAGCTACAGGTTTGAACGTTTCAGTTGAAACCATAAGTAAAAGGCTTCGTGCTCGAGGGTTTTAGAGCAGGAGAGAGTTACGGATCCCACAGTTTTCTCGGCAAAATAAAATTGCCCGGCTAAATTGATGCCTTCAACATCAAAACTGGACAACTGAGAATTGGCAAAATGTCCTTTTTTCGGATGAGAGCAGAATTGGCCTAAGATCAGATGACCATCGAATTCGGGTTCTAAGAGCTCCAGGAAGACGAGCGAGATTCCAGCCTGCCAAATCTGTGCCAAAATATAAAGGAGGAACTGTAATGTTCTGGGGAGGTATTATGCTCCATAGTTACCACTTCAACAAACTTTAACGGGTCGGAGGTATGTTGATTTAGTGCTAGAACCGATCGTTAGTCTTTGGAGAGTTGCTATTGGGGATAATTTTAACATAATGCACGATAGTCCACCTTCCCATACCAGCAGAGTGACTAGAGAATGTCTTGAAACGGAAGGTGTCATAGTTCTGGACTGCTCTGCATGTTCACCAAATCTAAACCGTATCGAACACTTGTGGAACCAGCTCAAAAGAAGGGTTAGAGCTCGTCAAAACAATCCAGGAAATCTCGCACAACTTATTGATACAGCATTAGCAGAATGGGAAAACATACCCCAAGACAACGTTGATAATTTAATAAGAAGCTTGCCAGCGCGGATAGAAGCTTGCATCAGGGCTAGAGGTGGCAACAAGGATTATTAAAAGTATCAATTTTCTTTTTGTTTTTGCTTTTTGGCCATTAAAAATTTAAATCTTAATTTCGGTTCAAAAACCAAAAAATACCATTGTATTTATTTTGGGAACTGATTCATTTTTTTTATTGCTATAGGGATTATTTTTCATTTAAAGTCATTGGTAAGGACTGAATTTTATTCATAAACACAAGATTTTCATACGTCTCGAAAATTATGAAAAATAATAGATGATTCCATATAAGTTTGGTTGTGTGTATAATGGTCGGCATTTCTGGTCTTGGCTGCCGGTTTTCATGTGTACGAAGAGTACGGCCAACACGCTTAGTAAAATAAGATGTACTGAATAAAGACAGAAGGCGAGTATTTTCCCAGGCGCATGGAATCTAGCGTCAGATTAAGTAGTTATGTAATAAATACTTCCTATTTTTGCTCACTCCGACTTACTAGATTGCCATAACGACTCACTCCTGTACATATAAACGCCGACCTAAAGGTTCGCTTGCCAGCGGGGTATATAAAGTTCAATAACTCGGTTATTTTTAATTTATTTTAAAAATGGTTCATAGACAATATGTATCTTTTGTTTATATCTAAAACTCCTGCAAACACTTGAATCTATTTAAGAGACCTTGCATTTTTTAGAACAACTCCATAAATAGCATTCATAAAGTTTACATAAGTTTTAATTATAAATTTCATACACTGTTATTTCTTTTTAGGAAAATTAGATGTTCAACGCTATGTCCGCCTAGACAATGCAGCATTATATGCCCTAAATGCTTTCCCAGGCACAAACGAAATCACCAACGTCGTCCGCTCTAGCATACCCAAATCTCACAGCCTTTTTGGCATCCTTAACTGCTGCGTTACACCTCAAGGTGGCAGATTACTAGAACAATGGATAAAACAACCTCTCAAAGACATTACTCTAATTGAGGAAAGACTCGACATTGTAGATTGCTTGGTCCAAAACTCAGAAGTCAGGACTGTTCTTACCAAAGATAACCTAACAAAAATTCCTGATCTGATGATGTTGTCCAAGAAACTCGCAGGAAAGAAAGTTAAACTTCAAGATTGCTACAAATTGTACCAAGCGGTGAACGCCGTGCCTACTTTTATAAATAATTTGAGAAAGTTGGACAATAAATGCGTGAAAAGTAATTTTATAGATCCTCTATGTGAGCTAGCTGCGGATATGGAGAATTTTCAGAGCATGATTGAGGAGTTGGTCGATTTGGATCTGGTTGACAGAGGAGAATTTTTGATTAAGAGTTCATTTAATTCTGAGATGAGTGGTAAGTTGATACAAAACAGGAGAGTTGTTTACATTAATTCATAACAACATACAATGCAACGTTTCCTATTCTTCAAAAAAGTCCTATAGGTATTTCGCCACTGCAAGAAAAATCTACAAAATAAAAAAAAAATAATTATGAGATTATTAATAAACTATTCTAACAACTCCTTATTTTGAGGGTTTATATATCATAAGTTAATTGTATGTTTATGTAGTAAAATAAGGAATGAGACAACTTTATAACTTTTTCAACAACTGCATACTTTTTCATAAGATTTTGTACTTAATTTCCTAACAGTGGTAATATTATGATCGAAAAAAAAACGGCGTCAGCGATGGCTATGAAATAAAGATCGCTGTAATTTCATATATAAAATTATATGGGGAATGTCGTCGATCGTCATTTCCAAGCCCACTGAACGCCGTTTTTTTTCAGTCATACAGTACGAAGTATTGCCGATTTACGTTTGGCATAGGGGAGACAGTCACTTCTTCTGCGCCCTTTACAAATTCTTGTTTGATTCTTGAAAACATCTTATTCATATTTTCATGAATAAGATTTTTTTATTATAAAAGATGGCAAAATTCAAACAAGTTCCAAAATGTGATACCTGTTGATTCTACCTTTTTAGTCTTCTTATTCAAAGTACCTTTTAAATGAACTTTGAACCATCAAAAAATACTAAATGTTGTCAAATCTCCGGAGCGTTAAGACTTGAAGAAAAAATTCAGAGATATTCCAGGCGGAATATCTCGAAAACTGCTAATTCTACGAAAAAATGACAAGAACCATTTTTGTAGGCAATTACCTAAACTTGCATATTTTGGCAGATATTTGCGAAAAAATGATTTTTCGCCCATTTGAGGCCATTTTTTCGACCAAGCACGGTGTTTTTTCGCTAAAAATACTCCCCAAAAAGTACACAATCCGCCTAATAAGTCGACGAATTGCTCAGATCTTTGATATTTTAAATTCAACCTTATGTTCATATGAAATATATTTTTTATATTTTTTTCTGTATAGAACTTCACCGATCAAAATTGAAAATTGAAGAAAAAATGCAAAAACTTCTATCAAAAGCAGCTGATGATTTAGAACTGGATGTCAAATCTATAAAATTATGGCTTTTGCCTCAAAAAGGATATTCCTTCAGGATAACCAAGAAAGATGAGGCAGCTTTGAGACAGAATAAAGAGTACACTGTATTAGACGCCTTGACTGGTTCAATTAGGTTTACTAGTGACGCACTATCTTCTCTCAACGAAGATTACATTGAAATCAGCGAAAAGTACGAAGAAGCACAAAAATCTGTCGTTAGTGGCATGATCGAAGTGTCTAGTAAGTATAAAAATTCATTATTTCATTATTTTATTTACAAAAACTGCGTCTGCGATTTTTTCAAGTTGACATTCAATATAACGTTTCCAATTCTAACTATAGTCTATAAAATGATTAACTTTGAATTTTGACCGTTATTTTTTACCAACATGGCAAATATAAAATCCCTCTATCAAAAAAGTTACTGATATTCTTTAAGTATTCTTTAAATTGAGTGCCTGAACCAATGACTAAAGAATCCAAGGACAAATAACACCCGACAGCAAATTGTGACGCTGGCATCAAACAGTGCCGTGGCACATATTTTTCTTAACCTAGCTGTTTGAAGCAATATTTATATTTTTTGATAATTGTTTTGACTACGCCTATGGTGTATCATCCTAACTAATTACGAAAAAACGTACTAAAATGTTAACAAAAGATACAAAACTAGTATCGACGTATAGCACATATCAAGTACATATAGATGTTAATTGAAATTGAAGAATAATTATCGAATTCAATAAGAAAACGCTAAAAAGTTGGAGTGGACTGTTTATTTACCTATGAAACGTAACTCCTGGCTCTTTCTTCTCGCTGTGGCTTTTACACTTGAAAGCTAGACAATTCACCATTGTAACAAAGTTTATACAAAGTTCACTACACACAACAAACTATTAAAAATCGCTAAAATTGTCGCTGGTGACTGGATGATGACTCACTGTTTGGCATCAAACGAATGGCGTCTAACGTCACAAATTCTACTACAGCCCGTACAGGGGCGTTACATGTCCTTATATTCTTTAGTCATTGGCCTGAACGACTCAGATACTCTATTTAACTAATAACTATTTAACTCTTTTTATGGTGGGTTCATACAGCCAAATAAAATAAAATAAGAATAAAATAAAATAAGAAATAAGGAATTCTTATTTGTGTGCGTTCATACAGTCAAATAAAATAAAATAAGAAATATATATTTGCTCATGCGCAGTACGATGAGGCTGGATAAAAGTTAACTTTTACGATTGTTTATAGTAATTTTACTATTTATAGTATATTTATTTATTCGTTGCCTACTATATTATACATTTTACTTATGTGAAATTATAAAATAAATTAAATCCAAACTGAAAATATTTGTAGGTTAGAATTAAGCGTGCGCAAAGCCGTTTTCACATAAAATAAAACAAGAAGACTTTCTTATTTTATTTTATTTTATTCTTATTTTATTTTATTTGGCTGTATGAACCCACCATTACTTTCGTGAAATAGAAAAGGAAAATAATAAAACAAGTGACAGTTCTTCTTCTTCTTGCAAAAATCAACACGAAATGTCATAATTGTCAAAAGTAAAATGTGATCAGCTTTTGACATTTCTAAATATCAGACCAATGCCGTCTCTAATAGAACAGCCTCGGAGCGAGATATATGACGTCACGCTAATTAGATACGGATTAATAAATATGTTGTAGAAAACATAATTATTCCTCGTATTTTTGGTTTGTATTTTAAAAATGATATAGTTTACATGAAATATACATAATATACAGTTAATAAATATATATTTATAGTAATAAATACTTTGGTTATACCTATTTATAGTAATAAATACTTTGGCAAATAAACTATGAACCATACAAATGCAGCAAATGTTTTACAATATACAAATATAAAATGTAAAATATATTTTAAATTTTAGGGTTTGAAAATTGATCTAATTTAACAAAAAACATTCAATATATACTAATAGTGATGTATTATTATTTGCATTCACAAAATTTATATGTACATATATTTTGCAAGTATCAATGTTCGAAAAATTATATTTGCAAATAATACAATATCATAGAAAAAAATGCGTCAGCGGCTAACATTATAGCCTTCATCAGTGTTGTGTCATATAAAAAAAAATAGTGTCGAATATAATCCAAAAAATTGCATATAAAATATTCACACCACACACCACATAATGTTTACTGCAATTAATAAACTAATATACACTTGTCAAAAGATGACCACATATTTTTTAAAATTATTATTCTTAACACTAAAACTATCTACATTGACTATGGAGTACGATTTCAGTCATAGTCAAATATAAGGAATAAGTATGTTAGCGTGACGTCATAAATCTCGCTCCGAGGCTGTTCTATTAGAGACGGCATTGCGTCAGCATGGCCGCAAGTTGCTAACCTAATAAAATTAACACTAGTCAAATTTGCTGTCCTCCTTTCACGCAGTTGAGCAGCTCTGAACTGTTCAAGAACGCGATACTCTCACTCCATTCAATTGAGTCATAAAGTTCCAGAACTGTACCGCGCCATATGGAGGCACCAGGCTATCGCGCACCGCTCCTTTCAGAACCGTTCTCGAGTAGCCCCAGGGCGTAAAGCCCGGAACTCACAGTTCGCGAATGGAGGACAGCAATTGTCAAATTCAAAGTTATTCGTTTCACAGACTATACTTTTTATTTTGAAGGTTTATAACTAATATTTAGGGAAATATTAAAACAATGTAGTTGAAACTTTTAACATTTTTGATATACTTTTATTTAGTGACTAAAATATCTGTCAAAAATCAATCAATATAGAGTGCCTAAAAATCAGTCAAATATAGTGTCTAAAAATCAGTAATATACACGACCAAAACTTTGAAATAGATATAAACTGCATAATTGTACTGTACTTTTAGTACTGAATTTTTAGTTTGGCACCATTGCAAAACTCGCGTAACAATCGTAGTATTGTTGATTTATCTTTGATGTAGAAGATAATTGTGTATTATAGGTGCATGAAGTGATCTTACTCTTCGGGTGTCTTCGTCACCGTGTCATTTACAAATTTTAGTGTAATTTGTAGACGGCGCATTGACGAAGACACCCAAGAGCCACTCTTGCTTTCAGGGGTTTCTCATTCACATAAAAGACACATTTACCATTCGTTGTATGTCTCCAAGTTACCAAATCAACCTTTAGTCACGTGATTAAGCTTGACCGGCACAGCCCACTTTTATATATTTTCTTTTAATCAAAATATTTTACGAAACAATAATAAATTAAGTATAAATATATAAACAGTTATTACACCAACAAAACTGGCCTTCTTAACAGCGCTTAAGGGACATAGAGGGCCATTACTACCGCCACAGATTAGGTATCCTATAAGTATACAGATAAAAATCTTGTCCCTAATTCGTGGTACGAAAATTGTTTTTTATGACGATATGCAAACGAGTCAAATTTCCTGTGCGCAAAAATAAACTCGCGTAAAATAACAATAAACAGCGTAATAGAGAGATATCGCTAAACCAAATAGCGTGCATGGACGTTAATAAGGCCAGGTGTTGTTTCCTTTACGTGAGGTGGTATTAACTCTCTTCATTTATAGTTATCGGATCGGAAAGAATTCTGATCGCGTCGCGTCCGCTATTTAAACTTAACCTAACTTTGAATTTAAAACTTTGAAATTGTTTTGTTTACTAGGTATTTTAAAACTAAAGGGCTAAAGTGCTTATTTCCAGTGCTTTATTGTTCAACGTCTGCCAGTGGGTTTAGGGCAACAAATTCTCTTAGAAGGGCTAAGTCGTTATCTGCTGTAAACCTAAGACTCTTTATAGGTTCTTTAGTATTGGAAGAGGTGGAATCCATATTTTGGGCCATATTTATTTAATTAAAACTAATCCCAGCTACTTAAATATCAAATTACTTAATAAAACTAAAGCAATAATTGAAAACAATTCAAACATATTCTAAAATAAAAGATCTCGCCGGCCGGCTCCGGTTGTCAAAAGCCCGCATATGCCCATTTAAGCAATTTTTAAACGTTATCAGAGGTTATTTAGAAAGAGCGCTTGGTGTAATTGATCCGCAAATTACGTCAGGCGGTAACGTTATTAGCGGGTGTTGCGTTAAAAATTGACTGGCGCATATCGTAACCATGATAAGGTACGCGTAAATACTGGATGACGCTATTTGGTTTTCCGATATCTCTCTAATAACTGTGCCAGTCAGGCGCTGTGCACAATTTTAGGGGCCATAAGTGGGCGTGCTGTGTGCGCAAACTAGTAACCTAACTAGTGCCCGATTCCAAAAATTGGAACCACGAAAAACAATAAATAAAAAACAAAGATTATAATCTGTATAATCTGTGCTACCGCTTTCCTGTTCAGAATATTTAATAATTCTGCGATGTGTTTTTTTTATGGCTGTTAAGCTATCTTGTACTCTTCGCACTAAAACAGGTTCTAAAAAGAACAATGTTCGACTGCAAGGTCTGCTAGTAAACAATTTTCAGCTTAAAGTATCACAACACAATTCATTTATACCAAAAACTCGTAATACAAAACTAAAGTGTCAAAACAAATGAATGGCAGGAAATAAATAAATAAATGCTGCAACTTGACATTTTTTTACAACAGAGCTCCCACCTGAATCCCCAGCGCGAAATTTAAATTCCAGTTAGTCAGCACGGCGCCGAATATGTCCATGGTTGGCAACAATGAATTTAAAAATCGCGCCCTTGATTACGTAACTAAAAGTTTAATTAATGAAATATAGTTTATCATGTATATAATGTATGCCTAGATTAAATAGTAAAGGATATAAAAAAATCAGAGTTAAAGTGGAATCACGAATAACTATTTTATTTTTAGTTGGTTATGCCGATTCAGTAAGAAGCCTGAACATGATCCTAGCCATGTTAGATGTCCTATGCTCTTTTGCAACAGTGTCAGTAACTGCCAGAGTTCCTTACAGACGTCCAGTTCTGAAACCTGCCTCAGAAGGCGTTCTGAAACTGAGCAAAGTCCGTCATCCATGTTTGGAGAACCAAGAACACGTGTCGTATATTCCAAACGACGCGGAATTTGATAAGAACGACAAGTTTTTCTTTGTCATAACCGGACCTAATATGGGAGGCAAAAGTACTTACATTAGGTGAGTTATTTTTATTCAAGATTTTTGTTTTTTATAAAATTTAAATTTGATTTTGAGAAAAATATGGCATTGTGAGAAAATATGGTTGTATAAACACTATATTGTATAGACTAAGAAAGGAAAGGTATGGATATAAAAAAAGTATTTGAGAGACTCCTTTCTTAATCTTTTGGTCAATTAGTTTGACATATTCGAAAAAATGATACTCAAAAAAAAGGAATTTTGGTATTATGGAGGTAAGTAATAATTTTTGTTCTTTTAGGTCTATAGGTGTAGCTGTGCTTATGGCTCATATCGGCTGTTTTGTACCTTGCGATTTCGCAGAAATCTCTCTAGTCGACGGAATTCTTGCCAGGGTTGGTGCAGACGACTGCCAACTCAAAGGGTTGTCCACTTTTATGCTGGAGATGGTAGAGACATCCACAATTCTTAAGGTAAAAAAAAGCAGGGTTGGCATGATTTAAATCAAGTGATTTTTTTAATTTTAATCATGTGATTTAAATAAAAAAAAATAATATTTTATTGAAACTTTTTAATACATCAAAAAATAACTGTAAAAGTTATAAAAATGTGTCCTAGAAAACTATAAAAATATTTCTATAACAGATAATAAATCGAAAAATATTTGTAAACGTTATAAAACTATATAAAAATAACTATTCATCAATTTAATTGTTGGGCCGATTTTTGAACTAATTGCGTGTTAATTCATTAGACCGCTAAACGCAGGGATTTTAAAAATTATGTATAAGTTACAAAAATTCGCTATTCGAATACATATCATTCGCAAAGTCTAATGCAGAACTAGGTTCTTCTTATAGAGGGACTATATTTTCATTCCCGAGAATCTACAATCGTTGTCAGAAAATATGTTGTTATATATATTTTTTTTAAACGGCTGTATGATTCCAAATTCCTACCGACATTTTGATCTGCAGTAAGTACTTTACACTTTGATATTAGGTAATACATACTAATTTCATTCTCGACTTAAGACGATTTCCGAATAATAGTGTATTGTTTTATTAGGAGTAAAAATTATACTTTTTTCGACGATGCTGTACCTTTGAAGAACCATCGTAAAGCTATTCCGGCGTTACAGGGAGGCATAAAAAGTACATTTTTACTCCGAATAGAACATACTATTTTTTTTAAACATTACAAATATTTTTTTAATCAATTTCAAACATTGCAAATAATGTAAACAGTAATCGAGTAACAATTTGTACACTCGTTGAATTTGACACTTAATATCAGTTTAATAATATATTTTTGTACTTTTGTGCTTAGGCGTAACAGTGTTTTACTTTTATGATGTCTAGGTGTTAAAATGAATACTTTTGAGACGTTTGAACGACTTGCGGAATATATTGGTGACCGATGGAAAAATCATACGCCCCGTAGAATTGTTAATGTTATCGGTATCGGGGTATAGATTTAGCCATTTAGGATAGGACTTTAATTGGAAATAAGTCCTAGTCATTTGAAAATTCGATTTAAACATTGTTTTGAATTAAAATAAAACATCTGATTTAAATCAAAAAAATCTGATTTATAATTTTTTTTTTAATTTTTTTGATTTCTTTAAAAAAATCATGATTTTTTCCAACCCTGAAAAAAAGTAATATGCATATGCATGAAATGTTTTATCCTAAACATTATTTCAGGGTATTTCTATATTTGGGGTTTAATAAAATTATATAGCCGGATTCAGGTAAGATGACGATTGTGTCATACTGAATATTCCAATAATCCTTCCCTATGTATGTCTATATTTGGTTTGATGTAACAGTTATCCAGGTCGATAAATTCGCCTATCTTTGTTTGGGCCAGGGATTTGGGTCGTCACCAGCCTTAAGACAATAAGAAAGTTGCCTCGCTCTGACGTTTGTAAATTAGCTTTCGTGAATGGAATTATATATTTTTTTAATGAAACATTACCTACCAATTTGTAACAAACATTACAGTCTGATAAACGGGTCTGATACAACGGGGCAACGGTAACTGGAACGTAGTTTTCTAAAAACATAACCGATTTCATTCATAAAATATCCAGAGACGTGCCAATGAGAATTTATCTGGAATTTTTAGCATTTTCCAGTCAACTTATTATATCTTATTTTAAATACATCTATATTTTATTTAGCGATTTACTATACAGGGTGACCCGAACTGTATTCCGAAAACTTTGGCAGCATATTCTACAGATAAAAATAAGTAAAAAAGTTTGTGTAAATGTATGTCCGAAAATGCTTAGTTTCGCAGATACAGGGTGTAGAAGATTCATTTTTATTATGATTGTTGTTAGTTTTCAGTAGTTAGTACGCAGAAAAAAAAATCGTGGGTGTTTGGGAAGGCTCGAAATATCGAAAGGATAGTTTGCGCAAAAACATATTTTTGTTTATTTATTAACGAATCGTTGTAATTATCCCTATGGCCAAACCAAACCAAATTTTTAAGTGCAAGTTAGAAACACTTGAATTTTTGGAAAAATAAGTGGAATTGAGTTGGTGTTCGACGGTGGTCGCGCTATTAAAACTCTGAATTCAAAAATCGATATCTCGAAATCTATTGGAAATAATTGATTGTAGCTCTTTCAAAAACTTTCTTAACATTTCTGCTATATTTTCTTAGCAGGCAGTATCTGAAAATCTTATGAATAAAAAAAGTTACACGATTGCTGAAAATTGCTATGCATTAAAAGTAAATGGATGGGTTGTTTAACATTTTTGAATGGAAAAAAAACACCTTATCGATTTTTTCTTATTTAAACATATTGTAAAAGATACGATCTTCAAAATAAAAAAAAGTTTCAATATCTAAAGTGGTTCTTATGTTACGACGTGTTATGCGTTAAAAAGTTAAGTTTTTAAATGATCGCGATTACTGACGTTTTCTCGTTATATAAAAAAATGGACACCTAAACGATATCCTTATAATTCCATTTCAAATGCTCAGAAACATATCTAATGATTTTATCTAGTTATCTTTTAAAAATAAGCGGTTTGCGATCGTGATTTTGCTTTACTTGATAGGGAAAGGCGTACCGGCAACGCCGCAACAGCCACCGTCGCATTTCTCTCACTCCGACTTAATAAGTTCCCAAAAGTAACAGTTGCCCACAGAGTATATAATTATGTATGCTGGAATGAACTAAAATATATTAAATTTATAGGTAATGGGCGCGTTCAGGGACGGTCAGCGGCTGAGTAGCTGAGTAAGCGATATCCCTAAACGGTCTCTTTTTACAGACAAAAACAGTCGCTGTGTTCCCTGAACGCGCACAATGTCAAAAAATTTGCTTTTTGTTTGTCAGATAATAAATATTTTTTTTGCTTTTTTACAGACGGCAACAAGTAATTCCTTGGTTATTATTGACGAGCTAGGCAGAGGCACGTCTACGTATGATGGTTGTGGAATAGCGTGGGCTATAGCAGAGTAAGAAAAATATATACAATATGTACCAAAAACTTTGCAACGAATTTCATAAAAAACTATTCAGTTTTCAAAAAAAAATTCACCAAACTGGTTTAGATGACAGTATAACTAAACACATGAGAGAGGGAAGTTGTTGAGAATTCGATTTAAAAAAACTATCCTAGTTGCAAACTTTTTTGAAATATAATTTAACATCTTTACCTTTTTTACGTCCAAATATATTTTTTCATTTTCTAGATGTTTGGCGACAGAAATCAAATGTTTTTCGTTATTCGCCACACACTTTTACAAAATAACTAATCTGAGCGACATGTATCCATCGGTTGGCAATCTGCACGTTTCCGCCATCACAACTGACAATACGATCACTCCATTATACCAGGTCAAAGAAGGAGAAAGTGACAGGAGCTACGGCATATACTGCGCCAAATTAGCTGGGTTTCCAGATGACGTTTTAAAGGTAACATTCAGAGGTTATGTTTAGAGATTGAAAATTTACCTACTTTTGACATGTATTTACCAGTTTATTTTTTACGGGATTCTTGAAAACAATACTAAGAATGATGAATATTTTAATAACGTTATAAAAGAAATATTGTAATGATCTATAACCATCCTAATAAATGTGGCAACAGTACTGGTAGATTTCTTCCTCGGCCTAATATTTTCTTGCGTGAGTTCTTGCTAATTTAGCTTCTGGCGTCTAGTCTAGTGTACATTTATTTTTTTAACCATTACTGAAATTACCGTTACTGGAAAACGATCTACTGGTAATACTTTACTGCGCTTTTAGGGCATTTTATCCGGTAATATGATAAACCAGTAATGCGATCCCTAATTTCTTTGTATTTGTTTTATTAAAGTAATAAAATTTTATTGATTAATTTAACTCAAACGGAAACCTGATATAAAAAAAAGCTTTTTACACACCTCTGTATATAATTTTATATCACTCAATATATATGCTGAATTTTTAGTGGTCTACAGAGAATTTACAAGACTTGGAACATGACAGAGGAATGAAATATATCAATGACTATGAAGTTACCATGAAGAAGAAAACAATTGAGGTAAAGTAAAACTACAATATTAATTTAATAACGATAGAGGGAGAACAATAAAGTTTTAATTGAACTAGTATTTCCTTGCCCACAGTGATGATATTTTTATATGAATGTAGTATGTTTGCTAAGTAGACACAGACTGATGTGTCTAGGTGTTCAATGATCCAAGTTTTACATATTTAAAATTTCCTTACTTCCCAAAAAATCAAAATATATTCAAATATTTTTTTTTTATTTTATTCTATTTGTAGGAAGGAGATCAAATAATCAGAGAAACACTTCTGAAACTCAAAACCTTCGAAGACAAATCTTCATCAGAAGTGGAAAGCCTCCTGGAAGATATAAAAAAGAATTTGGAGAACAGTACAAATGGTTTTGTTAAAGGTTTAGTAGAGGCTGAAAACTAAAATATGACTTTATTGTAAAGACAAAGAATCTCGTAATAAAATTTATTTTTTTAATATAGGTTTTTTATTTTTGCAACATTCAAAAATTGATAAAAGTATCTTTAAGGTAAAAAAGAGCACCGGTTTTTCCATATAAATTTCCAAAAAAATATATATAAAACTAGAGGGAATCCGTTAAATATAATAAATCATTATATAAAAAAAATATTTTTTTAATTTATAAAAAATAAAAATAATATTGATTGACCAATAACCAAGTATACGTGCAGTTCATTAGTTTTGACTCACCCTGTATATACCAATGATTGAGCAACAATATGCTCGCATAAGTTTCGTATAATTGACTCGCCCTGTATATATACTAAGCAATTTAGTCTATTTTAGTATGATTAGTTTTTAAGGGAAAACTATTCAAAAATACTTCCAGATACAAAGCAATAAGCAGGTAAAATTTGCAACTTTGACAGGGCTTTAATGTGTAGAATGTAGAATGAGTAAGAGGAGGGGTTAATCACTGCGACCTTAGAGATCTATTGTGCCCCCTTCCTTGAGTCATCACACAGTCTACAACCCATCATACCCCTGTTGTAGAGGGGACAGGGTATTTCCCATCCTCCTCTGACAACAGTTCTTCCTCCGAGGGTACACACCCTTCCACGGTTGGAGCACAAATTACCTATAACAGATGCGAAAGAAAGCGACTGCATCGGAAACCGTTCGGCAAACCCGACACGCCTATTGAGTGGTGTAAATACACCAGTCGTTTAGTCCGGAAACCCATGCTGTGTCGTATTCGCTTGCTGGAGTGACATAGTGCGTGGTTATATGTTTTTTTTTTAAAACGCGTGTAGGATTTTTGTTGAACTTTTGAACTGTTATTTCTAAGTTTTGGTAATTTGTATATCTTATTTAAAATGGGATACAAATGTGTTTATTTATAAGGAAAAATAAGATATAGTATAAAAAATTAATTTATTTAACAAAATTTAATTAACAATGTGACAAAATAGTTACCTTTCTATTGGTTCTATCGGACTTTTTTCGACTATATAAATCTTTATTTGTAAACTTTAATACATATTTTTAATCTACAATATTTTATATACAATACAAATATTTTCAATCTAATAAATCATTTAATGATGTAAATAAGAGGAAATTTTTCACATAGGTGGTCAAATTCTATAGTTTTCATTATATCAAAAAGCCTCTGAGAAATGTTTTCAACTCAAAATGCCTTTATTTATGTTTGACTTTATCATTAAAAAGGGTCTTCAAATACATCAATGTGATATTTGTCTAAAATTTGCAAAAGAATCCGAATCTCTGGATAACTCGAAATTATTTACCCATTTAAAAGCCTTTGATCATGAAAGTGGAAAAATTTGTTCATTTTATTTCCAGGCTGGAAAAATTATTTATATTAAATTTTGATGAGTTTTGCACTGAAGAAAACACTCAGAGGCTGTTTGATATAATGAAAACTATAGAATTTGACCAACCATGTGAGAAATTTCCTCTTATTTACATCATTAAATTATTTATTAGATTGAAAATATTTTATGCATTAAAGTTTACAAATAAAGATTTATATAGTCGAAAAAAGTCCGATAGAACCAATAGAAAAGTAACTATTTTGTCACATCTTTAATTAAATTTTGTTAAATAAATTAATTTTTTATAGTATAAATATATTTTTTTTCCTAATCTCCTACGAACTGATATAATATGACGAGTAATCTATTAAATTACTGTGAGATTATATGCCTCGATAACATATTAGTGCAGATTATTTTCACCCAAACTATACATTGATGCGGATTGTCTATGAACTCTTTCTGAAGGTCACAGAAACCTGAACGCGGAATTAGGTGTTCTTTCGCATCTGTTATAGTTAATTTGTGGTTGGAGTTTGGCCCTCCGTGCCGCCCTTCACAGTCGAGGAGCTTGCCAAACCAAACCCGTGATCTGTCTCCATTTTCTCCACCTCTTTAACTTGGTCTATCCTTAGACCTGATACCTGTGATGTCCCGTATCTATAATAAAGGATATGTCCCTCTTTCTCTATTGCCTCCTTGGATTTGAGGTCAATTCTTATTGTGAGAACCTGACCATACCCTCCTCCCTCGAGTTGATGACTTGCCAACTCGATGTCCTTACATTGAAGTTCTGACCCTGGATAAGGCTCAGCAGGTATATGGTGTCTTTCCCCTTGCTCCTCGACAGAAAGACCGTGATGGCCGCCCCTTTAGGGATGTTTTCTCCCTTCACTGCAACAATTTTCGGCCCTTGCCAATTTTTAAGCTTAGGTGCGATTTCCACCAACCAATTCGCCGATTCTTGAGATACACAATCCATGAGGATCATGCCCACCCGAAAGTGTATCCCCGCAAAACCCAATGACCTACATTTTGTAGATCGTGTTGCGATCCGATCGCCACTACTTCGTCCAGTATAGCCTCTTCTAGAGACGTTTGCTGGTCAGTGGTCAGAGCAACCTCTGGGAAATCCTTTGGCAGTACCGCCATTTTCACTTGTCCAGCAATAGCTGCGATACGTCCCTGTTTGCCTCCCGGTGTTGGACGGCTTTCCATCCTGGCTTTTTTCTCTCCCTGCCGTAGAAGAGGTGAGAGGTTCTCGCTCCCTCTCTTGCCCTTTGATGGAGATGAGTCAGATTGTTTCTTGGTTTCTTTACTCTCCCCTTTTCGGAGGAGTGTTTTCGCTTTTGCTTCCTCTGGAGCAAGTTCTTCGTGGAGCAGTCGGAGGTATCTCCGTACTTCTACTCCGCTAAGACCTACTCTCAGAGGATCGTCTAGCCCGCCTGATTGACGCAGGCCGGGTAGATGAAACGGTAGCTTGTGTCGCTTATTGGGTCTAGAGGTAGGCTCCCGACCCTTGCTGGAGAAGGTGGTAGGTGTGCCACTTGGGGAGGATGATCCCAAGCAAGTGCCAGCCGCCCCCTTGTAGTTTCCTCTTGTAGATATTGCCGGATTTTGCATCAAAATTTCAAACCGCTGAAGTAGGCCTTTACGAAAAATTTTGCATCTAGGTTTTGAACTTATTTTTCACAATTAGTTACTCATTTTACTACAGCTGTAATATATTATATTTAGCTTAAATATATTATCTTCATTTCAGTAGTATACATGAAAGTTTTTAAAATAGGTAATTTTTTTCTACACACGTAAAAACCGGCAACGCTGTATGCCGCTATTTATTTTTTCTCTGTCTATCAACCGGTAATTTATATTTACCTCTGTCGCATGCATTAAAATACAGAGTACGCAGATGAAGTGTCCAGGATGGTATATTCCTTTTAGGGCTACTATTACACATCAAATTTCTTTGTCAAAATATTATTTAAAAATATTTTATGAAGAATTTGACAGTGTAATATGTGTGATTTCATAAAATATTGTATATTAATAACGTCAAATTTTTCATCAAATATCTTTTATAAAAGATCTTTGACAAAGAAATTTTATCGTGTAATACCCGCCTAATGCAACTGCTTTTGACATGAATAAATAAAAATAGCGTTATCTAGGCGCAGTAGTGCGAAGTAATTGAGATTGATTATATTTATTTACAAAGAATCCATGTGTCGTGCTTTTGATTCTGCTTAATAGGTGGCGTCAATAATGTAATTCAGATTATTCGTTTAGTAAGTAGACTAATCCATGAAGAGTTTATTATTTTTTTAATTAAAATGAACAGAGATCTAAGAAACATTTATTATTTTTAGATTTAACATACAAGATGTATCATCTATTCTATACTTTATTACATACTTAATTTCTATGCGGTTAAAATATTATTTATTATTTTTTATGAGATTACCTACTTTATTAAACCATTAATTCACATATTAGGTCAGTCTTTTTTTAGAAACCAACAATTCAGAAACCACAAAACATTTCAGTTCTTTCTAAATAAACAAATTGTCACGAATTATATGATAAAATTTTTCTCTTTCGTTTTATGAAAATTCATTGTATTTTAAATGTTTTACCATTAGTTTTTGATCGGTAATGTCTCTCCTATTTTATGAATAATAATTAGGAGGAACAATAATTGTTTGTTGGTAGATAATTAATTCTGCCCTAGTATCCGAATCTTATCACAAGTTACAATAGAATCTTATCTTATCAATGAAGGTGTTTGATATTGCTAAAGTAACTTGGTGAAAAATTTGTTCTGTTGACACGTAATAGAAAAAATTATTTGCTTCCTCATTTTTGTAAGGTTTTCCTGTATCAATGACAGAGTACAGAAGGTAAAAAAATATTTTGTTGGATAGTGGTTGTTTTGAAAGTGGTTGTATTGAATTGTAGTGTGTCGGGTGCTTGAAATATATAGAGTGCGTAACTTATAAGTTGGGATAATCTCTATAAGGTGTTGTAGAGTAAGTAGCAATAATACATAACATTAGTCATAACACCTGTAACTAAGGAGTAAGTACATATACAGGATGAACTAGCGTTTCGATAATATTATTCTCGTTTGAGATTTTTACTTCAATATTTTTTATAAAATATGGAGATAATATAATGCACATTTTAAAAATATGTATTTTAATAGTTATAGGGTGTTCAAAAATACAGTTCATCCCAAATAAACTTTTAGTCACGTGATTAAGCTTGACCGGCACAACGTTGCCCACTTTTACATATTTTCTTTTAATCAAAATATTTTAGGAAACAAAAATAAATTAATTATAAATATATAAACAGTTATTATTTACATCAACAAAAATCATCTTTTTAACAGCACTTAAGGGACATAAAGAGCCATTACTACCGCTTTCCCATTCAAAATATTCTAATAAAGTTGGAATGAGTTTTTTACGGCTATTAAGCTATCTTGTACACATCACACTAAAAGAGGTTCTAAAAAGAAAAATGGTCGACTGCAAGGTCTGCTAGTAAACATTTTTAGGTTTAAAGTATCACAACATTATTTATTTAAACCAAAAACCGAGCCAAAAACTTGTAATGCAAAACTTAATTGTCAAAAAGAATGACAATATCAGGAAATAAATAAATAAATGTGGCAACTTGACATTTTTATACTAAGTTGTAGTTTTTTTAAATGGGAACTATATTTTTTTCTTCAGGCAATTTGATATAAAATTTACATCCCAAAAATTCCAGTATTTTATAATAGTCTTTTGTAAAACTAATAGATTATACTAATGGCTATAATATATTGTATGTTATATGGTATCCTAAACAAGGGATGGTATGTACAAGTTTAGTCAAAAGTTTGTATTGTATTTTGTTCATCATCATAAATAAATGTAGTTTTTATCCAATTTATATTTTTATCCAAAATTGAAGTTGATTCACAAATTTTCTGTTTTCCACTGATAATTTCAAGCTGCATCAAAGCAATAAATAATGTTTATTAATTCATTAAATATTAGTTTCTGATTAAATGAAACATTTATAATGAAAATAACATGTTTTCTACTAAAGTCCAATTTCTGTTGCAGATATTTAATGAAGAATGACTACTAAAAATCCAAATGCAAATCATGTGTTTTATTAAAAAAAATCAGAAAATGTTCAATAAATATCGATTTTAGATATAGAAAATGCTAGATAAAAAATGTGTTGATTATCACTTAAAATACAGGATGTTTTATTTAAAATAACGGACCTTAATTTAATTTGTACTCACCCTGTATATACTAAATGGTATTTGGGAACACCAAGTTTTGGAAAGAGAATTTTATAACAAATCCACTGAGGGACAAAAGAAATACACAATATTTTATTTAGTAAACCACCTCTTTAATCACCACCTGTGTATCTATGAAAATAGTTTTAAACTGTGCCCTACTATACAGGGTGTGTCTTAAATAAGTGCAAATATTTTTAGAGGTGGTATATTTCGACACCAGAAACACGTCTATGAGGTTATTAACGCGAATTTTTTTTTTGAAAATATATTTTTCAAAAAAAATTATGGATTTTTTAAAATGTTTAAGTAAAAAACATAATATTTTGATAATATGGCAACATAGATAGTAGATTAAATTCAGAAGAGTCTCAAAATTTAAGCAAAATAATATATTTTTTTAAATTTTCAAAGTAAAATAACACAGTTCTTTTGGACTTGTTTGAAAGAAGGTAAAGAAAATATGTTTCTTTTATTGATATCTACCAGCCCTGAAAATATTTGAACTTATTTAGGAACCACCCTGTATTTTCCGCATATGTTATAAAAAAGACTAGAGTTTGAGAATTTGACTCCTCCTTAGACTAAAGAAGGAAACTTTGTATGTTACCTCAAATAGGAAACCTCTGGTATGAGAGTTGTGGGATACCCTGTACCCAGTATTATGTGAGATGTATAGTATACATAATATATTCATTTGTCACGTTTTTCAATTTTAGTATGATATTTTATACTCAGACAAAAAATATGTGTATTTTAATATAATTTTTTAGTCATTTTTCTAAGAATTACGCGTGAAGATAGTCTTATCGAGTTTTCGAATAAAGATAAAATTCTTTATGATCTTTTGCAGATATAATATTAGTTCTTAAAAATTAGAACTATTGTACACATTTTTCTATACAAATATTGTTTGACCTTTTTTTAAGCATTGAAAAGTCTACATAGAATATCGTAAAATATTTTCATATAAATTAGATCAAACAACATTTCTAAATGATAAGAAAATAATAGTACCTTTACAGGTCATCTATACCGTCAGTTTTTCAAAAGTGGCTTCCCTCATAAGTTTTTTATTTTTTAGATAAAAACGAAATTTAGTATGTTAGTATGTGATATAAATCGGGAATGATTGACGTATTCAGTTAGTCTCGTTCCCTTCCTTTTTTACCGGAAATGATGGCTAAAATATTTGATTTTTAGGCGGTGCCTTCGATATTTTTTACTTTTTTTATAAATAATGACACTTTAAATAGAATGACATAGCATATGTCAACTTTTGACATTTTTGCAGGTCAATAAATAAATGTCAATATGTCAACTTTAGACGTATTGACATTTTCTTATTTGGATAGTAAATATAACAACAATTTAACTAGAAACACTACGTACTAATAAATTATTCGTAAAAAAGTACTTTTTCCAAACATGCTAATGAGCCACTCTCGTTTCATTTGAAAAAAAATGAGTTACGATTAAAAATACCATTTGGTCCGAAAAAGGCACGAAAAACATTAAACGATCAAATCTATTTCTCCAAGGCTCTTTGATCAAGAATTAGTTTTAACACAGCCATGACATTCTAGATACAATACAATTTTTTTAAGCGAAAATGTCAAAAGTTAACGTATGATATGTCATTTTATTGAGAATGTCATTTTATATCAATAAAGAAAAAAAAAATACCGAGAGCCCCATCTAAAAATCAAAAAGTGTATCATTCATTTGCGGTGAAACAGGAAGTGACCGAAACTAATTGAATACATCAATCAATCTGGATTTATATGTCATATACTAATATCCCAAATCTCGTTTTTTTTTTCTTAAAAAATTACAAAGTTATAGGAGCGAGCCACTTTTGAAAAACACCCGGTATAGCTTCTGTGAAGAAGTGAAGTCTTGTGAAGTTTTCATCAGTGACAACTCTCCGAGTGCAGTAGGTTAAGCAAAATTTCACTTTCAATATACCTACATCTAGTAAAAATTCTTCACATCTTTTGAGGTTTTATTTTCTATTAATATCCTACATGGGGTTATTGCTTTGACTCAAATTTACAAAGGGCCACGAGCCGCCACTGATGTTCATGATTATTACTTATAAATTACAAATTTGTAGCAATATAAATTACATTTTCTGACTAATTTTCTACACGAACTCACATATATAGATTACATCTAAACGACTAATTTACAAGAAAGCGTGTATATTTGCACTTATTTAAGACTAACTCTGTATGAACTCCCCTAAAAATTTATTCGATAATATTAATTTTAGTAATTTTCTACATCCGTGATTTTCTGAGATATTACTTGTGTGTTTTGATGAACTCAGCGTGATTAAAATTTAGCAAAGCAAATCGATGTAGACATTTATTAGCTTGTCAAAGTTGATAAATTAAAAATAAAGCCTAGTTTTCATGTACGAATTTCGGATGTTTTCTGTGAACCATATAATCGCTAAAAAACCTCCGTCAGAGTGGCTTTTGAAATAGAAATCGGTAATATTTTTTGGGTTTACACATTAATCATTTAAAGTTAAGGTAATAATAATTTGTCAAAATTTGATAAAAATATTTAATTTAGAAAAAAGGAAAAAAAGTGTCTAGAGATAAATCTATTTTCAAAAAATTATTTTAACTAAATACCGTATTATCGAAAAAAAAAGCGGCTTCCAGTTGGCTTGGAAATGAACATCAATGACATTCCCCATTTAATTTTACATGTCGCTGACGCCGTTTTTTTCGATCGTATGGTAGATTTTCATAAATGATTCATAAATGGCAAAATAAAAACACTAAATCACCACAATACACCAAAACACTTTTACTTTTACACTGGACACGCGTTTCGCTAACCATGTTAGCATCATCAGCAGATGATTATAAACTGAATTTTCATATATTATAAACGCGCGTCCAGTGTAAAAGTAAAAGTGTTTTGGTGTATTGTGGTGATTTAGTGTTTTTATTTTGCTGTGTAACACCAAAGGTTCCAACCCTCAACTGTAATGATTCATAAATGACCTAAATACAAAATATTTTCATGGTGTCTGTCTGTCTGTCCGTCTGTCTGTAACACGATAACTCAAAAACCGCTAAACCGATTTTAACCAAATTTGGCACAAAAATACTATGGCAGCCGAGAATCTGGCTATTAGTTTTTGGTGGGGGTGGGAGCTTGGTAAGGGGGTATGGGAGGGGGATAAAAATTTTAAAAAATCGTAACTCCAAAATTACAGTAGCTAGCGAAATGCGGTTTTCAATTAAAGATTAGGAAAAATATTTGCAACAAAATTTGTAATAACATCAAAATCAGTCAAAGTCGCAGTTTTTGAGATAAAAAAAATTGAAAAAATTCTTTACTTTGAAACTGAAAGAACTGCCTACCAACTTTTTATTAACACATATGGGGGGGCTATACACATACTATGGGCTCTACGTGCCTCCCAGCGCCAATTTTTTCATTTAAATATTCATTTCTGAACAGTTTTAAAAGCTTTTATGTCAATTTTGTCATTTTGTGTTAATAATTGTGTTATTAAACAACACATAGGGTTCAACCTGACAATAATTACCATCGACTGTCATTTGAGAGGCTACTGCGACGCCTTTTTTCCTTGATCGAACGATTTATTTATCGGTAGGTATCTCCTTTTTCCATTTCAGAATCAAATTTACTGCTAAATGAGAAGAAAAGTCACTAAATAAGAGGGCGGTGATAAGATGTCTGTAAGAAGCACACGAAAAAAGAAGTCAGAGAGTTCAAGCAACATTATAAGAATAACAGTTGTCGGGGATGGAGATACCGGAAAGACTTGTCTACTCATTGTTTATAAGGACAAAAAATTTGATGACAGATATGTACCTACGATGTGAGTATAAAACTGAGTAAAATTATATTCTATACAAAAATGTTTTTTCTACCATACCATATTAAATACCATTTTTTCTGTAAAAAATTAAAGCTTTACAAGAGATTTTAAGTGATAAATAAGAAGCATTTTTCCACTGTATAATAGAAACATTTTTTATCAAAAAATCATCGAAATAGTCGTTTAACTGGAATTGATCTTGTGTATTTCGTGTGTTTTGGACAGATTCGATGAATATTCGATGACCATTCCTATCAATTACGAGCCCTACACCATTATACTGTCGGATACTGCGGGTCAAGAGGAATACGACAAGCTACGCAGGATGGCCTATAGATTCGTAAGTACATTCCTTAGAACCCTTAGGCTCAGAGAAAGACGTAAACCTAGAGAACTTATAAGATATTCGTCGAAATAACTGTTATATTTTTTTCTTTACATATTGTACTTTTTGGGACAAAGCTTTTCATTTTATTAAAATACTTAAAAACTTATTACAATTACAGTACTTATTTTATGTACCGGGTGTTTTACTAAGAATAGCTCTCGGCTATATCACGGAAAATATTAGCCATAGAGCCTGTAGAAAAAGTACTTAATAACTAAAGAGGATATGAAAAATTGCTGGTACTTATTTTCTAGTTTGTAGAATGGCGAGTAAAGGGCGCAACTGCTATGGTAAATAAGAAAATGGAATTTTTTCAAAAATTTTCCGAGATACGGTATACTATAAACAATGGCGTCATTTAATAAAACAATTTACATCGGCTATTATTTAAATGTTAGTAACTCTGGACTGGGTAATCGGAATCCAACGAACTAGGGCTCGTTTAAAAGAGCGTTTTTTTACTCTACAGGGTGTCCCAGTTCAAACGAAACAAGGCAATTTAAAGGCATTTCTGGTGTAAAGAAGACAAAACGGTGAAACTGCCGTCATCAAGATACTGCCGCACACGTACAGCGTAGTGTTGAGGAGCAAGATGGAGTTGAAATACAAGTTGATTTTTGTCATAGTGATCTTCATTCTCAGTTATTTGTGTAATGCTGGGATTTATGGCATTTTCCAAAAGATCCAGATACATATTTCCATTTAGATTTTCATCCAGAAAGAACGGGCTAACTAGACAGTCGCCAAAGATTCCAGCCCACACATTAATTTTTTCAGGGTACTGAGTATGAACCTCAAGGAATTCTCTAGGGTTGGTATCAGACCAGTAGCGACAATTGTGGCGATTTACTGTTCCATTGAGAAAAAATTATACATTCATCCGAAAGCACATGTTGAAAAGAAGATGTGGAGTGGCAATGAGCATTTCACTTAGTTCTTCACAGAATTGTAATCGCCTGTTGTAAACATCTTCGTTCGATTCTTGGACCAAATGAGGTTTGTAAGGATGGAATTTGTGAAACTTTAGTATCCTGTGAACACTACTATTATTACTAACTTATTCCTGTGGCTGTTGCCAATCGACTAATACTCATTCTTGGTTCGGCATAGATTTGTCCTAGAACTACTACTTGCATCGCCTCATTGTTAACTACACCAGGTGGAAGTTCTCGCTTCTTTGTAAGAACACTTCCAGTTTCTCTAAATTTAGCTACTAATTAAAGCACGTACTTTCTATTGACATGTTCATCTAGATGTCGGTCATTAAATAACTGTGCCGTTCTATTGCCACATCTGTCATGCCTAAAGAAAGTTTTAATTATCTCAACTTTATCTGCAGTAGAATAAACCATCACGTCAATTCACAATAATACTAAATACTCTTACGATAATACTAAGAACAGTAAAGCTTGATTTTCATGCATCCGTTGTCCGACGATACGTTGATACGATATTAATTTCATTGGTTGTATTTAAAGGCTTCGATTGGTTAACCGTTTCTAACCAATCGAAGTTTTTAAATTCAACCAATAAAAATTAATATCGTATCATCGTATCATCGGACAACGGATGCATGAAACTCAAGCTTAAGCCGTACAAAATATTAAGAATACTTCCAAACTGAATGACAAAATGAAAAAGATTTAGCTGCTTAATTTTTTACTGCCTCAAAAGAAGATAAGATATAATATATAATATAAGTTATAAGATAAGATATTAATAGAAACAATTTTTTACTTACCAAAAACTTACATTACATTTTTGTTTCTTATCGGCTAGTACACATCTTCTTTTCAACATGTGCTTTTAGGATGAATGTACATTTTTCATCTGCAGAACAGTAAATAGCCACAATTGTTTCAAAGCAGGGCACTACTTTTTGTGTATTATCCATTAAGCAAAATCTTGTTGATTTAATCTAAATTTCTTATTTTAGACCCCATTTCGATTCCTGTGCCATTAATGAAATATCAAAGCATCATCAATTTATGAAAAGTTTATTTTTCAGCCCGATTCCACCAAATGTGACAAAAACTCCAAAAGTGAGACGGCCGGCGGTGAAAAGAGGCTTTAATAACCTTTCAAATGATGTGCTACTCGACCCCGCATTACATTTAAGATTTTAAAGGTAGATGTCACCCCCGCATGGGGTTTGAATTAGGGGCTTCAAAAATAGTCGTATCTTATTTCCCCTCCGAAAATAAAGTTGTCGTGTTTCACCGTTTTGTCCTTTTCACACCAGAAATGCCTTTAAATTGCCTTGTTTCGTTTGAACTGGGACACCCTGTATATTAACCATATAAACAAGAATAATAAAAGCATTTGACTGTAGTTGCTAGGGGGAGCTGTTTTACAATTTAACCTACATTACGCGGTTTTTCAAAAAATTTGAATACAATAGTATAGAGTGGTATAGATATGTAATTTTAGGTGATAATAAGGACGAATAAAAGTTTAAAAAGTTAGTGAAAATCGCATCTTAATATCTATTTTCAAACCAAAGATATTAGCAAAAATATAATAAATACAATCTAATACAGTCTGCATTATGACCATTCTAATAAAAAAAATGTTCAGTGAAGAAGAAACGACTCCCCAGTGAAGTCATGGATCATCATCGTCATTTCCGAGCCAACTGAACGCCGTTTTTTTTCGATCCTAAGGTAGTTTCAACGTCAAAGTGTTATTAGAAAAGTTTATTATACCTGCATCAGACCAATAATGACATACGGCATAGAAATCCGAGAGGAAACAAACAAGACCAAAAGCATGTTAAGAGTCGGTGAAATGGAGAACCTAAGAACCATAATGGGGAAGACTAGAAGAGACAGAATTAGAAACACAAATATCAGACAGCAATGTGGAATACAGGACGCAGTGAGATGGGGTAGGCAAAGAAAAAGACAATAGTTCGCGCACGTAAAACGCATGGAAGAAAACGGGCTACCACGCATAGCTCTGGAAGGGAAACCCATGGGTAAGAGACAGCCGGGAAGACCTCCAAAAAGATGGAATTGGAAAGACAGTTAGCAGTCCATCCCCCAAGAACTCCTACAGGGGCAACCTTAAAAGTAATAAGTAAAAGAAGAAGTGTTATTAGATCAACATTTTGATAGTCTCAGCCTAGTTTGTTATTTTATGGTCTCAGTATCGTGTTTATCGTTTGATTGCTTTTCTAAAAATGCTTCTATTCCTCGAATAATACCTAATAATAATAATAGGAAGCGCTTCTTATTGTACTTTACAACGGAACACAGTCTAAGATTTGTCTATTAATACTGTTTGTATTTTGCCTAAGGAAAATGTTTAGATTTGCCTAAGAGGAAATGTATAGAGATTGTATTTTTATTTTCCAGGCAGACGCTTTCCTACTATGTTATTCGACGACAGAAAGGAATTCTTTTGAAAACATCTCTCTAACATGGGCACCAGAACTCAAAAGATGTCGAGCCAAAGCCAACATAATTTTAGTAGGTAAGTATCTATCTACTCATCATCAGGTTTGCTATTTAGTAGCATGTATTGCTATTGATTTAGACATTTTCTTAGTTGTTAAAGTGCCCTAAAAAACAATTATAATATACCATTGTAATAAAAAGACTACTGTTAAAATTAAGTGTCTCATAAAATAACTCCTCCGCTATTTTTTAATGAAAAAATATTTTAATATACCTAAAATTATCATCTCTTTTTTTATAACAGTTAGGGATGCTTGTAATTTGAGGAAAAGATCGCGTTTTTAAGGGTCTTTTTGGAAATATCAAATTTACCACTTAAAATAACAAGGAATATTATATTTTTTGTATAATAATTAATGATCATATTTTATCCTATCAACCAATAGCATTAATTTGAATAAAAATAAGATTAATGTATTCATACATGCGGAATAACAAAATGTTATGAAGAGATTAGGAATAAAATTATCACTAAAATCTAGTATTACCAGTCTCCATTGTATGGAAATTTATTCAGGTTTGAATAAATTTAAATATAGGTAACTGGTTAAAAACTAGTCTTGACTTGACAGCTTGTATAATTATTTTTTATGTGTTTATTTAGAGAGATTGTGACTATTGGCTTGTAGCCTTGTTTATAATATATACAAGGCTTGTAGTAACTCAAAATTAAGTATATTAGTACAATATTTTTTCTATATGCTTCTAATACGAACATACAAAAATAAAAAAATGTGTGTTTAAAAAAATCATCTCTGTAACTTTTTCCCAAAATGCACGAAAACAATGAACGAAATATTAGATGTTAGTGTCTTATTAATGTAAGTTTTATAAATTTAACAGAATTGTCTTTGTATAAATTACTCGTCTATCCTACTAATAAGTAAAATTTTTGAGTGTTAATTATTCACCTCCATACAGAGTTCTGAAACCAGCAGCTTATAAATTTCTAGTCTGCGCTATCAACAAGCGTCTCTTGCAGACAACTATTTAGAATAGAAAGAATATTATGAAATACTACATAATTTGAAAAAGACCCAATTCTGAGAAATTATTTTTTAAACTGAAAAAACTAATTTTATTAATATGCACTCTTATAGTATTAAATTCTATTAAAAGAAGTTCCTGTATGAAAATAACGTATTTATTACATTATTATCAGATGTTTTTTTCATATAATAAACTATTAAATAAATATTGCATCGTGTCTCGGTCTCGGCCGAGAATTCTTTTTCTCTGTCTCAATCTCTGTCTCAAAATGACCAGGACTTATTTCTAATTAAAGACCTATCCTAAATGGTTAAATCAGGGTTAAATCTTTATAACTCTACCTGATACCAGTAACATTAAACAATTCTACGGCGCGTGTCTTTTTCCACATCGGTCACCAATATATTCCGCAAAAGCTTCAGATCAAAGAGGATTTTTTTTTCAAACGTCTTAAAAATATTAATTTTTGTTAGATTTAACGTCTAGGCATAAAAGTAAAGCACTGTTAAGTCTAAGCACAAATAGTACAAAATATATTATTAAACTGATATTAAGTGTCAAATTCTACGAGTGTACAAATTGTTGCTCGATTACTGTTTATATTATTTGCAATGTTTTGTAATTGATTAAAAATTATTTGTAAAGTTATGTTCTATTCGGAGTAAAATGTACTTTTGTGCCTCCCTGTAACGTCGGAATAGTTTACGATGGTACATCAAAGGTACAGCATCGTCAAAAAAGTATATATTTTTACTCATACATCATAATAAAACAATACACTATTGTTCGGATATAGTCTTAAGTCGAGAATGAAATTAGTATGTATTATCTAATGTCAAAGTGTAAAGTACTTACTGCAGATCAAAATGTCGATGTCGGTAGGAATTTGGAAACATACCCCAACCGTAAAAAAAAAAACAAAATATTTTTGACGATTATAGATTTCGGGAATGACGATAATATAGTCTCTATATTAGAAGAACCTAGTTCTACACTAGACTTTGAAAATGATATATATTTGAACAGAAATTTTTGTCACTTATACATAAATTTTAAAATAAATCCTTGATTCAGCAGTCTAATGGATTCACACGAAATTACTTCAAAATCGGCACAACATTTAAATTGATGAATAAGATATTTTATATAGTTTTATAACATTTACAGTTATTTTTGATTTACTATACAGGGTGTCCCAGAAATAAGCGCAAGTATTTTGAGAGGTGTTAGATCTCGATAAAAAGAAACATATTTTTCTCTTTATCGTTTTTCAAATAAGTCCAAAATAACGGAGTTATTTTACTTTGAAAATTTCAAAAAAAAATGATTTTTGCTAAAATTTTGAGAAGCACTGGATCTTTTCTATGATTTTCTTTCTTTTATTATATACATTTATATATATAATAAATTTAATCTAATATCTATGTTGCCATATTATCAAGAAATTATGTTTTTAAAAAAATAAAAAATTTCCAAAAATTTTCAAAATTTTTTTATGAAAAAATTTCCATAGGCATGTTTCTGGGGTTGAACTATAGTATCAGTTAAAATACTTGCACTTATTTCTGGGACACCCTGTATAAACTGTTAAGTATATCGGTTATAGAAATAGTTTTTATAGCCTTCTAGGACATGTTTTATAAACTTTTACTGTTATTTTTTTATTTATTATAAAGTTTCAATAAAATTATTTTTTTGATTTAGATCACATGATTAAAATGAAAAAATAACTTGATTTCAATCACGATTTAAATCATAATTTAAATCATGCCAACCCTGAAAAAACTCACTACACTTCGCTATAAAGCAGTACGAAATAAACTGGATCAGCTAGGTTTAAATAAAGCATCAATAAATTAATGAATTAAAATATAATTTCAAAAACGAAAAAAAGTACGATGTATTATTTGAAGAAATTCCGGATTTATTTTAAAAAAGGAGGCAAGGGACGAAGTGCGATTGAACCTGGACCGATATCAAAATTCCACAGGCAGCCCGGACGGCAATGTCTCTGTTTGATTTCGCTATCAGAGCTCTGGAGAAATGCGCGCTGCAATTGGAAATAACTTTCATTCCGGTAGAGAAAAGGCAGATTTATTAAACTGGATCGGGCCTCATACATCGTATTACTTTCCTATTGATACGCTAAATTATTAAAAAGTTAAATTCGAATTTATACAACTCTGCTTTTGTGTGACAGCTACTGTTTAAAAAGACATACCTATTAGTTACAGAACGTTTTTATTTTTCGTTTCGGGATACTATTGAATAAAAAGTAGGTGTAGGACTGTCGGGCTGAGTATCAACTCAGACAAAACTGCGATAGTGCCATTCACCAGAAGAAGTCTGAAAACCTGAAAAGAATCCAACTAGATGGAAAGGAAATACTGCCAACACAGGAAGACTTCTGTGGAACAGGCATTAAAGAACACTACCATTCAAAGCCATAAAGGCTCTCATGATATGCAGAAGACTAAATGGAAATAGATGGGGCTGCTCCCCTAACATTTTGCGCTGGATGTATACCATGATAGTAAGACCCATGATTACTTATGGAGCAGTTGCCTGGTACACAAAACTAGAAGCAACGGACGGCAAGGCTAAACCTATGCAAAGTCCAGAGACTAGCATGTGTTTGCATCACAGGAGCCATGAGAACCTGTCCAACAGCAGCAATGGAGGTCATTCTAGATCTAACACCACTGCACATTGTCATTGGTAGATATGCCAATGCGACAATGATTAGAATGGTCATTTAACGGAATTAGTACTGGGAGAATTGTCAGATCAGGGGCTTGGAACACCCTCAAAAGGAAATACCACTCCTGCAACTCCCAGTGGACGATATGCCAAGAACGTACAACTTTGACAAACATGTCAATGTAGTAATGAGCAATAAGAAAGAAGGAAGAGCGAAACGCTTGCCCAGCAGTTAATTAAGACCACAAAAATTTTACTTGGTAGTGGGATACTGATGCTTCCAAAACCAATACTGGGACACAGGGATCGGATAGACAATAAGAGCTAATTACTCCGAACCAATGGGCACTACCCTAGTATCCTACAGGCAGAAATCTACGCTATCGAGAGATGCGTACAACTTATCTTAGATAGGAACTATCGGAAACAAGTAAAATAGCCATCTTATCTGATAGTAAAGCAGCGTTAAAGGCGATCAACTCAGTATCAATCAATTCGAAATTGGTAAAAGAATGCATAGAGAAGCTGAATAAATTAGGCAAAGAAAACAAAGTCCTTCCTACACTGGGTGCCTGCTCACCAAGGGATAGAAGGCAATGAAAAAAGCAAATAATCTAGCTAGAAAAGGAGCGAACACTCCACTAAACTGGACCAGAACCGTTGAATTTCCAAGTGGAAACCAACTCAAGGCGGAACTCAAGAATTTTAAAGATTCCAGGGCGCAAACTGGAATGGAAATCTTGCAATGGTCTAACTTTATTGTCTCAATGTCTGCTAGTGGGTTTAGAGCAACAAGCAACAAATTTCTTAGAAGGGTTAATGATCAAGAAAAATCACAGATCTTCCTGAGTATTGAGTAAGAACAATCTTCATATTGTCACGGGGTTTTTAACAGGACACTGTCTCCTCAATGAACACCTCAGTAGATTGAAACTAAGAAGAAACGGCGAATGCAGATTCTGTGGGGAAGATGGTGAAACACCAGTACACCTCATCACTGAGCCGCGCCGAGACGACAACCATTCGTGCCATGAATTTTGGTACGACTGATATTGAGATGGAGAACTACCCTCTATGGTGTCCCAGATACTGGGTTTTATCAAAGCCCTGGGACTGTATGATGCGGGTTATGATTCAAGAAAGAACAACACATATGGATCTGTAAGGTCGAAGTGATTAACCTCCTGACGCTATTCATTCTAATTCTAATTCTAAAAAAATTGAATAAAAAGGCAAAGGAATAATGATTATCAAAAACTTTACATTTATTTATTTTGAAGCTCTAATCCTAATTGTTGTAGAATGTAGAATGTTTAGGAGGGGTTAATCACCGCGACCTTACGAATCTATTGTGTTTCCCTCATCTTGTGATTATAACGAGCTATAACTCATCATACAGTCTCAGGGCTTTAAGTAAAGTCAGTATCTGACACGGCTAGAGGCCAGCGATGCGCTCAATAATAAGTTAATTTGACGATCGTGAGCAGTCTCGACCGTGGCCGATAATCTCGGCCTTTTTATGCCGAGAACGAGACCGAGATCTCGGCCTGATTTTTCGCCGAGAATGACTGTAACCGAGACCGAGACCGACCGATCTCGGTCGGACCTTGTGGATGACTGACCAAATGATCTGGAATGATTAAGACCAATTAATTTTTCAGTTATTGTCATACTTCCCTGATTCAAGTATTTTCTACAGGGACCGGAAATAGTGTGTCGGGCATCTGTAGCTCGTAGAATAAAAAAAACCTAAGAATTTTGTTCAAGTGCAAACTTAAAGTATGTACTAGGATGTATTTCAGGAAAATATTTTAACTTCTATAAGGTGGCTCAAAAAAGTGTTAGTGGATCGGGATGATTTTTTTTAAATGGAACATCCTGTATATCATTGCATTTTTGGCGTCCTTTCAGATCACTTTATTCTTAAGATATGAATAAATATATTGCTTTAGTTTCAGAGATATATTAATAAATAAATGAAAAATATATATTTTTTAGCCTATCCAAAAAAATATTAAAAATACAAGAACTGTCCTGATATCAAAACTACATTAGGTATTTACTTTAGATGGTCTGTACTTACTTTGCTATAAATATAGTAATCTTAAATCATACAGGGTGTTCAAAATTCTACGCCAAACTTTCTAAAATATAAAGTAATTTTTCTTTGTTTTTTTAATGGAACACCCTGTATTTTATTTTATTAGATGGGATGTTAATAATAGCTTTTTTAAGTCAATGAATTTTTCACCGAATATGCGGTGTTACCGTTTTTTCATTTCTCTCTCTAGATTTAAAAATATAAACTAATGAAATGCTATTTTAACTAACGAATAAATTGAATATCTCCCGAAAAATAAAAAAGTCACGTTTTTAATCAAATTTAATTTGTTTACTTAGCTCGTACTATAATGTTTTCATTCGCCAGAGCCAAAGAGGGTAGCTTATAATTTAATTTTTAATAAATATGTAAATGATGATATTTTCAATCATGGTTTATGGGAAAATCAAACAGGCTCTGTCTAAGGCCAAGATTTAGATAATTAATTTCCGATTTATTTTCTGAAAGCATACCCTGGATATAACCAAATATCTTTTCTAGTAAGAAAACCTCTACAACTGTATAGACATATAGACGTAGTATAAAAAATAAACTAAAAACTAAAGGAATTTCATAACATAATCAACACCTTACGATCGAAAAAAAAACAGCGTCAAAGACGGCTGGGAAATGAAAGCGATGATAATTTTGGCCAGATCAAGCTCTAAAGGTCATTTACTTGGCCCGTACTATTCTTTATTTTTTAATGTCGCTACTGCCACTTGACCTTAGAATGTTGTAATTTATTTTTGTATTGAGTAAAAATGATTTTTAAATAATAATTTGATAGTATAGTTTAAAATTCGAGACAATTTTTTTGTGTAAAATAATGCTTTATGTCAATTTTTAGTAAACGACGTCTGGAGATTGAAAATGCAAAAATTATCATCCATTGTCATTCCCCAGCCGTCCTTGACGCCGCGTTTTTTTCGATCATACGGTATTAGCTGAGAAAAGTCCAAACATTCAAAATCCAAACCGCAAAATTTCAAATCAAATTCAAATGTGTCATTTGAAATGTCAAAAAACTGTCAAAAATTATATGGTCTCTAATGCACAAACGGCGCGGCGTCAGCGATGGCTATGAAATGAAGATCGCTGCCATTTTATATGTAAAATTAAATGGGGAATGTCATCGATGTTCATTTCGAAGCCAAATGGACGCCATATTTTTCGATCATACAAGATAGATAATATTATACTCTTTCCTTAGTTTGTTTTATTCAAAAGGTTAAACAATATAAAAATTCTTCACATTATTAAATTATTTATTTTATTTTGTGAATTACTGCATTACATTCGTTTTTTTTTTCTTCCAGCTACAAAAATCGATCTATTAGCCCAAAGAAAAGTAACCACAGAGGAAGGTGAAGCACTAGCAAAAGAAATCGGAGCCTCCGGATTCATCGAAACGTCAGCCAAAAGACAATGGAATATCGACGCAGCCTTCCAGATGGCGTTATGGTCCGTAGTATCCAGACGAAGACAGCAAACCAAACCAAAGCACCAATGCCATATATTGTGATATTTCATGGACAAACTGGATATTTTGGTATAACCAAACTGTTTAACTTTATACCAACTACTGTAAGAACATTATTTAGCCAGTGGTTCTCTAAACAAAATGCTTTACATTAATCTTTATCTATATCTGCAGAATGTGCCTTTGAATTAGAACTTTTCTAGAAATGTGCAATAACCATATAAATGTAAACTCAGCTAAATACACCATGTACCGTATGATCGAATAAAAACGGCGTCAGCGATGGCTATGAAATGAAGATCGCTGTCATTTTATATATAAAATTATATGGGAAATGTCATCGATCGTCATTTCCAAGCCAAATGGACGCCATTTTTTTTCGATCATACGGTATAATCAAGACTTTAACATAATCAATATAACAATGTTATTTATTGAGTAAGCAATCATCATGTATATTTGACGAGTTCTATGTCTTTTGTAAAAATTAGTACGAATTCTTTTACTTAGTATATAAGTGTTTTCTGTATTTATATGAAATTTTACTAAACGCTCTAATAAACTAACTACTGTATATAACTCGATTGATGTTGTTTTATTTTACGTGGGAGTTGCCGTGCAACTGCCAAGTTATTATATTTATAGAAATAAAGATTTTTAATATTGATAAGGTTATAAATCGTATTATAAGAAAACTAGTAGGGTCACTTTTCATCTAATACTTTATCGTTTTTCAGTCACATTCTGTGATTTTGTTTTATTATTGGTGTCTCCAAACGCCGCAATCGGTAAAGGGTAGTGGGGCACTCACCAGAGATGAATTTGGGAAAATTTGAGTGCAACAAAATAAAAATAAAAAATATTTGTTTTCTGGTGAAAAATTACGCGAAATCGGAAAAAATACTTTTACTTTTCACGTAAGCAATAGTACCATACGACCGAAAAAAAACGGCGTCCGAACTGAGACAAAACCGCGGTAGTACCATTCGCCAGAATGCGAAGTCTGAAAAACTTAAAAAAGAATCCATCTAGATGGAAAAGAAATACTGCCATCACAGGAAGTAAAATATCTGGGAATAACCCTGGATAGTAAACTTCTATGGAACAGGTATATTAAGAACATTACCAGCAAAGTCACAAAGTGTCTCATAATATGCAGAAGACTGGTGGTAAATAGAGGCCAGCTCTCCATCCTCGACATCAGCCGTACCAAAGTTCATGGCACGAATGGTCGTCGTCTCGGCGAACTCAGTGATAAGGTGTTCTGGTGTTTTCCCATTTTCCCCACAGAATCTGTATTCGCCGTTGTTTCACACCTGTACCCCTAACATTTTGCGCTGGATGTATACCATTATAGTAAGGCCCGCGATTACCTTTAGAACAGTTGCTTGGCACACAAAACTAGAGCAACGTACAGCAAAACAAAATCTGTAGAAAGTAGAGAGACTGGCATACATCTGCATTAGAGGTGCCATGAGAACATGATCATGAGCTTAACAGCAGCAATGGAGGTCATTCTAGATCTAATACCACTGCACATTGTCGTCGGGAGATATGTCATTGCGACAATGATTAGAATGGTCATTGACGGAAACAGTTCTGGAAGAATTGTTAGCTCAGGGGCTTAGAACACTCTCAAAAGGAAAATTCCACTTCTCTAACTCCCAGTGGATGACATACAAAGAATGTACAAATTTGAGAAACATTTCACTGTATTATTGTGCAATAAAAAGGATTAGAATAGAGAAACGTTTGCTCAACAGGTAAAAGACCAGCCGGGACAGGGATAGGGATGGAAACAATGGATCTACCCAGGCAACCTTCAGGCAGAAATCTACACTATCGAAAGATGCGTACAATTTATCTTAGATAGGAACTATCGGAAACAGGAAATAGCCATTTTACCCGAGAGTGAAGCAGCACTAAAAGCGATCAACTTAGTAACCATCAATTCGAAGTTGGCCAAAGAATGTCTAGAGAAGCTGAACAAATTAGGCAAAGAAAATAAAGTCCTCCTACTCTGGGTGCTAGCGCACCAAGAGATAGAAGACAATGAAAAAGCAAACGATTTAGCTACAAAAGGAGCAAATGCTTCACTAACTAGACCAGAACCGTTCTGCTTCCCAAGTAACCATCTTAAAGCCGAACTCAAGAATCTGGAAGACTCCATCCGTAACCTAGAAAGGGAATCCTCAAAGGGTCTAAGATACTCGAAAAAAATTCTGAAAAGGAGCGAACACTCTAGTAACTGGACCAAAACCGTTCTGCTTACAAGAACCTGGAAGACTGCATCCGTAACCTGGAATGAGAATCATCCAATGGTCCAAGACATTCTAAGGAATTTCTCAGAACTTACGACCGAGAAAAAATAAAGATTTTCCTTGATTTTAGTAAGAATAATCTCCGGATTGCCAAGGGTCTTTAACAGGACACTGTCTCCTCAACGAACATCTCAGTAGATTGTAGCCACGACATAACGGCAAATACCGATTCTGTGAGGAAAATGGGGAAACACCAGAACACATCATCACTGAATGCGCCGAGACGACAGTCATTCGTACCATAAACTTTGGTATGACCCTATAAACAAGGGTATGACTGATATCGGAGATGGAGAACTAGCCTCTGTGATGCTGTTTCAGATACTGACTTTTGTCAAAGCCCTGAGACTGTATCGCTCGTTATGACTCAAGAAATTGAGACACACAATAGATCTGAATCACGATCGCGGTGATTAACCCCTTCCCAAACATTCTACATTCTAAAGAGAAGACATTCTAAGATATTCTAAGACATTCTAAAGAATCTCTTAGATTAAAAACGAAAATAGTGGAAACTGGAAATGCCATTTTATATGCAAAATTTGTACAAAATTATAAGGGTATTGTCATCGATCGTCATTTCCCCCAACTTAACACCTATTTTTTAACTAAATCGTCTTAAACAACTCATGTGCGACATGACGTATAAAAACGAAATTTATGGAAACAATTTGGTGTGTTCCGTTTCTAATTGTGTCCAATGAATACCAAATCTAGAATTTGAGATATTTTAGATATACAAATAATACCTCATCACTGAATGCACCGAAACGACAATCATGCATGTATCTGACGACAAAGCCAGTATCTGAGACGGTTTTACAGAGATTAGTTCTCCATCTCCGATGTAGAATGTAGAATGAATGAGATGGGAGGGGGGGGGGGGTTAATCACTGCGACCTTATAGATCTATTGTGGTGTGCCACCCTTGAGTCATTACACAGTCTATAACCCATCATACCCCTGTTATAGAGGGGACAGGGTATTTCCCATCCTCTTCTGATAACAGATGTTCTTCCTCCGAGGGTACACACTCTGCCGCGGTTGGAGTTTGGCCCCCCGTGCCTTTCACAGTCGAGGAGCTTGCCTCCGGCTGAGGTACCCGTGAGATGTAGGCTGGAGGATCTGTCCCCATTTTCTCCACCTCTTTAACTTGGTCTCTCCTTAGACCTGATACCGGTGTTGTCCCGTATCTATAATAGAGGATATGTCCCTCTTTCTCTATTGCCTCCTTGGATTTGAGGTCAATTCCTATTGTGAGGACCATCGATCTCCGATATCGGCCGTACTAAAGTTTATGACACGAATGGTTGTCGTCTCGGCGCACTCAGTCATGAGGTGTTTTGGTGTTTCCTCATTTTCCTCACAGAATCTGCATTTGCCGTTGTTTCTTACCTTTAATCTACTGAGGTGATCATTGAGGATACATCAGTGTTTTGTTAAAAAAACCGTGAGAATCTGAAGATTGTTCTTACTTAAATCAGTTACAATAAGTTTTCATAAATCAGTAAGTTTGACAACCTTTCTCGGCCGATGTATTATTCCAATTAATCTCGACAGACAAAGAAGAATCCCCGAAAAAGGCCAACAAATAAGCAAAGATAAAATAGAAAAAAAAACTCCCACTCCAGGAAAAAAAGGGAAAATATGAAAACTATCTATCCCGGAAAATAAATATATAAAATGCAAGGAGGACCGTTTTTAGTTTAGAGTCGACTCATCGCAAAACTTTACCCCTTCTCCCACTCTATCTCCAAGATGACGTCTCACGCGACTTAATTTAAGAGATTGAAAACGTTGGCGATTAGAACGGGGGCAGAGGGGCGTGAGAATCCAGTGGCGTACAAAAAAGGTGAATCACCGAAATATAGTTTTTAGAAAATATTGATATTTAATAACGTTATATTAAGATAATGACTATTATTTTAATTATCGATATTTAAATTTAAAATTATCGGCTCTGCCGGCCGGCGCCGTCATAATGCAGGGTGGTCCAAATTATATTCGGGAAACTTCGGAAGCTTATTTTGAAGATAAAAATAAGTAGAAAACTTTGTATAAATATGTGGCCAAAAATGCTTCATTTCGAAGAGACAGGGTGTAGAAGTTTTATTTTTATTTCGGGTTTTTTCAAATAATTTCTGAACTAACGTCGATATTTGAATGGAAATTGGTGGCGGGAGTTTTTTGACCCATGTGCCATGAGAACATGTCTAACAGCAGCAATGGAAGTCATTCTAGACCTAACACCACTGCATATTGTCGTCGGTAGTTATGCCAATGCGACAATGATTAGAATGGTCATTGACGGAAACAGTACTGGGAGAATTTTCAGGTCAGTGTCTTGAAACACCCTCAAAAAGGAAATTCCACTTCTTCAACTCCCAGTGGATGACATACCAAGAATTTCCAACTTTGAGAAACACCTCATTGTAGTACTGAGTAATAAAAAGGATTGGAAGGAAGAAACGCCTACTCAGCATGTAAAACACCATACCATAACATGGTATACTGATGCTTCCAAAACAAAAGCAGGGGCAGGGATAGGAGTACTTGGGCCGAAAACTAAATACTCCGAACCAATGGTAACCTACCCCAGTATCCTTCAGGCAGAAATTTACGCTATCGAAAGATGCGTACAATTTATCTTAGGAACTATCGAAAACCGGAAATTGCCATCCTATCCGATAGTCAAGCACTACTTAACGCGATCAACTCAGTAACCATCAATTGGAAGTTGGCCAAAGAATGCCTTAGAGAAGCTCAACAAATTAGGCAAAGATAAATCCTCCTACACTCTGGGTGCCTGCTCACCAAGGGATAGAAGGCAATAAAAAAGCAAATTATCTAGCTAGAAAAGGAACGAACACTCCACTAACTGGACCAGCACCGTTATGTTTTCCAAACGGGAACCAACTGAAAGCGGAACTGAAGAATCTGGAAGACGCCATCCTTAACTTGGAAAGGGTATCCTCCAACGGTCTAAAACACTCGAAAAAGTTCCTCAGAACTTACGACCGAGAAAAATCAAAGGTTTTCCTTGATTTAAGTAAAAACAATCTTCGGATTGTCACGAGGTTTCTAACAGGATATTATCTCCTCAACGAACACCTCAGTATGCTGAAGCTGAGAAACAATGGCCAATGCAGATTCTGTGAGGAAAATGGGGAAACACCAGAACATCTTATCACTGAGGGCGCCGAGACGACGACGACGACCATTCGTGCCATGAACTTTGGTACGGCTGATGTCATTTGGTACGG